AACTATAACCCCTGCGTGGTTTTCTACAGCCTCAATCACATTAACATTGCTTTTAACACAGTTGAACAAGTCATAGTAAAAATTCCTCCATAGCTGACAGATATCCTTAGAGCCACTCACACCATTAACATTAGATGGGAGAGAAGTTCTACATCTGTTTAACATTTTGATCTCTTTCCAGAAGTCATTGTATCCATTGTTTTGCAATTTTGATGCAAGAGAGTTGGCCCTTAAGGTGTTTTCATTCCTCCTAATATACCTAAGAGCATACTTAAACTTAGAATTAGCCAGTTTTTTCCCTTCAAAGACAGGTCCATATCTAGGCCTTCCAGCAGCAACCCAAGCCTTGAAAGCCCGCCGTGCTTCAGTGTGAGGCTCTTCAACAAACTTGTTCCACCCAGGTTTACCACTATGACCATTACCCCTCCTTTTACATAGAGCCCGGCCAGACATAATAAGAGCATTCATAACAGTGTCATATAGGAGGCCCAGATGAGCACTATGTTCAGAATTGGTGCAGTTAACATTGCGGCACAATATGGCATCTCTAGGAAGCACAGTATCCTTGAGACTTAACTCAGTTTTTTGAGTGTAGGCATAGACCTCTTCACAAGAAAGATTGGACCAGTCTGGGCACTCCCATTTGCCACCCATTTGCATAGTTTTATAGCTCAAAAATATCCAAAGAGAAAAAAAGACATTTAATGGTCCCTCCACCAGAAAAGTTACACAATGCACCTTTAACACAAAAATATGTCAAAATGATTCCCCTGAACTCCTGGAACATGCTTGTACTGACACCAGATTAGTTGTAGACCTCTCAGATTAAAAGAGCCAGTCTAACCAAGCTAATCATTGACATTTTGAAATGATTGGATTTTGATTTGATTAAACTTTGATTAATTGCAGAGCCCTAGAGAAATGTGGTAATATGTCTTTAAAGAGCAAGATCTCACCATATCTTCTTTTGTGAAACACTAGTGGCTCAGGTGCTTTTGTGAAAAAGCTGTGAAAAAGCTGGTTGTAAAGTAGGTTGAAACAACTCGCCTCTTGGGAGTGGAATGAATTGTGTGGTTTAGTTCTTCCTGACCTGGTTGCTGATGTAAGACCTGTTTTTGCCTCCAAGAAATTTCATGGTGCTCCCCTTTCCTCATCTCTGCTCCAATGCAGACATTTTTTCAGGCTGACTACTTTATTTTGCCCTGTGTGCACTGGCTTTGCTCTCCTCTCCACATCCGTCTCTACGTGCTCCTCTTCCTTGATCCCTCTCTCTAATGGCTCCCCCTCTGATGTGTACTGTGTGTCTGTCTTTCTCTTGGGCTCTCCCAGTCTTTTGCCCAAGGCGTCGTGCCATTCTGAGCTCATTCACAATCACAACACTCAGTACCAGAAAACTCCACAAATATACAGAAGTTCTTTGGGCAGTGAACACAGCACAGTAGTAATGTCCAAGGATCATCTCTGCAGCTTCTCCATTAGGTCATCTCATCAGTGTAATGTGAAATTATAAGGAGTGTGGTTGTGATAAATGTGGTTTTACTATGCATTATGTGATGCTGAGGCCAAACAGATGTGGCTGATTAGGGAGGACATGGACCGTTGCAAGTGGAGTAAAACCATTCTAATCCAATCCAGGATTTCCTTACGCTCCCTGAGCTGTCAGGCATTTACAAAAGGCATTGAGGGAAGTTCTGTGTGGATAATGTAAATCTGTTTAGGCAGGCTGTTCAGCTCCATACACTGTATAAACAAATGGAATAAGTGAGTGTGATGTCATCCATACGTTCGGCTCTGGTCAAATTAAGAGCAGTTATCGGGCAAATCTGGAGCTGAGCTCCATATTAGGAATCAGAATTTATTTACAGACAATATAGCGAAATAAAACACCAGGATCATGTAGAGCAGGTTAACACAAACTTATTAAGATCAAAATAACAAACAATCCCTACCTATTCTGCTCTCTAAAGAAACTTTCGCAAAAATAGATAAACTCATATAAAAAATTTTATGGAGAAATCAAAAACCAAGAATTCGGTACAAGCTACTTCAGAGTGCTAAAGAAAAGGGTGGCTAAACTTACCCAACATTAAATAATACTATTGGGCATCACAACTAAGAGCCCTAAAAGTATGGACTGATAAGGATGATGAGACAGGATGGAGGGAAATGGAGCAAAACTCATGCCCAAAGGTTCCTCTAGAATCTTTACCATTTCTTGCAAAGAAATTACAAAAGGATTTAAAAATCAAAAATGAATGGGTTAAAGGAGCATTAAGAATATGGACTATAGTAAAAAGAAAATTAAATATGTCTGATTCAATCTGTAGGGCCACTAAAATTGGTTTAAACCCAGACTTTACACCATCAATGGAAATGGTATTTTGTAAATGGAACGAGAAAGGATTGGTTTATATCGGACATCTTTTTGAAGGTGAACACATGAAATCTTTTGAACAGTTAAAAAAGGAATTTGGTTTAAAACCACAAGACTTCTATAAGTTTTTACAAATCAGAAATTATCTTACGAAACATAAGGATTGAAAATATATTTGTAATGAGCCTAATTATCTAGAAGAATTATTAATGACAAGTACATGTAACACTAAAAAACTCATTTCAAAAATATATAAAGCCCTACAGATTGATACAGATGACAACAATATGGGCATTAAAGACAAATGGGAAAAGGAAAGAAATATTACAATATTAGAGGAAAACTGGGATTAATCATTTAAAGATGGACATAAAATGTTAAACAGTATTTCATGGAGAGAGTTTGAATGGAAATCCAAGATGCAATATTTTATTGTCCCAACAAAGGTAACAAAATACAGTATAAAATCTGACAAATGCTGGAGGGGTTGTGGTCAGACACGAGACACACACACATATTATGGGACTGTCCCTTAATCAGAGACTATTGGAGCAATGTAAAAAAGAAAATTGAAAGTATTTGTAAGGAAAAACTAAATTTAGATCTTCAGTTATTTATATTGAGTATTGTACCGACCACTATGTCTTCAAAAAATAGTAAAATTATTTTAATATTAAGTACAAGAGCAAAAAAAAAAAGATAACTGTATCCTGGCTAAAACCACAACCTCCTACTAAAGAAAACTGGTGGGAAAGGGTTAAAGATGTGATGGATTTTTATTTATTTAGTTTGGTGAGGGGTCATTAATTAATCGGGGGAAGGGATTAAAGGGGAAAAAAATAATAATAATAATAAAAAATAAATATATATATATATATATACAATATACACACACACACACACACACACACATATGTGTATATAATGGAGGGGTGACGACTGATAAAAGTAAATTGGAAACAGATTGGAGTCGATGGAGTCGTAAGTTCTCTAAGCTCAATTCCTATTTGGAATGTGGCAGCTAGCGGGTTATCTATGTCCATTTATATATACATATACAATCTGTGGTCAACTCATATACAATAAACAACATACAGTATGTGTAATACATATTACTACTGTGTGTCATAATGTGAAGTATAATATTATATACCAGATCAGTGGAGGTGCCAGCTTTGTCAAATGCGCTGCAGGAAGAAGTCATAGCACATCATCTTAGTAATAATACTGATACTGAATAAATAAAGAATGAAGAATAAGATTTGTTCTTATGTGCAGTTAGCATACTGTGTTCAAGAGACACGACAAAAAAATGTTTTGTCCTTATTTTGGTGTTTAAAATGTAAAGTATCATTGCATCTATGTATTTTATTATTACCAAATTAGAAGTTTTTGTCAACCTAATGAAAAAGTATTTTAAAAATGACTGAGAATAAAAAGAAAATTTGTTTTGCTCTGGAATGAACAGTTGTGTAAACATCATTAGTCACACCATATGCCTGATATTTACTGAAACTTTTACCATAACAACTGGAAAACTTTGATTATGTAAACACTGTAATATATTCAAACGCTTTTTGCAAAGACAAACTTCAGACCCGATCTTCCTCACGAGGCACAGTGGGCGGTGAACGAGTCTCACTGTGCCCGCACTTGTGTTGTTTGTTAAATCAGGCTCGTCTCTCTCTAAACAAGAGGTGTATAGTATGAAAATGAAGCCCTGAGTAGGTGCCTCGCTATGAAACATCTAATACAGTATTGCAATATTACTATTATATCTTAACTAAAACTAACTGTGCACTGCGATGGGCTATTGAGAAGCAAGTCTATAATATTTTATGTTTTCTGATGCATTAACAAGAATAACAATTTTATCTTGAATCCAGTTAAGAAATTATTAATACTGTATATATCCTATAATCTCCTGGCAAGGTGAGAGAAAGGAGAGAGCTCTGACTGGCTGTGCACACAGAGTAGACCCACCTGCAGATTTGCATAGATTGTCTTAAGACCTGCCCTAATTCACCAAAGTTATGTCTACTATGCGCATTTCCCGAGTTATGACCGGCAAGATTGGACACTTTGACTTTTTGTCTTTAAAATAAGCAGTTTAACAGTAATAGCTTCCTCTATCTTTTATGAGACAAATGATAGGCTTTACACATTTAATTCAGAATTTAATGACTGTTCAAATATATTGATGTGGTGTGTTAATGGCCTATATAGGAAGATGTTTAAGTGGTAAGCGTTCTATAAGGCTACACTTTGACACTGTTAAACATACCACTTTGTGCTATGCTACACAAATCTCCACCAGTGGGCTTCATAAAGACTCTAGGGAATATGTGAGACGTGAGTGCAATTTCAACTAGTTTCTCCATTAAAGATCCACACTTTCCATTCTTTGAGAGTAGATAGTTGATAGCACTCCACTCATTTTATTACTTTTTTTTTTTTTTTGGATTCTATAGTGTCCATCGATTTATATATAGGTTGTTTCTATGACATTTTCCTGAATTGTTCTGGAGTAATAGCTGCACAAAGCTGAAAAGACATGATAATTGACCTGTCTAGATAGTGGAGAGCGAGAGTCAACACAACTAAGTGACTGTGTTTTGTTTCACAGGGCCGTCCCTATGTGTTTGACAAGGTGTTCCCCACGAACACCACCCAGGAGCAGGTCTACAACACCTGTGCCAAGCAGATAGTCAAAGGTGAGTCAGCCACACAGACCTGAGTTTTGTTCACAACAGACAATATGACATGGCTATTGCTTTAAAGGTCATATATTATTGACTCCTGTGAGTTTTGAGCCATGTTATGATACTGTTATCTCATGAAATGCATACTGGAGCTGAGTTTTGTTTGATTCACACATGCATTATTAGTCTGTCTACATCTCCAAAGCTCAAGATGCTTTGTTCCACAGTGTGATGTCATGAAGCATTAGTTTTAAAGTTAAGAGCTACCTTTAACCTTTTTGCATGTATCTTTCTGAAATAATCTAAATGATTTTAGTGTATGGAGTTTAAAACCACAGAAGAAGAAGAACTCAGCCTAAATATGCAGGGTTTGTGTGTTAAATGTGTGTATGAATGAAACAAAACACAACTCCATGTAAGTTCGTGATGAGGAAACAAAACAGGTCAAATAAAAAATTATGGACCCTTTAATGTAACAAGAAAGTGAAATGTGTATTATATGTAATATTTCAGTTTGAATGATAGGTCATTGGCCATTGCACCTTCACCAGGTTTAATGCCACACTTTGGACCATTTCTAGCAAAATCAATAACGTAACCATGGAAACAGGCAGATGGTAGACCTTCCTTCAGAATAAATACAGACGCACAGGCAGAAAAGCACCGCCTGCTGTCTTTAGACTTTTGAAACTTCTGAATGACTGGATGTTGCAATGTCAGCTTCCAACATCACACAATGACAGGAGCGAAAGGTTAGAAAAATCAGAGAGCGGAAAGATGGCAAATTCAAGGTTATATAAATAGAAATAATGCTTAGTGAAAGAATATGATTAAAAGGGAGATTGGAGGGGCTTCACTTTACTGTAGCATCCAGATGATGCAAGGCCAGAGCATGCACCTGCACACTGCTTTCAGACAGTTTTTCCTCCCACTTTCAACTCTTGTATCTTCCAACAGAGTGCTCCTAATTGACCATTGTTTTTGTTTTGTGGTCGAGTCAAGCGCTTGATCCTGGGCTTTTGTACACGTCTCAGTCTCCTAACAGGTGGACAGGCAAAAAGGCGACTCACTGAATAGAGTACAACAACCGTACACTGTATATATAAATGGACATAGTTAACCTGCTGGCTGCCACGTTCCAAACTGTGAGGAGCTTCTGGCTCCACCTGACCCTGGCTCCAATTGACTTACACTGGAATATTGTCACCCCTCTCTCTGTGACTGCTGCTGTGAGCCTCGTCATTTTGGTCTTAAAATGTTTGTATTAATCTGATCCATCATGGCATTTTTATTTCGCTGTTTTGTCTGTTAATAAATTCCTAGTTTTAATATGGAACCTGGCTCCAAATTCGCTCCTGTGCCCTCTATCCTCGTGAGCTTCATTTGGCTGGAGCCAAACACTATGGGCGACGTTACACTCCCTTAGTCCACTTCTTTATATAGTCTATGACAAAAACACTCCGAAGAAAAGGTGGAGAAGAAAAACCCATTCAGTCTGATTAGGTTGAGGTCAGCTGGTCTTTATGGTTCAGCGCTTTTAGCACAGAGTTTATGAGGAAAAGACAGCCGTATCTCTTTTAACAGCACTGTGCCCCTTGATCTTTCAGCCTTTTTGGGAGCTTCCTGACTTTAGCTATCCAGGATAGGATTGTATTTCTGTTTGTTTGACATAGCCACAAAGGTCATTCTAAACCTAACCATGCCTAAATATCACCTCACTGCACAATCCCGCTGAAGGTCAGAGTTATTTGTTTCCGTCTGGGCCGGGACATCTCGCTTACAGATAAACACTTGATGATGGAAATTCTATCAGATTGGTTGCTGATACTGTGCACTTAAAGGTCTGTGGTTAAAAAAAGGTAACAAAGGTTTTAAAAGGTAGTGCAATCACAAATGAACCTTTGAAACTTTGCTGGTGCCTAAACCTGGATATAGAGGACACATGTGAGTTTTTCTCATTCTCAGTATATGGACAGGTCATACCTCATGTGAAAGCTCAGAATTTCCAGGATTTACTTACTAAGCTGCACAGACTGCACTAGTACAGCAATAATACATTTCATTTATATAGCGCTCAAAGATGCTTTACAAAATCAATATTAAAACCATCAAAAGAGCAATAGACAAATAACACAGTAAAGATAAAACCAATGAATCTTATAGAGAGAAATTTAAGCACAAGTTATTCTAAATAGATGGTTTTTGAGATTTTTCTTGCTGCAAATGATGTGAAATACATCTTTTTACATAAATTACATGAAAAATACATCAAAAGCAGAAATAATTACCATCTGTGAATATGTAGTATTCACATCAAACTAACCATAGTCGGAAGAGGCAATGGCGCAGATTGGAAGCCTCTCCTTCTTTCCAAGACAGTTGAGGCTTTAGAAGTAGCTTACTATCTCTGAGAATAGATTAAATGAATAATGAGTGATTTTAAAGCACGTTCATTAAGTGTAAGGCATTGTTGTTATTATGACCCTGTATTCAATTAACTTTCATACATGTAAAAAGCACACACCCAACTATTTAGAAGAACTGTAAACATTACTATTGTCTAACCAGTGTATTGATACTGTACCTTTCTTATTACTTCTAATAAAATATTTCCTGGATAGAGCTGCTCTTGTCCTTTAGTTTCACCTTGCTTTGTGTTTCCTTCTTCTACTGTAGACGTCCTGGGTGGATACAATGGCACAATCTTCGCTTATGGGCAGACGTCATCTGGGAAGACACATACTATGGAGGTAGGGTATATTGTAAAACTAAATAATTCACTGTGTAGACCTTTTTGCTATGGCACATACATGGACACACCTTCTTTTATGGAGTACTATCTCTCACACAGTAAATCTCACTCCATCTATGTCATAACACTGTATCTTCACATTGCAGCATGCGTGTGTGGGAGCTAACCTCTTTTACAGCTCTCGAGGGAAGACAACCTAGAGCCTTTTCAAGTCAAAAGCCTCCCTCCCTCCTTACTGTTTTGCTACTTAATTCACCCCAAGGACTTCATCTATCCTACTCCTCTTCACACACTTACTCCTGTACCTTTGTGCTCTTATAGGGGAACCTTCACGACCCACAGGGAATGGGGATCATCCCACGCATCGCAGAGGACATTTTCGAGCACATATTTGCCATGGATGAAAACCTAGAGTTTCACATCAAGGTTTGTGTGTGTTTTCATCCCTCTCTTCTTCTGGATTCAATTCCCGTTCAATTCAGTATGTACTGTAGGTCTATTGGGATACACATGCACCACTGTTTAAAATGCCAAATGCGTCAAATTTGATACAAGCATTTCTGAGACCTATTGCATCACCATATGTGCGTCAGTACATGGGACAATCTAAGATGGCTACCTTCAGACAGTTCCCAAATCACTGGATCAAGGTAAAGAAAATTGTGATTTTACAATTTTCCAGTTACATTTTCTTTGAAATTTTTAGTAATATTTCAACATGAACACTTAATCTGTTTAAGCAAGTTATGATTACATATTTTTTGCATTTTAGTATGTAGTAAAATTGTGTATAAAATTTGTGTTCAAATTTGATACTACAGGTAAAAAATGGAATTTGGTAGTAAATTCTTCAATTGTCCTTATCTTGCTTTTCTTGGTGCAATATGCATTATATTGATGATTGTGTATCTTAAAAATGTTTTTATCAATCAATTACACAAATTGCAGATTGAAATGTTATATTTACAACAAATAATTGCATTTGAAAATTGATAAATCTATATTTCTTACTTTAGATGGCTAAAAGGTACAGTGACGATGTTCTGTGGGTCACTGATGGCAATTCAAGCGATATAGAGGAGTTGATGTTTGCAGATGATGAAGTGCTGGATAAAAATTGGACCCCTAATGCAGATTATGATGAAGAGAACTCTAGTACTGGTGGTAGCAATGAGGACGATAAAACGTCTGGTAATGGGCTTGAAGAGGAAGATCTTACTATGTCACAGGCAACAAAACAGTGTGGTAGAAGCAAAGTGAAAAGAGAAATGAAGGGAAAGACACATACAGAGGCTGACTTTGATAACAGTGATGACCAGATTAGCACAGAAGAAAAAGGTCTAACAGTAACACAGGCCATAAAGAACACATAAATCTGCAAAGAAAAAAGTGAAAATGAAGGAGTAGAGAAGTGGAGAAAGGCAGAATTTGACCTTCCAGATCAGGGATGTCAAACTCAAATTCACAGAGGCCAAAATTAAAAACTGGGACTAAGTTCTGGGCCAAACTAAATATTTATTGGAAAATTTCAACAGCATCTGCATGTTTTCTCTTCTTTCGAGATCTGTAAAGATAAACCTTTTCTTATTAACCTAAATGTTTAATAATAGTTTTGCCTAAAATTTAATCCAGAACAAGTATAATGTAAAATAATAACAAAATTTTACATAAATAATGTCTCTATAGCCTATTTGTAGCCAGCAGGCCAGCTACATATTTGATATGATCTCGCAGGCCAAATGTAATTATATCATGGGCCAAATTTGGCCCTAGGCCTGAGTTTGACATGTCTGCTCTAGATGTTCCATTTGTTGAGAGTGCAGTTGAAGGTATTGAAAAAGGTGTGAGTTTAGCAGTAGCAGTTTAAAAAAATAAGAGGCCGATATTCTTGTTATATTATATTATATATTTGATATTATATAATTCAAGAAAAAGTTACTGGAAAAGGAACCAGTATGAAAAAATAAGAGGCCAATGTTCTTTAAAGCCTTAGCTGCTGTTTTCATGCTTACCACTGTTCATAATAAAAGAGTAAAGAAGAAAGAGACCTAAAGAAGATGATGTTTTTTTCTGTATTGCCAGATACATGTAATGCCTGATGTATCATTTACGATACAAATGGAAAAACCAATATGCAAATAATTTTTTGTAATAATTTTTTTTTTATTTTGTGAAAAGGCCCCATAAAGGTTCCAGATTCAAAAAATCTGAATTTTCTGTCCATTATTTCTGGGGTCAGGCATTACAGGGTTAATGCTTACCTCAGGGCATTCCTCCTTTACGTTTACCATTATAATCTCACGTGACTAAACTAAGTACCAATAAATTATGATACTTAAAGTCACATAATCTCGCAATTTTCCAGTTTATGCCACCATCTAATAGCCACTTGCCACAAAGGACATGTTAGTGCAGGATTATGTGCATCTCTACACAGTAATGAGTTTTTATATTGGCTGCAGTGCCGCATTATTGGACAGCGGCCAAGCATTTTCTTTAAATTCCCCTACATTTTTTTGTTTTATTTCTTGTCTTCTTTGTAAATACATTATGGAGAACAGGATTATAAAAACACAATCCTGCAATTACTGGAAAGGCCATAGTGTATGTAATAGAATTGATTCCTCAGGATAAATAGTCATAATTGCCCTAAACTTTAAACTGTTTTAAAATGAAAAAAATAATAATAATGCTGCCTCCCCCAAAAGAGCTTTTGTCCCACCTTGCACTATATTGATTGCCTATGATTCCCCTACTGGCATTATTAATGGACCAAGGAAAATTGTGTTGTTTTGCTTTTTGTGAGAAATTATGAACACTTTGTGAACACTTTGTAATCTAGAACTATACAACTATTCTGTAACATTAGCATTCATCGGCTGGGCTATGAATTATCTTGGCCTCTTATTTTCACATTTGAACAAAGAACAGACCAAATTTAACTACACCATCCAGTCAGCTACTTTCTAATCGATATTATAAATAGTAAAATGCTTGCAACTTGTTTTCTTGTTTCCAACTCAATAAGCTACAGCCTGTATCATTGGATCATTAGCTTCTCTTATTCATCTTTGTTTATGTTTTAGAATGACTGACTCTGAATTTGGGTCTCGTCCTTTAACACTGATTACATCTCATCTTCTCTCCTCATTGCATCTCACAATCTCTGCTCGTGACCTCCTATTTTTATAATTTGATAAAAAACCACAAACAAAACACATAGCATAATTAACAGTTATTAGACAAGGAGATGAACCCATTTGGCTCGGCAGTGAGCAAAACAACATGCTGTATATGTGTGTACGACGCCCTTGTTATCACGTTGTTTTTTAAAACATCTGCTCAATTTCTTATTCATTTGTTGTTCTTCAGGTGTCCTACTTTGAGATCTACATGGACAAAATCCGGGACTTGTTGGATGGTACAGTACTACCCACACTTGCATTTTTTATGGTTTATTCTGATTCAGCGAGGACCCGATTACAAAGGCAGGCCACGATAATCCAGTGGGAATTTAGTTGGTGAAAAGTCAACTGCCTACAGAGCATAACAATCAATATAAGAAGCATGGATGTCTTATTATTGAAAGGGCACACTACTTTTCAAATGTCAAATACAGTATATACTTTTCCATAAAGGTAAACAGATAATAAAGTTAGGATAGCATTGTAAAACAAAAAAAAACAGAAACTGAAATTGTGCAAGATAAGAAATGCACAGTTTTGTTTGATTGCATCTGATAAAACTTGATTGGTTTGTGCACCTCCATAGTACACATTGTAAAACAGCATAGTCTTATCATAGCGATATAAACTCATGTGAAATAACTGAAATAAAAACTGAAAACCGTAGGGTGTAGCATTGTGATTAAATCTTTAACAGAGCTCGAGACAGCAACTATACCCCATCATCATGCAGGGTACTAAAAGGAAGATGACAGATACAGAAGCACTGGCCAAAACCAAAAAGCAGTCAGAAGTGAAGTAAATCAAAGTATCATACAGCTGCCAGCAGAGGATTTGGAGAGGGGACGGAGATACTGTTGCCAGATTTTCAGATAGCAGCAAGCGACCAAGCCTTTGAAAAAAAAAATGCCCAAAGCAAGTGACCCCAGCGTTACAAAAAGAAGCTTGAAACTGAAGCAACTTACTAGTTAACCATTGATGTCACAGCTGAGTTAGCAGTAATGAGGTGTGCATATTTGTATTCATAACATCAATAACGGCTTTAAAACATTAACACCTTGCATTTCATTACCATAGACTGTATATTGTCATTAGTGAGTCTATCAACAAGAAACAGAATGGATTATTATTTTTTTTTTTAATGATGTGAAAGTGCCTGTTGGGAGCAAGCCCACAAAAATTAAACCTGCAACTCTCAAAATTTGCAAGTGACTTTTCAAAGAAGAAGCCTAGAGTAGTTATAAGGAGTGCACTTGGCAACTATGGATGAGGGCTGTTGGAGGAGTGCGGGGTCTCTGGATCCTAGTTCACTTTAATTAAAACACAAGGGCATTCAAATGCCACATGTGTAATGCAGGACTCTGAACCAAAAAGTAGTTTAGAAGGGTTATTATTTTGGAGCTGTCACTAGGTTTAGAAATGGAATCATTCAGTAGGAGGATAATAAGATTTCACAGTGTATTAGCAGAGACAGTTAAGAATGACTGGAGATGGGTTTTGTTTTGCTTTAAGGTGCATTTTGTAACTTTTCTGATGCGGGTGTGTCAAATGCTTTTATGCATGGAATTTTTTTTTGCTTTGTCAGAATTTTTCACAGTATTAAACCTTTCTATATTCATGGTAACCAAACCAGACCAGTTACAGGTCAGATCTGTGGAGAGGCAACTCTGCTCACAGAATGAGTTTTTGAGCTATAAAACCATCTATAATTGAACACATGTAAGGTAGATCTGTTTAATAACATACTGTGGAATATTTTAAGCAAAGCAATGAAATATCCAGAGAAACAAGAAGGTCACAGACCCCCAAACAAAAAGCTACACAGTGCACCTTTAAAGGCTAGCACAGTACTATATGCAAAAGACCCTTCAACCTCACACTTTGGGTAACCCTGACCTTTTTATTTAATTTAGTGACAAAGACTAACCTCTCAGTGCACGAAGACCGCTACAGGGTTCCCTATGTAAAGGTGAGGTCCTTGAGTCATTTCTCAGTGAACCTAAGCTGCTGTGTCACCCCTCATGTTTCTTTCGGTTGTTTTCAAACGCAGGGCTGTACAGAGCGTTTCGTCATGAGCCCAGAGGAGGTGATGGATGTGATAGATGAAGGAAAGGCCAACCGCCACGTTGCAGTCACCAGTGAGTCACGCGGCTCTTCTCAAGCATCTCACGTCACATCTAATTCACAATTAAAGATCAGGAGCATGCACGTTTCAAAGAGGGAAGGTGCACGGTTTAAAATTAAGGTGATCATGTTTTTAGCAAAATACTACAACCAAGTTTATGTGTGGATGTAGTAACAGCCTAGTCAGACAGATATTTCCATGTTTGCAAATAAAAACCCACTGACGGATGATCATTGAATTTTAATCAGTTTTAAGCGGTTGTTCATCTTATTTATGCATGTGTTTTATTTATTTATTTATTTGACAGAAACATTGAACTATAAATCTATAATGTATTCCACAAACCAGACATAGCTACTAGCGAATTTTAATCTGTAGTCTGTGGGCAGAGGCAAAGTGACAGTGGGTAATGGTGTGCAGGTACTTCATAAAATGGCCCATGTAACATTTTAAACCCAGCTAAAATCATCTAGTCTGCCTGTGTAGATTACATCATTTGAAACACTGGCTTCTTGAGCTGTTAATGTTGCAGTTTTAGGTATTTGATTTACCAGAATCAGTATCAGAATCACAAAAAAGCTATACTGCCACTGATTCACAATTTCAAATGAGGCCTTTTTACACAAGCTGTGGCTGTAAGTGTTTTGTTTAGAGCTTGAAGTTTGAAAGCTTGAGAGGTGAGAGGTAAAACAAAAATCTATTTCAAAGAAATATGGAAAAATCTTTAGAACATCAGATGCACTCCCAGGAGATATCTGCTACAATAGATTCAATCAACTTTTTACATTATGAATATTTAATAACTCACTTATGCACGGATGTTTGTTTGTCTGACCAAGCTAAGGACGCCAGAGTAAGACAGATCACTTTGCTCCTTATTTAAAGATACACCGTGTAACTTTTCTGATGGAGTGTCTGCTTTCAGTTTGTGTCCATGGAGATGTTGTTGGTTTGTCTGGAATGTCCCGGTATGGCATTAAATGTATCCATCTTGCTCAATGATATTGGTTTTAATGACTTAAAAACTTTCATTCTTACTGTGAGTGGTCTCACCTCTCCACGGAGCTGACATGTAACATGGCCCTATGGCATCTCCTGTTGTCCCCGTAGAGATAAATATGACTTTTCCATGGAAGCTGGTGACTGAAAAGTTATGCAGTGTGTATTTAAAGGTTGGCATTTTAATCTCTATTCTGGATTTAGACTTAACACAAGCATGCAGACTACATATTGTTTTACTTCTGTTGAGTTGTGATAAAGACAACCTGGTTTGCAGTTTGTCAGTGATAAAGAGTCTATGATATGTGCAGAGTGGAAACATAAGGAAGCAGAGGTGAGGAACGTGCCATGGGGCGTAAAATGACTGCTTGTCTGAGCTTTGATGCGACTTACTCAAAATGACACTTTATCTTGGCTCACTGTGTTTTTCTTCAGACATGAATGAACACAGCTCACGCAGCCACAGCATCTTCCTGATAAATATCAAACAGGAAAATGTGGAAACCGAGCAGAAGCTGAGTGGGAAGCTGTACCTAGTCGACCTAGCAGGTAGCGAGAAGGTAAGATAAATGGGAAGATTTATTACATCTTACAAGGTCAAATTTGCCAGCTAGTCTATGTTTTGTTGTGGTGTTTTTCCGTTAAGTGAATTCTCACATTTTTCATTTTTGACACCACTGGGAATCTTCAAGTAAATGCTATTACATTGTTCTGCATTCATGGGATCAAGGCTTTTATAGATTTGGGAGCTTTTGCGATGTAGAAATAACACAGCTATTCCCATTGGTTAATGAGGTCATTCCTAAAACACAGGTCGAACGGAGCTTAGCCATAAGAAGCAATCCTTTATTTTCAGGGCCACTCAGGTGAACTCTGACTCAGCTTGCTCTGTCATGCACGCGAAAAAACAATTTCTCCTGAGGACACAGGTCATTCTGTGGAAAGCAGAGAAAAGAAAAACCCAGCCACCAGGAAAGATAGCTCAGTGTTGCTGGTTGCAGTAGTATTGATGCAAACTATAGAATGTCTTGTATGGGAAGTAGTGCTGGGAATAGCCTGAGGTTTCATTAGCTAATAGTTGCTGATATTGCACGGCTGAGTTGTCTTGGTCATCTCCTGGGACAAAATACTGTCTCCCTTGTAAATTGGGTAGGCTTTGATAGAAAACATTATCGACTGTACACCAAGTTAAAACGCACTGACAGAAAGATTTGATCGGAGTCGTCATTTGCTGGAAATGGACTCCTAATTATGTCAATATCAATAACCATGATGTCTTTGCACAATTGCAATGTCTTCTCTATTGGCAACAAATAGCCAACAGTAGTTTCTGAAGTTGATTGGTGCATTGTCACAAACTGTGTGGATAATATTTTTCTAACTTAAATTGGAAGAATTGTATTGACAGGACGACAGGACGGTGGTTTATCTGCCTCCACAACACAACAAAGTTTCTTGCTGTCTCCTCAGGATACTTTTTATTGCCTATATATTCATGCTTTTTCTGTTGCTTGCTTTCTGGGCCACATGCCATCAGCAGTGGTATTTCCAGACAACTAAAATGAAAAATCAAGATGACTTTGATGGCATGGAAATGTCAGCCCCATTCCAAGATGCAGCATCAATACACAGAGCTAAGGTAGCAGGCTATGCTAACTGCAGCTTAACAGATTTTATTTAAACAGCATGCTATAACATAACTTATTGCACTGTGTTTTTATAGATTAGCATAAATTAATTAAACTGTTATTTTTATTATAACACCTCTCTATTTGTTTTGCTTACTATTTAATCCGTTTGAAATTACTTCCTTGAATAATTATCCTTTAAATTTGCTAACAAGCTAAGTAGACAAGACCTGAATGAATTAGCATAATAATTTTGTTCAATTATTATACCATGGTGATGACTGCCAGGCATTTTCTTCACTCTACTTAATATGTATTACAAACATTTGTTCTACATACAAGCACACATTGGGTTGGGTTTACAAGTCCTATGGGAACATCACATTGACTTTCATTCTGGGAGACTGATCTGGACCATAGTCCCTACACGTCTTACCCTAACCAATTTAATAAAGTTGAAAACCTAATATTGAAGGATTTACAACAAGAGGACTTAATTTTTGTCATCACAAGATCGGAAGGTCTCCATAAATGTAGCTTCTCATATTTTAAACCGCACAATGTGACAAATACCCGACCCCACAGACATTAATAGCATGGAGAGTGTTACATGTGAGCCCTGTATCCACCATTTTAATTTTGACTGTAGTTAGTAGCAAATTGCATATTGATTTTTAGACGCAATTACTGTGCACTTGGGTTAAGACAGGGGCTCCCGTTGGACCGTTATTAGAAAAGAAAGAAATGAACCTACGAGTCCTTTTTGACATAGTGCATTTAAAGAGCCAATATTACGCTATTTTCCAATCGATGTTATAATGTTGTTTCCTCATTACAAACATACCAGGAACTGTGTTTCGTTTCATGCATGCTTAAGACATAAACCTTGCTCTACTCCACACACCTTCTCTAGAATCATTTGGATCATTTTAACCTTGAAATTGCCAATCTCTCCTTGATTAAAGATAAAAGGTAGCTGTTAACTACCACTACATGACATCACAATGTGGAACAGAGCATTTTGAGGAGATGCTTTGGAGATATACTAGTAGACAGCCTAATAATAAAGCGTTGCTCAAACACATGTGAATGAAACAAAACGCAATTCCAAGTATGTTTTAATGACATAACAACAGTCTAACATGGCTTAAGTCTCACAAGAGTCATTTTAGTGCAATGTAGAATCTTTAAATGTAGTTTCTCTCTAATTCCTGTGCTGTGTATCTGTGTCAGGTCAGTAAGACAGGTGCAGAGGGAGCCGTGCTGGATGAAGCCAAGAACATCAACAGGTCTCTGTCCGCCCTGGGGAACGTCATCTCAGCCCTCGCAGAAGGAACGGTATGACTGCGAAACCACTGTAATATTCATGCTGAACCAGTGTTCAGCTGAGATTGTATGTGTGACGGTCATGTGCAGACCTGCTTATTATACATTATGCATTTATGGTATGTTTCCAATAATAATTTGCAGAAACATATAGCATCTATTCCAGCCCTAGAGCAATTTGTGTTAATTCTGCTTGATAATTTATATTTTCCTTGTAAAGCCACATATTTTAAATTATAAACACTAAACTTTTATACCAAATGTTTACTGAGATTTATAGGTCATCTTACATAACCTGCAGCCAATCATCATCCCTGGTAGTGGCAAGCAGGTGCAGCAATAGTAATAATAGGGTGATAATGAAGCTTATAGTGGTGACAGTCGGGGTTTTCTGTTTGTTTCCACTTGTGTCTATTTTCCAGGCACTCATTTCTCCCCATAAACCCCCCAAAAAGAATAAAGTGTACCCTTTAGCCAGTATTTGTCAGTGTGACCAGTAGTACAGAATCCAATTCACAAATAATTTCAATTAGTGACTGTTTTTTTTTTTTTTTCAACCTTTATACCTTTCGTAATTTTGACCTCTTCACAGCTTCACAGAGCTTAAATAAGTAAAATCCTCAGGTTCTAATATTGTGAATTTTAATGCACGGTATAGCCAGTGCAAATGTTATATAGTATATTGATCTCAAGTGTTTGCTCTATAACGTACTTCTGCACATGATGGTCATAATTCTCAGCTTGGAATATATTTGTATCTAACTGTCAGTATTTCTGCTATATAGTCAGCTTTTCCCAGTCCGCCTTATTAAAAAGCACCATCATCCAGCCATCTAATTTCAACTGAAAGTGAGCAGTCATTGATTTATAAACCGCACAGAAATACTAAGAGATTGTGAAATGCCTCCTGACTGTTTAATAAAGGCACTTTATCTTCCTATTCACAACTCAAGGCTGTAGCCTGATTGACAGAGTTGCATTGGTTTCACATTAACAACTATGAGTGACAGTGCAGCCAGAGAAAACCCTCTTGTGTCTTTGTTCCTGGCTGATGCTCACAACGTTCCTCCTTTAGTGATACAGAAAAACTTGGCATTTCACCAAAGAGAATCCCTTTTAATCCTCTGCTCTTTTTTTTTTTCTTTTTTTTTCTTTTTTTCTTACTTTTCTCTGTGTAGAAATCCCATGTACCGTACCGAGACAGCAAAATGACACGCATCCTTCAAGACTCACTGGGCGGAAACTGTCGCACCACAATGTTCATCTGCTGTTCCCCCTCCAGTTACAATGATGTGGAGACCAAGTCCACCTTGATGTTTGGCCAACGGTGAAATACTTTTATGCTAATTTACTGCAGTCACTCACACATCTATCCCTTGGTTATTGGGTTATTTGCACATGCCTTTCTCATACACTGGACCCCGGGACAACTGTGCTTCTGCATTCTCATTTAAATACAGTTGATGTGGGCTGGATTCTGAGGGGCTTTGAGAACCTGATCACAAAGCATAGATTTTTTACATAGACTGGCACAGCGTTCTACTCATAAAAAACAATACAATATTTCTTGTGCTTACGAATAATGTACCAACTCCATAAAAACTTTTTGACATATCATATTTTATTCTCATACCCCGCTGTAGTCCATCTCTTTCAAAGCAGCTTTGGGACTGGGACAGAATACTGACTTGTGACCCATTAAGTTAAGATTATTCATCTCATACACGGTAATAAACCCGACAATCAAATATGTCAATAATAATATTTCACTCCAGCTTTAAATAGACCCTGGGACACAGTCTTAAATATCTTTTAGCAGTACACACTAATACAGGCAAATGAGTTAATGAATAAGTGAATAATTTTCCAACAACCTTTGCTCATTTAAAACAAAAGAAAGAATATTTTGTTACTGCTATCATACTGCCATGCCAAATCCTTCAAATTAAAAAGGAGTCCTTATGACTGAAATCCATAAATAGCTCAGTGAGGCTTCTGTTTTTTTATATGTATCTGTCTCGCTGTCAGTCAGAGATTTATTTAATAATATAACACCTTATTTGCATAGAATTAAGAGCAAGTGGAAAAAATCCAAGGTGCAAGAAAGAGAAGAAGATGCTGCAGAAAGTAGCATGATAAAGTGGTGTGGGGGCACACCACTTTATCATGCTACGTTCATGTGGTCCTTGGGAATTCTGCACCTGACGAATAAGCTGATTTGCCTATTTATCTTACACGTTTGAACTCTTTTACTGAAAAATATTACATTTAGGAATTTACTGTCAGTTATCCTTATCATAAGAGCAACAGATCAGCACAAGAAACACCAGAGACTACAACTGTTTAATTAACTGCATATGTAACGTTAACTAGTAAAAGTAAATAAACAACCTAAGCAAGCTAGCAACAACAGCGCTTAGCCTACTGGTTAGTTTTTTTAAATGCTGTTGATGAGCGGGCTCAGTGATTTTACTGATGACATCAAAATCCTGACTTCCCCAGGTAAAAGCACATGAGCACAAACAAGTCAGAAGGGCCACATAATGCAGCATTAGTCTAAACAAAAAAGAACTGTAATGGCAGAATTATTATAGTTCTAATGTAAAAATAAAGGCAGTGATGTGGAAAATGGTGTGTTGCAAATGACGACTTTCTCCAAGAATGACTGAAAGCTGAAAGCGTGTTTTAATGAAGAAGAAAATAATTGCTTTTAATGCTTGTAGCCATGGCAGCGCCAATTTCACAACCAATGAATATTAAACATTGATGCTGTTACAGTAGAACAGTATTTCCTCACATATGGAAATACTGATGCATTAGAGGAAAAAAATGAATGCACACACTGCTAATAAAGTTTAGCTTAATCTTCGGTTTGACTTATACTATAGATTTCAGAGTTTGATGGGTTATGTGTGTATACAAGACAACAATAAAAATGCAATTTCATTTTAAGCCTTTTACTGTTCAGTTTAGCCAGAGTTTGACAAGATGATACCATTTTAGATGAAGCATTTTGTCTCATTATCATCAGAAAGCAAATGAGTTGGGACTTGCCATGTTTACTTGGTGAAGTGTGAAAGTAAGTGATATCTAGTGATATGATATTCACTGTCAGATACCAGGATAGCACTAGGATAATGGGTTAACTCCGTGAATGAATGACTTGTTTAGTAATCAAATAAAGAACATATTTTAAATATTTTTCTTAAATGTCCTATATTACACAAAATTTACTCTTGTGAGCATTAAACCATGTTAGATCAAAACCAAACCTTGAATTGTGGCTTGTTTCATTCACATTTGAGTAATCCTTTATTATTATTCTGTCTACATCTCCAAAGCTCAAAATGCTCAAATTAACAGCTACCTTTTACCTTTAGTTCAGTATATTGTCATTTCTAGTGCTGCAATCATCTAAATCAGGGGTGTCAAACTCATTTTGGTCCGGGGGCCGTATCCAACCTACTTTGATCCCAAAGGGGCCGGATCTGAAAAATCATGTCATATAAACCCCAAAAATAACAATAAGTTCAAATATTTGTGCAGAGAAATGCAAATCTATTACAGAAATCTTTTTTAATTGATGAACTCTTTCTTATTATAATATTATAATATTATGAACAACCTGAAACTTTAAGAAAAATTCCATTTCAACACAATGTTTTAACATTAACTGGTATGCAAACAGGAATAAGTAATTTTTTCTTGGAAAATCCTGCACTCAGCGTTAACTTTTCTCATGTTGGACATTTTCCTGATGAGGGTGTCATGGTCAACAGTCAAAATGATCGTCTTTTAAGAGCATTTGGAAAGAGACAAGTCTTCATTTGTGTTGCTCTGGTGGGAGGGGCCAAACACAGAGGCTCTGGAGATGCTGCTATGCTAAGCACTGCAGAAAATTACCAATATTTTAATAGAAAATATAATTAAATATTTTAGTAGAAAATCACCCAAGGGCCACATTAAAGGTTTTGGAAGGCCCCCGGGCCGTATGTTTGACACCAGTGATCTAAATTAATCTAATGAAGGTGCATGGCGTTTAAAAACAGAATGGAGGACTTCCTGTGTTACCACACAATATCACAAAGTGGAACTGACTTTTTTTTGTGTGTGTTTTAGACATGTGTGAATGAAACAAATCACAAATCTGACTTGATGAGGAAACAACATTATAACATAGATCAGAAAATAGAGTAACACGGGCCCTTTTATCATAAAGACTGTGTAGTGCAGCGTGTATATTTTACTATTGTAGTTGTTCATACATACATTTTCCTTATCATACACACCATCAAACAGGAGAATTCTCATTTGCATACCAATTAGTGAGATGTAAGCCTCCCTTCATTGAGAACCCAAGGCTGTTACACACTAATGTTGACAGTTCCTTAATTCACTGTTTCTTTGAAAAAATTCACATGCTCTTAACACTTCCTGGATTTATTATTAGTAACTTGTTCTACCCTCTCTTTCACTACATCCCCTTTCATTAGAGCCAAGACCATACGCAACACAGTGTCTGTGAACCTGGAGCTCACAGCTGAACAGTGGAAGAAGAAATATGAAAAAGAAAAAGAGAAGAACCGTTCACTGAAGGAGAACATTCAGAGGCTGGAGATCGAGCTCAACCGCTGGAGGAATGGTAATGTGTTCTTTCACACTGCTCACACACTAACAAAGAATCACAAAGGGGACAAAACTTAAAGTGCACTATGTAACTTTTGTGGTGCAAATTCCACTAGTCTTCATTAATACATACATTGGTTTGCTCTGAATATTCCACAGTATGAAATTAAAATGATATGAGCCAAGCCACCAGGCCAAGTAATTGGTCAGATCTGTAAAGGACCAGGTCCACAAGTTTTTCAAGTAATTTTTTGCAATAAAAACACCTGAAAATTAATGAACACAAGATACATGTAATCTTATACTCATTTCTGGCAAAGAAATATTGCCAACATGCAGACATAAGGTAGCATACGTTCTGTTAGAGAAAATAAATGTTGTCCTGACGAGTCCTAGAGTTATAAAGAGAGGCAGGAGACTCTGGAATCTGAAGTTTCTTTACTATCACTCCAGGACCCTGTGACTTGAATACTCAACACTAGGAAGGACAGCTTGGAGACAAACTGGCCAAGATAAAATGAGAAGTGCATAGCATACTGCTTTTGTGAGGCGAGTTGACCAAGGAAACTGCTAAAGAAGGACAAAATCTGTAATAGTTGGATAACGCCAGAGCTAACCACAGAGAAATGTCAACAATGAACTGGAGGTGTTCTTGCTAAAACTAATCAGGGGGTGCAACGTTCCGTAACAACCTCCACCAGAAACAGTGCACCTTTAAATCAATGTATTGACTTAAAGATCAGTAATTAGTCAGTAATTCACTGTGTCTTTTGGGACAAACCTGTGTAATACAGAGCAAGTGAGCAAGAGATTATGACATATTAATGATTTGCTTGTGTTGGTCCATTAATTGTTTTAACCAAACTAGGCATATATGCATGATGAACAAAATGTAAAAAGGGAAACTATAGATGCATCAGATAACTCTCCAAATGTCTCCAAACTCTCCAATAAGTTCCCATACAACAACTTCACAACAATTGCCCCACCTGACTTTATAGTTGTCTAAGCGATATTGGCAGTCTGCCTAAAATCCCACTATCCCCCAGTGTGTCTGGGCTAGACTCAGGCATTGATGAGAGATTGGATAAAAATCTCACCAACCGTACCGCCTCAAGACATTATTTTCCAGACCCGTCTAAGTGCCGACTTAACCTCATTTGATATCATCTCGAGTGAAGCCAATGGATAAGAAAGAGAGCAGCCCAAATGACTGGCTGGACCCGTGCCTGAAGACACTTAGCAAAATCTCACTGGCTATTTCCTTAAGTTCTGAATTTCACGCAGTGTATAATGTACTTCAGGAGCAGGCATTAAACAGCCCTTATTACATTATTTTTTGATCTATGTTATAATGTTGTCTCATCAAAACCATACCTGGGATTGTGTTTTGTTTCATTCACTCAGGTTTGACACACAAATCTTGAAGATCTGTGTTCTTCTCTCAAACTAAAAACACTCTGTTCCACCTTGTGATGACATGTGGTAATACAGGAAGTGCTCCTCTGCTATTTTAAACTTCACACACCTTCACTAAAATCTTTTGAATAATTTCAACTCTGGAATTTCCAATCTCAACTGCTAAAGGTAAAAGGAGCTACTTAAAGTATCACTTAAGAACATCTCAAGGTGGAACAGAGCAGAGCTTTGGAGATGTAGACAGACTAATAATAAAGGAAAGGATTACTCAAACGTGTGAATGAAACAAAACACAACTCCAGGTATGTTCTTTGCAGCTCTAACAACATTATAACATGGCTTAAAGCTCCCAAAAATCAGTTTTGTCTAATATAGGTCCCAGTTGATGGCTGTTTTTTTAATGCCCCTTATGTTTTTGGTAGCATCACCTCTGGCCCTGTCACCTTATCGTAAGCTATGCAATTATCTATCATTGGGGTCTTGGTGGATCAGTTATCACTTTACAACACACACACACAAACACACACACACATACAACCCCGACACACACATGCAAACACATACTACTCCCATGGCTCCAGGTCGATGGAACGCGCGTGTGCTCAGTGACTGCAATTACTTGACATTCTAGTCATGCAGGGGATGCCGTCCACCAAAGATAATTTCACAGCATTTTTATTGAACCCCTATCAGCGAAAATTATTCCTTTTATTGCCTTCTTCCTTTCTCATTCTCCTTCATACGGAGTCCATCCACAGACTCTACCTCACAATTTAGTGGTTTTAATTCACTAATGGATCATTTTGATAGTATCTCCCGTTCACCCATCCCCAGTGCACCCTGTTTTGTGCACGTCAGGCCAATCACTCCACACAATGGTTGCTTTTGACCTGTGTTTGTCCCACATAACCCACACTCTTTTAGTCAAAGATGGTTGAAAGACACAACCAGCTGCTTCACTTAAACTCTACAGTCACCCGTCGGCTTCCAGGCAAATGGAGGTCTCATCTTGCTGTGAGCGTTTACATCTAACCTGGCAGCTTTTATTGATTGGTGCACCATCAAATCCTACTTGGCAGACAGTCCACATGAGCTAAGTACTGGCATGTCTTAGCCATATGGATTATTTGACCTTGTCGTAAAGCAGAGAAGCTGTGTTCAATTTAAAACGCATCATCTCAGCTGTAGTACTAGTGCAATATCATAAAAAGGCACATGCGATTAAGGTCTACGAAAAATCATTTGTACCGTTTGCATTTAATACATTCGTGCATATCGGTCACTTTTATTCAATTATAAATTAATAATAATTTATGTATTTTTTTCTCAACCTCGGTTTACTCCTGTTCGGCTCTGAACTGTGATTGACATGATTTTCAAAAGAAAACCATTCATCCAGAAAACTATTATAATTAGATTTTGTTGGTTTTACTGAAAATAGTAAAATAGCACATAAGAAAGAGAAGACTGAGAGAAAGGAAGCTTATGATTAAAATAGGGTAGGGACAAGAAGAGGTGTGTGTGTCAGTCCTGCTCCTGTATTTTTTTGATGAAGCAAAAATATATCATTGTTACAAACAACCCAAACAATAAAATTAGCATCTTTGAATACTGTGCGACTGTGACTCTTTCAAGGAAAGATTAAGTAGAAGATTTAATAATCCCTTCTCTATATATGAGGCCACACAATACAATCAGTTAAAATGTTATATTTCTTCATCTTCACCAGGGGAATACATGAGCACAGAAGAAAAGCTGCCATCGGTAAAAGCTCTGCCCCTGGTGCCTCCTGAATCTGAAGAGGTCATCCCCGATATATGCAGCCCCTGTACCCCATGCACCCCATGCACCCCCTGCACCCCTTGCTCCATCGCCTCCTCCATTGTCGTCCACATTTCTGACGAGGAGAGGCAAAAGTATGAAGAGGAGATCCGCAAGCTCTACAAACAGCTGGATGAAAAGGTGAATAATCGCCACTGCCCAGGGCCCATCTGCGTGCATGAATAGAGAGCAGATTACGCATGATGGGCTGGGCTCTGTAATGGAATGTATTCATGAATACCACTACCATACATGTATTATTTATGTAAATGATTGCAGGTGGAGGCACACAACAGTGGCTAAAATGATTGCAAAAGTAGATGTTACATCAGAAATTGTGATGTTGTTCTAGACCTGCAAGATTAAAGGCACTGTATCTGATTTTTATTGTCTCAAAAATATGAAAGACTAGTTTTTAAAGGTTCCATATTACATATAATCGTGTAAGCTTTAAGTCATGTTGTTATGAAAAACATACCTGGAGTTGTGTTTTGTTTCATTCTCACATGTTTGAGTAACTCTTTATTATTAGCCTGTCTCCATCTGCAATGCTCAAAACGTTCTGTTCCAAGTCATGAAGCAGTAGTTAACAGCTACAAGTTAACAGCTACCTATTATCTTTTGTTCAATAGAGACAGCCAATTTCAGGGCTGAAATTATCCAAATGATTCTAGTGCAGGTGTGTGGAGTTAAAGAAAACTACAGTACTTCCTGTATTACCACATGTCATCACAAGGTGAAACTGCAGGTGGAGTGTTTCTTGCTTGAGAAAATAACTAAGCGTAAAATATGAAACAAAACACTGTATGTTTGCGATGAGAAAACAGCATTTTAACATATCAGAAAATAGAATAGTATGGGTCCTTTAAACATTTTGCAGTGGTCTAAGATTATTCCTCACTTAAATATTGAATTCAGAGCATTCTAATTTCTCACCGTGATGAGTTTAGAAGTGCTTTTCACAACTTTGAGAGGCCAGCTAGCATGCCAATTGTGCACCTGCTGATTGTCAAACAATAAAATGCTGCAGAATTAGATTGAGACAGTACAGAGCAGACGTATTTGACCTCAAGAGCTGCTTAAACAATATATTTGTACTGGGGCAAGTAATTTTTCTCAGATACATGGAGAAATCATGTACAGGTCCTTTAATGTGATTCTTGTGTCAATTTATATTTCAATCTTTTTTTCAATTCATCTGGGCGTGTTTAAAATGTGAACTCTAACAGAATCCAATTTTTAAAACCAAAATTGTTCGTCCAGCCCTATATTTTACTTAGACAAGAATTCAGTTTTAGTTATCCAGACGAGTACATTGGTTCCACAGTGCTATTGTCACCTCTATTAAGACTTTTAGTAATTTATGCAGGTGCAGAGCTCTCCATTGGGGGCAGAATATATGACAGATAGTGTGGCCAGGTATTCTTTGACAATACTCCCCACAGACTTATTAATAGGGTTTTTCTTTTATGTATAAGTATCCAGTGGGTGGTTAAAAATATAGGGCAGCCAATGGAAAAGAATAATTTTTTTCTCTTTATTCTTGTGGTGTTCTCACTGTGCGAGTGCTGAGACAGGCTTTTCAAAATTACATATGTGGCATGTCTATAAATAGAAAAATATCTAAATGCACATTCTCTTGTTCTGGCCATTGTGTGATATTCAAGCAAACAAATAGACAAACAACAAGAACAAAATGTATTTATTTAGATTAATAGGCTGGATTGTTTGGAATGGTAAGCATGCATTGTACATTCAGGCGGCATTGTAACCACAGATTTTGCTGTGACACTGGGTGTTTTCTACATGTAGTTACTATGGTCACACATTACATACTCTGAAAGCTCAAGAAAAAAGAGAAAATAGAAAATTAATTTTAACAGCACATTTTCAGGAGCCTGTGATCAATACAAGCATTTGTGGTTCTGTTTAGGTGTTTGATTTTTAACAAAAAGCTGATAGTGACTAATTTTTATGTGTGAGAGACTTGTTTAACGGCACAAATCAGCTCTATTGTAGTTCCAGCTAAATTAGATATCTCTGGTCTGGATTGTGTTAAAACAAAGATCAGATTAAAGTCTAATTTGAGTAAGAGAGCTTCAGATTGAGTAGTACCACAGTTAGCATCACACACACAGGGAATGTTGATGACAAAGTATCAATACTAAGAAGTTAGAATGGAGTATATAAAAAGAGACTATAAAGAGAATGTACATTTGTAAGACTTGAGCTTTAGAGACAGTGGCACTCTGGAATAAACAGGAAGCAGAGCTGGAGGGAGCAGGGGATGGATGGGGTTGAGTACACCTGAAGGATAGCTCAAGTTCAGTATTCTGAAATATACTGTGAAGTCAAAGAGGCCACATCAAACAGGAAAGAAGTCTGGGTAAATAAAGATGCTGAGGTGATTATGTCCCCTGTACACTTACTTTAAAATCTTTCTGTGCTGCTCGTTTGATATTTTTAGTGTGGATCTTCTTTAAGTTGTTTTTTTATTGTATACAAGTTTTAATCAGTGGTGGAATGTAACAAAGTAAAGTAGTAACTGTACATAAGTAAAATTTTAGATATCTGTACTTTACTCAAGTAGATTGAAGTGAAGTGTAGAAGCGTATACTTTTTACTTTTACACTACATTCTAGACCAGGTATTTGTACTTTCTACTCATCTACCTCTTTCAACAACACCAAAAGTAAAAGTTTTTTTTATTATTATTATTATTAGTTGAGACCTGCTGAAAAGCCGAGAGGTTTATTTATCACATTCGTAGATTGAGCAAACAAAAATATACAAATAAAAGCAGTTAAATTCAGCACAAATCTAAAAATCATTTAATATAGATCTCAAACTCTGCAAGAAATACATTCTTTAAATACCTTTTTAAAGGGGTACTTCAATACTTTTACTTAAGTAGATTTTTTCATGTGATAATTTTACTTAAGTGTTTTTTTTGTACTTTTATATAGGTAACAAAACTGAATACTTCTTCCACGATTGGTCTTAGTCATACATTATCTTGTTGGTGTTTCTAGGATGACGAGATCAACCATCAGAGCCAGATGGTGGAGAAGCTGAAGAAACAGATGCTGGATCAGGAGGAGGTAAAGACCAAATTGGAAACTCCTTCTTCACTTTGGTTAAACAGAATACAACAACAGTGAAAGTAGATTTATGGGACAGTTTATCAGTGGTATATTAGTATCAAAATCATTGATATTTAGTATTATATATATATATATATATATATATATATATATATATATATATATATATATATATATATATATATATATATATATATATATATATATATATATATATATATATATATATATATGCTCGGGTCCTCTACCAGAGGCCTGGGAGCTTGAGAGTTCTGCGCAGTATCTTTGCTGTTCCCAGTACTGCACTTTTCTGGACTGAGATGTCCATTGTTTTTCCCGGTATCTGTTGAAGCCCCTCTTCCAGTTTGGGGGTTACAGCCCCGAGTGCTCCGATCACCACAGGCACCACTGATGCCTTTACTTTCCAGGCTCTCTCCAGCTCTTCCTTGAGCCCCTGGTATTTCTCTAACTTCTCGTGTTCCTTTTTCCTGATATTACCATCGCTTGGTATTGCGATGTCCACCACCACGGCTCTGCTCTGTTTCTTATCCACCACCACTATGTCTGGTTGGTTCGCCATCACCATTCTGTCAGTCTGTATCTGAAAGTCCCACAGGATCTTGGCTCGGTCATTCTCCACAACCTTTGGAGGTGTTTCCCACCTTGATCCTGGGGTTTCCAGCCCGTACTCTGCACAGATGTTTCTGTACACTATGCCCGCCCCTTGGTTATGTCACTCCATGTATGCTTTCCCTGCCAGCATCTTACACCCTGCAGTTATGTGCTGGACTGTCTCAGGAGCCTCTTTGCACAGTCTACACTATACTATATCAATTCATGGGCCTTGTAGCAATTTTCAAACATTGGCAAGTATCAGTTATTGCCTCAGGATTGGTATAGCCTGAAAAAATCTATATCAGACTTAAATAGTTAACAGAGGCATGCAGTATGTATACATGAAATTTTATAGCGCAGCCCTTGAGATGAATAAAAAACACAATTTGATGTGTCAAAAAGCTCTTAACGCATCATCACTTAATCATAGACGCTGGTAGGAAAATGGGTGTCAGTGGCTTCTTTGACTCGACTGTCAGTGGCAGAATCAATGTGAAGATTAATGAAGGGCTCCTGCCTCAGAGAAATACCTGACTACATACACAGCACTGCTCATTAGACATCTAGAGCAAGAAGGAAACTCAATGCATTGATGTCAGCTGATATGCCCAATTTATTCTCACAACTGATCTATAAGGAGTGAATGATGACTTGACAGCTGTAAGTACTTTTAAAGGTCTTACATTGCACAAAATGGATTCTTGTGAGCTTCTAGTCATGCTATAATGCTGTTACCGACTCAAAAACGTACCTGGAGTTGTGTTTTGTTTCATTCACACATCTATGTATGGTAACTCTTTATTATGAGTCTGTCTACATCTCCAAGGCTCAGAATGCTCTGTTCATCCTTATAATTTCATGTAGTAGCATGCATGTGGTAGTTTTCAAGTTAACAGCCATCTTTATCTTTTAGTTCAGTATAGATTGTCAGTTCCAAGGCTTAAATCGTCCAAATGACAATGAGGTATGGAGTTTAAAAACACAGTGGGGCACTGTATTACTACATAACATCACAAGTTTTAGTGTTTTCTGTTTGAGAGAAGAACTCAGCCTAAATATGCAGGATTTGTGTGTTAAAAATGTGAATGTGAATGAAGCAAAACACAACTCCAGGTATGTTTGTGATGAGGAAACAACACACACCACACAGACCAGAAAATAGTGTAATTAAATGGCATAATTCAAAATACCCATGAAAAGTTATGTGAAAATGTGATTAGCAAAGTGTGTTCATGGCAGCTACAAACTAGCTCATGTCCGAATTGTACTGCCAGGGAAATGAGTGCACACTTTTGAAACTGGCCAATTCATAATCCAAATAGGTCGTGCCACAAGCCAAGCCAACATGATGGTAACTGACCGACCTCAGCTTGTTCTGTATGGTGCAAACAGCCGGACGCCTTGGGCCGAGCAATATCCACATTTAATAGCATGCACTGTTTAATGACGCACAGTGGGATGCAGATGAGAGTGATCATGAGGGTGACTAAATGATCCAGGTCATGATAATCTTAAGTGTTTCTACTGTATAAAAGGCCATAGCACTTTAAAATATTTTAACAAGTCATGTAATGATAGGGATCAAAAAAACATCATCATTTGTGGCATCTCCAAAAGTGCTGTAATAAGTGGACATTCATAAATACATAAAGAGAGTGGGAAAAACATGTTAAGGTCAAATTGTAATCAGTTGGCCTCCTACCAGAGCAAAGTGAGCAATGCTGGCACTGGTAGAGTTGTATATTTTCCATTGAAAAATTACACAGTATGACATAGGACGTTGCTGATATAAAATGACGTTCATCATGATATATCTGGTTAGTTGGTAAATAGGTATAGTAGTATATATAGTACAATTAATTTAAAAACATTTCTGCTCAACAAACTTTATTTACTAATTATGATTCATAGAGTTAATGTTGCATGCTAATTTTGCACTTTACACAAATCCAATATTTTAGTGCTAGTCCACAATTGTAAGGTGCCTTTGTTGCTAGGTAACCATAATTATCCTTGGTGATTTCTAAATGTAGAAAAATTGGCCCTGTGGTAGTTTTAAACCTATAATTTTCTTTCCATACACATAAAACTCCAAGTAAATGAACACATAAAGCAAGCCAAATCTAATACTGTAATTAAGCATATTTAAACAAGGCAAATGAGTGTTTATGACCCCAGTGCTGACATTTGCTCGTGCTCTGTAGTTATTGGCGTCTTCAAGGGGTGACAGTGAGAAAGTGCAGTCAGAGCTGGGCCGGTTGCAGTCGGAGAATGAGAGCTCCAAAGCGGAGGTGAAGGAGGTGCTGCAGGCCCTGGAGGAGCTGGCCCTCAACTACGACCAGAAGAGCCTGGAGGTGGAGGAGAAGACCACTAAAAATGCACTGCTGGCAGAAGAGCTGACCAAGAAAATGGTGAGTTTGAGTGAGTCAACCTGGGCAGTTGAAAAACTACGGGGGGAAACTATGTATTTACAGATTATAGCCAATTGACTGTAATTTGTTACAATCACAGGAGTTACTGAGTACAACACAAGTCCCAATCATTTAAATCCACAGTTATTGCACTGCTGTTTCTGCTCTTACCTCTCAACACATAGTTGCATTTAGTTTCCTGGTCTGATTTCCTTTAGCTCAGTGTAATTTGGTTTAAAAACAAAGTAATTCTGCATTAAAAAGTTAAAACATGTTTTGTATACACTGAAATTATACTAAAATTGCATTAAAGTGTTACTAACGAGTACTCTTTGCCTATTTACTTTATAAAAATTTGGGCTTAAGTATTTATAACTGGGTGCATTTTCCGCCATGTAACTGTTTTTACTTGCGTATAAATATTCATCAGTGTTCTCAGCGCTGATAAAGGGTCATTCAAGGCGTGATGAGGTTTAGAATGCTAATGTGTGTCTTACATGTTCATCTTTTTCATCATAGCATCTATTTTTAACACAGTGTCTGCGAGGTTAATGATTTGTTAATGTATTCAGAGTGATGTTTCTGTCTCTGGAGCAGTGATGTCAAACATGATATAGATTTTTAAAGCACACATCACTTACATAGTGCTATTTGCCCACAAGCAAAGAAGTGAAGTAAGATGACGCACGACCTCACTTTACCAAGTCATTAGTAATATTGACTATGGGTTTCCGAATGATTAAGAAGTAGGATTGTTGCCATAGTAATTAACTATTTTAAACTAAATATTCTGTCTCTTTGCCCTCACCTTAATGTGATGGAGTTTTCATAAACCTGGGGAGCCTGGGGACATGGACTAAGGAGCAGTGTGGTTTTTGTCCCTGCTCTGCACTCTCCAACAGGTGCTCAAAAGTGCATGGGAGTTTGCCCAACCTGTCTACATGTGCTTTGTGGATCTGGAGAAGGCATTTGACAGTGTCACTCGTGATGTCCTTTGGGAGTATTGGGTCCAGGGCCCTTTGCTAAGGGCTGTCCGGTCCTTGTATGACCGGAGCAGGAGCTATGTTCACATTGCCGGCAGTAAGTCAGACTTATTCCCAGTGCCTTGCCTCAATTGGAGAAGGTCAGGTATCTTGGGGGTTTGTTCACAAGCGAGGGAAGACTAGAGCGTGAGATTGGCAGGCGGAGGTGCTACTGGCAGGATGCCCCAGGGAAGACCCAGGACACGCTGGAGGGACTGTCTCTTGGCTGGCCTGGGAACACCTTGGGGTACCACTGGAGGAGCTGGAGGAAGTGTCTGGGGTGGAACAAGGAAGCTGAAACCCATGAATAGTTCAAATGACTATAAACACTGAATATTCGTGTTATTGTTGAGTTTTAAATAAGAAATAGTCATGATCAATTTTTCTGCAGACATGTAACTATTATACTACATGTACATTTTCCAAACTTGTAACCAGAAATTATATCTTTTTCAGTCACACATATATTATGGTAAATTGCACTGCCAGTCCCTTGAGTGCTTTTAACACAATATTAAAATAAAGAGCTGCTGGCAAAATGGTTCCATTTTTAGTTTCTCTTATACCAAACTTATTACACCAAAGCCTCTGAACACTGTTTAGTCAAGCACAAACTGTTCTCTCAAATATAAATATTGCATTTTCTTTAATCATGAGGAAATGACTTGGAGACTACTTACTTATTCACCACACTGATACAGAGAAACCTGACTGCCAGCATGTTCAAAGTCAGACATATTTATAACAGCATCTGAAGAGGTTTTAAATCATTGATGGAGATTCAATCACACTGACTTTATTAGAAATTAGTTGGTAAGGGCAAACTAGAGAAATGAACCCCTACTTTTTATTGGCTGTATTTCCTGAACAGACTGAAGTTATGTGTTCTTAATTTTACTACGACTGGCCCAGTAGACCGTGGCCACCATTGCTCAGCTTTTTTTAATCAGCTTCCATATTTCATGCATGCAGATTATTCCATTTTTATTTATTTTATATTATTTACTCCTGTAAACTACTTTCTTGCTCTAAAATGTGATAGAACTGCCCATTTAATCCTAGTTTACATCTGGTCTGCTTTAACCCCTTTACTGCCACAATACTTGTCTGTTTTTTTTTTGTTTGTTTGTTGTTGTTTTTTTGAAATTTGTACATTTTGTGTTTTCCCCCAAATAATACATTTTAACAGCAAAATTAGACCACTGCACATTCGCTGTAGCTAATAATAATATTATTTTCTATTTCTTTTCAACCCAGAAGTAATTAAAAGTGGCATTTGACCCAAAAGTGTGTGCATGGATATATAGTATTAATGGTTATAGATGCAGGCTTTTCTCTTCCAATAGTGATACTTAGATTTTAAGTATCTGCCAATACCCAATATCAAAGGAAACCAGAGCAAAAACTGAAATTTATTTCCTTTAAACACAAACAGCAGAAGATTACAAAAATATATCCAAATGTGTTTTGTAACTGTTGTATATAATTTAAAGCAGCTACACAACAGATTCATGAAAATACAAGTTTAATATTATTAGACATTTTGGGCCAGTAAATCATCTTATTGCACTCCTTTATGGACTTATGGACCTCATTTGAACTGATATCTTGATACCGATATCCAGTCCATCAAAATTTTCAAAATCAATGCCAATATCTGACACCAGTATCGTATTGACTCAGTCTTATTAATGATGTGGTAAAGGGTTTGTGAGCGCTGTAGGGATAGACATAGTTAGACATATTTAAATACGTACTTCCTCCTTCTGTGGTATGAAAATCAGGTGCCAAAGCTGTAAAGGGCACCATCTGGAAGTCTGAGTCTTTATATTAAACAAAGGCCTCTGGGCACTTTAAACCTCCATGGCCACCTCCTACAACTTGCATTTATGTTAATATTGCACAGTTGCAGCTTTTTAAATCCAGCGCATTTGCAGAACTACTGTCGAAGCAATGACCCAAAAATGGCGCAATAGAGTCCATTCATCACTGTCTGTGGGCCTCTCTCTCCTAAGCTGAATTTGTACTTCGTGCTGATACTCCTCTGTTCTTCTCCAGGAGGCAATGTGATCGCTGACTGTCATTGCCATACAACTGATCCTCTAGCCACCTCTTTAATTCACCTGTCCATTGAAAGTCATTTGAATAACTTTATTTAATCTTGCTTCTTAAGTGCAGGATGTCTCTCTCTTGTATCACACTAGGGCAGGGCAATTAATCATATTTTATTCAAGAATGAGTTTTAATCATTTCTAATTGCCAATTATTTGCATCAGTAAAAGAATGTGGTCTGTGGTTTGTATTTGGAAATAAAAATAGAGGGGAAAATCTGGTTGCCTGTAGTTATTCTTTTTGGATTGGTTTCTGAAGTGGATGTATGAGTAAAGTATTCTGAAAAAGGTTGAGATGATTTCAACTAGAACTGTGGCAAACATTTCAAATTGCATTACTATCGGGGTGGAAGCCAACATGACAAAAATAGTGATCAGTGGACACTGTTGTACTCATTAACTAATTCGACTCATTATAGAACTCAAATTTTTTTAAGGTGCAATGTGTAACTTTTCCTTTGGGGGCACCTCACTTTCTTATCACCATGAAGAAATTATTACTTTGTCTGTTGTACCATCCACGGTATATTAAACTTGAGCAAACAGCCTGAGAAAATTACACAACCAGGCCAAGTTACAAGTCATATCTATGGAATGTAAACACAAGCACAGTAAGAATCCATGTTTTAAGGTATTTTTGAGCAGCATAAACCCTAACTCAAAACTTGACAATGCAAAAATTATAGATTTTTGATGCCATACTGTAGAACAGGGGTGCTCAATACGTCGATCGTGATCGACCAGTCGATCGCCAAGGTCATGTGGGTAGATCGCCAAGTCTTAGTACTATTCTCGGACTCGATCGCGTTTGGACTCAGTCTTGTCTCTCACTGGAGGTCTGACACTCAACAACTGCGATCATATTTCATTACGGCCGCTGCTGTTGGCAATAAATTTGTAGCTCCCTGTGCACGGCTCGTCTGCAACAGCGTGTGCCCTCGTGTACCAGCGTGCGTCACAGGGCAGGTTCAACTTCCTAAACATCCTACCTGTCCATCTGCCTCATGTCAGCACGCCGCCCCTCGCCTTTTCACGCTCTAGCTCCTTCCTGCATACAGCGAACACAAGCCCCTTCCACAGTGCGCGCTGATTAAAAGAGCAAGACCAAATGTGAAGCAAAAACGAGTCTAAATTTGTGTTACAGTGTTGGCACAAAGCAGGGTTAGGGTTAGGATTAAATTCTGTGGACTCTCCTTCAAAAAATTACACAGTGCACCTTCAATGTAGTACAGTTCAATGTCATACGATTTTTTTTTTACAATCTGTTACCTTGTACTTCTTGTGTATTTATAAAAATATCATAACTGTAGTCTTGTTACAGTGTGGCCTTTGCTGAATAATTCTACTATAATGTTGTGGCACTGGATCTTACATTTTACTTAATAATCTCATTCTCAATTTTTATGTTGTTTTATGTTTCTTATTCTTTTTTTTTTGCAGGCTTGAGTTGGTGTGAATTCATCCAAATTTATTGCAGTCTCCTTCACTGATAGCTGCATTTCACCACTACCTTTGCCTCTGTTGTGATTTCTTATTATAGCCGAGTGATGGGTGATTACAGAAAACCTTACATTCATGTCACAGAAATAGCTTATGTCTCTGCTGCAGATTGGGACTTGCTTTTATCAGATACAGAATTACAGATTGCCTCTCTCTTCAGTTACAGCGAGGTCAGGTTTGTAATCAACAGAATCCCAATTGCTACACTGTGCTCCCGCTGCTGCTGAAATACATTGTCTCAAAGTTGCTTGCTGTAAGAAATAGAGCAGCACAAGAAAAGTCCCATTTTTCACTCCCAACATCCTATCAGCTTGTTCCGATGGCATATGGCCAGCTTCTTGTATCTCTATCGATTTGTAATTTAGCCACCACTTTGTTTTCCTGTGTTTCTTCGTTGGAAAGAAGGTCAAGGGTTAACGTGTATCTCTCAGCATTGAGTTCACTTCGTCTTGTCTCCTTCCTGTTGTGACTCCATTGTTGAATTGTACAAGATCGAGAATCTGTCATCTTTATTTGTTAGTGAAATGGTTGGGGTTTTTAAATCGAAAGGTCCTCTGTCTGTGGTTTGAAATAAAATAAAAAATAAAAACATATAAAACAATACGAGGCCCCTAACCACAGGTGAGAAGTGTAGCAGATGGTACTGTATCCAATGTTAGTCAACAGTAAAATTACCACATTTCTTGAATTGTTCAGGCAGCACATAAATGTATATATAATATTTCTTAAAACAGCTTGCAATGTTTTAACTCCTGCACACAAACAGTTCACTGGCACCGATCCATCTGCGCCTTTTTAACAAAAGTCTTAGAGCATCATTGTATGCCACGCTCAGTCTCTGTAGGCTGGATTTTTTTATAGTTCACCCACAGATGTGCAGTGTAGAGCAAGGTGCAGTAAGTCAATTTAACTCTATTTTCTGTGACAGTACATTGGATTTTGAGTACAACATGTGGCCATCAGTACTGAAAGATAATTTTGTTTGGTTGTTGAAAAGAAAAAAGAAAACCAAATCAAAAGCAGTGTTGTGCATGAACGCGTTCAAAAGAGCGCGTTCATTGAACACGTTCATTTTTCAGTGAACTTTGAACTGAACGCAACACGTTTGTAAATCAAGAACTTGAACGTGAATTTGTTCAAATTATGTGTGATGAACGACGTACGTCACTGTTGGGTTCAGTTAAATGTCGGAATTTGTTTTCACCTGACGAGTGACGATCTGCTCGCACTTCACCTCGCGAAACCACAGCCGCGTGTCAACGCGAAGGCGACTCCACCGGCAGCTTTAACGGAACGTACGGGCTCTTGTGTCTCTCAATGGGAAGTCAATCAAACTTGACTGGGCGCGTTTAGCTGCTTGTATTTACCTTCTGTACAGGCTGACCACGGCAAACGCAAGGATTTCAAAAGTAAATTTCAAAGCACTAATTAACAGTGTATGTGGATCTGGGCTCTTTCACATGATACACAACTGCCCAGGGCTGATGGTAAATGCACAAATACAACAACAGATTCATGCTCTCTGTGTATTTTGACGGGGATACGCGCCTACGCTCGTGTAGAGCGTCAAAAAATAGGATGGATCCTATTTTCTGAAATCTACACGCACAGGACGTGCTGCTCCGCGCGCGTATTATTTTACTTGGTACAAATGTCAGTAACGCGCGTCACAATGCTTTTTAACCTGGATTGAAATGGTGAGTTTTTCGTTTTTTTTCATACAAATTTGCTAAATTCACCGCGATATCAGCAGCGGTGAAACGCCGGAGGTTCGCCCGCGTAGACCGTGATCCTGAGCGAAAGGACCGACGCAGAAGTCCGCGCCTCACCGAACTAAACGCAGCTGACGCCCGATCGCACTCGGGGTTCTCTCAGGGGCGGTCCTAGATTCCAAGTTCTAGTCCAGGATTAGTCCTGGTTTGGTCCTGGTTTAGTCTTGGTTTAGTCCTGGTTTAGTCCTGGTTCAATTCTGGTTCAGTCCTGGTTTAGTCTTGGTTTATTCCTGGTTTAGACCTGGTTCAGTCCTGGTTCAGTCCTGGTTTAGACCTGGTTCAATTCTGGTTCAGTCCTGGTTTAGTCTTGGTTTATTCCTGGTTTAGACCTGGTTCAGTTCTGGTTTAGTCCTGGTTTAGTCCTGGTTTAGACCTGGTTTAGACCTGGTTTAGTCCTGGTTCAGTTCTGGTATAGACCTGGTTTAGTCCTGGTTTAGACCTGGTTCAGTCCTGGTTCAGTTCTGGTTTAGTCCTGGTTTAGTCCTGGTTTAGACCTGGTTTAGTCCTGGTTTAGTCCTGGTTCAGTCCTGGTTCAGTCCATATACGGAGCAAAAGTTCAGCATCTTAACAGTTCTTTTGGTGAGAGTAAATTAAAAGTGCTGCAATAGTAATGTAATGCCTTACATTTTAAATACAGTAATATTGTAATGTAACAAATTACTTTGAAATGACAGTAACAAGTCATAAATAACACATTACAGTTTTAAAGTCACTTGTCCAACAGTGGATCTTGTAAAGTTGTTGTAAACTAGAAGTCAGTTTGAAAAATAAATGTAGCCTTTCATTTACAGATCTCATCTAAATATAAAATGAACTGAACTTTGAACTAGTTCAAAATTAAAATTGTGAACTATGAACGTGAACTATTCACTTTGAACAAGTGTGAACTGAACTTTGAACTAGTTCATGAAAAGTGTGAACTTGCACAACACTGATCAAAAGTCAAGATGAGTCAATATGAGAAAACAATGTGATTCTATTTTTGCCATATCATCCAACCCTGTTTCAGTAGTTATTTTTTTACATACAGAACTTGACCACTGGCCTCTTCTTCTCTTCTGCTGTGTGCTGATTATGCCCCATTTGTGTCAACAGACTCGTCTCGTGGCTTTGGAGGCAGAGCTGTCCCGTATCCAGGAAGTGAGCAGTCACCAGAGGAAACGCATCACTGAGATCCTCAACGGCTTGATGAGGGACTTGAGCGAGTTCAGCACAATAGTCGGAAACCGGGACATCAAACTGGTGAGTGGAGAGATGTTGAATTTAATTAGTGCCAAAAGGAAACAGACTGTGAGAAATATGCCTTAGAACACTGTCAATATCAAGCAGTGTAGTTCAAGATGCGTTTGTGCACTGGTGTCCAAAATATTTCTTTTGCCTTATGTTTCAGTGGTAGAGGAAAAAATTGAGTTTTATGTTTAGAAAGGAGTTATAGTTAGGCCTGTCACAATAGTTTACTATATCAACTTACCATTCAGTATATGAAAGCTGGAGCAATATATTTTGGGGGTAAATATTTATTGTGTGTAAAAAAAATTTAACAAAAATTTGCTATTTTATTAATAATAAGTTAAGATCTGAGCCTTACAGGGTTGAATAAGTAACTTCTTATAATTATTGGATATTTCTTTTATCTATTTGCTGGAGCTTTTAACAATACTGTGATGAATGATACAGTGGCATAAAGTCATTTCAATCTTGATAGCAATATATCATACTTCAACATTTTATATCATGACAAGTCTATTTATAGCCAGTAGTCAGGCGAATCAATTGTACAGGATTCAATTAAAGCCTAGTGCCAGTGGACATATTAAAACACTGTTAAGATATCCACTTTCCTATTAATGACACTCTAAAGGTGGTCATTGAACTGTGGAGTTGTGTGGAGCCCATATAAAAGCTTTTATGGTGGTGCTTTGTATTTGTGAAGCATATGTATAAGTGTATAAAAGCCCACATTGCTCATGACATTAGTACTATAGTAAATTCAAGAGCATGATAAGTTCCTGTGACTGCAATACAGTACACCTGCCAATCACTATTTCATCTTTGCACTTCTCTCAACTCACTTTTCTTAGTTGTTGTTGTATATAGCTGAGAGATATATTCGTATTTTATTTATTTTTTTACTTGCACATATAAATATATATAATTATGCCTTATTTGACACCAGTCTCATTATTTTTGCTACTTTATTTATTATTGCAATTTATATTTTTGCTCTTTGTTATAATATATTATGATGCGTGAGCTACTGTGTCCAAATAATTTCCCTTGTGGATCAGTAAAGTTTGTCTAAGTTTAAGTCAAGCAACGCATAAGAATTACTTGTGGATTTGAAGGATTTGGCATGGCAACAGTCCTCCGCTGTAAAGCAATAAAGCAATTCAAATCAAACCATTACATCTTTTGAATGGGGAAAGATCTTCATAATCCTTCAAATCAGGAAGAAATCATGCGCCTGAAACTCATGAATAGAATGACATACAGAAAGGGAATTCATTATAAAAACATGTGAAAATGTTAATACATCTTTTATCCATTTTATTATTTTCAATGCCTCTTGCAAGGCAATTGTGCATTTTGTCATCCCAACCGATATTTATTTGGTGTAGGGTCTGTGAAATGCACCAGAAAATGTTTCCGTTATTAAGCCTTCCTATCTTCATGGAGACCAAACCAGACCGAGTTACAGGTCAGATCAGGCAACCTGTCTGTTTTTCTAGGTATTTTTGAAATATATAAAACTAGCTGTAATTTAATAATGTAAGGTAGAGCTGTTTAATGTCATACTGTGAAACACTCCAGGCAGATCAATGACATATCCATAGAAAAAAGTAGATGACAGACCTCCAACCAAAAAGATACACAATGTATCTTTAACACATCGTAAAAGTCAGTGGCAGTGCTTGACGCCATAGTTTGTACAAGATGCACATCTTCTCTGTCAAATGTAGACAGATTAGAAAAGTCTCTCCCACTCCACCTCGCTCTTATTTCAAAGCATCTGCTAAAGGGTGCTATTACCTCAACGACTATGAATATAAAACACAACCCTCCCTGCGAACCTGTCTTCTTATTACCCCCACTGCCCTATGTTAAGCCAACTTCACTTTTTGAATGAATTTTCCTGCAGCCGGCCGAGATCACGGGTGCCATAGAAGAGGAGTTCACTGTGGCGCGCCTCTACATCAGCAAGATCAAATCAGAGGTGAAGTCTATGGTGAAACGTTGTCGTTACCTGGACAACCTTCAGATGGAGTGTCAGCGCAAGATGGAGGAGACGGGCAAAGAGCTGTCCTCATGTCAGCTCCTTGTTTCACAGGTAAAATGTCTCAGTTTGAGGAATAATAGAGTTCTAGATTATAATCACGTGGCTTCTTAGTAGATAATGCGTCCTCTGTAATTCTGTTGCTAATTATCTAGTGCATTGAAGTGCCTGAATGAAAGTTTTAGAGTGTGGCGTTCAGGAGATGATGGCTATGATAACAATAGCATAATTATCTGTTTAGACAATGACAAAGCTCTCTGATTAGGCAAGCATAATTTATACTTAGATAGGCTTTGTGAAATGTGAAATAAACAGATGGTTTGTACTAAAGGCATAGGGACACATAAAATTATATATAATTAAAGATGCACTGTGTAACTTTTCTGCTAGGAGGACTGCCACAAGCTTGTTTCCATGGAGATATTATTGCTTTGCTTAAAAGGTTTCACAGTATAGCCAACTATTTATCAACCTATCTATGTTGCATTTATTCAATTACAGTTTTACTGCTCAAAAATACTACAAAAAAACATGTATTCCTAGAGTGAGCCTCTCCACAGGTCAGATCTGTAATTTGGCCTGGAGGCATTGTGAGTTGGTCTCCATGGAAATAGAGTAATGCCTTGTTTAATGCCATACTGTGGACATTCTAGATAACATTTCCATGAAGACAAGCAGGTGGCAGATACTCTACCAGAAAGTTGCACAGTGCACCTTTACTTGTAAAACTGATATTTAATGAATGTGAGTGAGTATTGATTATTGCAGTGCATAGCATAAAGTAAATATGGCAGTGGGCACATTTACACAGCCAGACTAGACTAGAATAATCACACAGTCATTAATAAGGTATAATTTTTGTTGTGCGTTTACTCAAAAACTCACGATTATTGATTTTTAGAGCTACTACTGTGTTTGGAGGACAAAGTACAAAGACTTTTGTACTTTCAATATTCAACATGTTCTATTTCATTTTTGTCTTTGCTTGATTAGTTTTTATTTTTGCATAATTTTCCATGTCAAAACCTGAACTATCAAAAAGAAATCAGATTGATCACATCAGATGAAACAGTTTACATTACATTTCAATAATCTTATAATTCCAGAAATCAGAAAATGATAATATTTTCAGTGTGCATATTAACATACACACTTACATAAAAGGATGCATATGAATGTAGGACCGTTTCTGCCTAACCAGGAAATAAATTCTGAATGACCTGGTTAATTTCACTGTTGTTAGTAGACACATAGACTCCTCAAACAGTTCTGGGCATACCCAGCAGTCCCATGGCTCATCAGTATCCTGTGTGTGTTGTTCACGCTCTGTTGTGACTTCCAGCATGAAGCAAAGATCCGTTCTTTGACCGACTGCATGCAGAACGTGGAGCAGAAGAAGAGACAGCTGGAGGACAGCTATGACTCTCTCAAAGAGGAACTGGCCAAACTCCAAGCTCAAGGTACGGCTGTGAATACCATTGTAATAAAACAATGCAGTGACATCCTGAACATACCAACACCCATCAGGGTCTATGTGTAAATAACAGTATGATACCGGAGTCTAGCCACTACCTGCTGAATATGAACCTGTGATGAATTAAATAGGTTAGGAAAATCAATACTGTGCAAGGATGGTGCAGTACATAAAACAGAATATATAGGTTCTGCTGGAATAATGCCATGGGTCTCTAATAAATAAGAAACAAGTTAAAGGCGCTGTACTTGATTTAAAAAATAGAAGTAGTGCAGTGGTCCAAAAGTTATTCCTCACATTATTATCTGATTATTCACAGTGATGATAAGTGCTCTCAAGAGACCAGCTCTCAAGAATTGTGCTCTGGCAGTAAAACTAACAACTAGCATGTAAATGTGCACTTCTTGATTATAGGACTATACCATGATTTCTAATTAGGTGAAGGCAATACTAGACTTAGTTGACCTCAATAACTGCTTATACAATATATCTGTACCGAGGCAAGACAAATGGTGCTTAAATACATGGGGAAAAAATCTGGTATGTGGCCATTAAGTTGAAATTTACTTGCTGAAATGTACATGTTTTCCACATTATGGAAAAAAAAAGATAATAATAATTTTAAAACATTCACAGAAGAACAAGCAATATACAATCATGCATGGGAGATCTATGTCCATGCTAGATAACTATCATTCTGTTTTGTGGCTCAGTTCAAACCTGATGCATATTTATAAATGTGTAAGTGTAAGTTTCAACTAACTATGTAGATTCCCAGGATGCACACACATTTCAGAAATCAGGCCAAAGGCAGTGTGAGTCACTCTTTTAGGGAGTCCCAATGAACTGCTTTAAATAACAGGTGGCTAAATGAATCTACTCTTTATTCACGATGCCACATGGTCCTTGAGTGGTCTCTGTAGAAAATAAACACTGAGCTGTGGAGGTTGTGTCTGAAAGAGCCTGATATTTCCATCATTAAAGCAGCAGTAAACACTATGTCTTGCTCAATGTCCCCGTGGCTGGGACATTACACATGATTACACCAGAGGCATGACTTGTCCCCTGCTGACCTGATCATCACAATCATTCGATGTACCGCAGTGCTGTCAAAGGCAGGTCACTGTCACCCCGTTTGTCTCCATCAGTGACACACTCCTCCCTCTCTCTACTTCTCTCTCCTCTTCTCTCCCTCTCTCTCCCTCTCTCATCTTCTGTCTCCCTCTCTCTCCCTCTTTCTCCCTCTCTCCTTTCTACTTATCACTATACTTATCTTCCAAACATGTGCGCTTGGATGTTTTCAGAGAGTGTGTCACGGGTGGCCATGCGGGAGAACCACACAACAGTCCAGAAGTCGGCCAGGATAAAGGTAACCATGACTCGGACTGGAGCATCTCCAGTGAATGCTTTCATCTGCCACAGTCCTGTGCCAGCTGCTGCTTTCATCGTGTGTAGTTGGAGAGTTAGACACAGACATTCTTCATGTGTCGTTTGAGGTGTCCGTGGTTCTCCTAAAGCTCAAATTATTCATTATAGTGCTCTGAGGGAAGTCAGATAGCTTTGTAACAAAATGAGACTCAGGTAGCAACAGGAATGTTTTCTCAGGAAATGTCAGTTTCAAGCACAGAAGCCATCAAGTCTTTATCCCAAAATAATCACTCTGTTAAAATATATTGCACATCTGTAGCAAGGCCTATTAAGAGCAATTGTTTAGTTCTAGTTAGTCATTTTTAGTGCAGTTGCACATGTTTATTAGCTTGGATCCTTTTTGTATGCAGGACTTAAAAGGCACAGTAGTGTTTGAACTAAGCTCCAGCAAAGAACATTGTTCCTCATGGGACTCACAATTATGTAATCGAGCAGTTTCCAGCTGTTATTCTACTACAGGGTAAATATTAACATGCGATCAAATCACTAATAAGGCCATTCTAAATGAGACCGAGAGGGCTCTCTGGGGCTCTCGTTCATCACTAAATCACCAGTAAACAGGTCATATTTGAAACCTCTTGTTTTATTTTATGTCATGGTTCATTAGCTCACTAGTCACACTGGCAGTGAAGTACACTCTGGTCCATTTGCTATGCTTCCATGGCCTTGTCCAAATGTTCACTGGAGTGTGTAATACTCAGTCATTATTTAGTGTTTTCCCCTCTGTCCTAACACGTGTCTGTCCTGCCCCTGGCGGTGGGCTCTCCTCAGAGGGCCATGGAGCAGCAGATGGCCTCACTCAGAGAAGCACACAGCAAACAGCTCAGCCTCCTGAGAGATGAACTCAGCGAGAAGCAGAGGACCATTCACCAGCTCTCAGAGTCAGTGCCTACTTTTCATTCTGTTTGTCATTCCTTAAAATAGCTATACATTTTCAGTTAATTGCCTGGTCTTATCTCTCCCATGAGGTCTGCATTGTGAATGAACTGCAGTACCAGGTTTTTGTTGTTTGGGACCCCTCTGGGCATTTGTGTTTAGAAGCTACAGTTTATCAGAGGAGACAGGGAGGACAGTACACAGAAGACTACTGGGAGACAGTGTCCTTCTCAGGTTCAGGGGGGGCAAACAGGCATTCAGACTCCTCTGTCTTTTTCTGTTAATCTTATACAATTGTTGGGAAATGGATGGACATCAAATACAATAGTGTATAAAAGCACAGGGTCACAATGTAGTATCTAACATCTAAGCCTTCATGGTAATCAATGAAAATTACCTTCTGCTTTGTGTTAAACCTGACACATAAGTATGTGATACATAGAGGTACGAGCACAATTATGTTCAATTACAGTGAATAATAATACAAATTGTAAGTAAGTAAATGTTGAGACAAGGTTAAGCGGAAAAGGACAAATTTAATGTAATCACATAGAGCTCCATTACATTAAAATTGTGTTTTTTTTATTTTGACCTCTACATAAAGGACACAGCCTACGCCCTGCATTTTAGATGACTGAGCTAGACACTGAAGGAAAATCTTAATCCAAATCAGTCTTTTGCTTTGTGCTTTAGTTGTAACCAGAAACAGCAGTTGGAGCTAGACCAACTCCATGAGGACTTTGAACGTCTGAAGAGCCAGGAGCATCACAAGAGCCGGCAGCTGGAGGAACTAACGTGAGTTTGAGTGTGTGTGCTCTGTGGGGCTGGCCAGTGTTCAAACAGTGTCCATATGGATGCCTCAGGGCTGTCTCTTTCACTCCACATCCTCTACTCCTCTCTGTCACTTACCATCTTTAGTCCACTTATTTTGTTGTTATGACATCCATGCAGTATTCATGTACTGTGTGCTTTTCTTAAAATTCTAACAGAGCTATACAGGCTGTGCCTATAATTGGCTAGAAAGCTCAGCTAACCCTTTTAACCTTCTTTTATCTGGTTAGCTGTCAGACCCTCTTTTCCGTTTCCATTATAGACTTTTACTTTAGAGAGACAGCTGGTTAGTAATAGGCCCCAGCATTGACCTTTGCAGCATGTTGCATCATGTGGCAGATGGCTAGCAGCTCATGAATACGTCGATGGTGTATGATACATATGTTCCTTATTCATGAAAGTGCTCTAAATCTGCATATACTGTATGTGTCTGCCTTTTTCTCCGTCTGTAGGTTTCTTAATGAGCGACATGAGCAGTCAAAGCAGGACCTCAAAGGGCTGGAGGAGACTGTTGTAAGTAATGATGTTTTCTGGTCATTTTCACTCTTGCAGTTAATGTTTTTTTATGTTTTTCACTTTTTTGTGTGTATTTTTAAACTGAAGGCTCGTGAGCTCTACAGCCTGCACAACCTGCGCAAACTGTTTGTTCAAGACCTCACCACTCGAGTCAGAAAAGTAAGTCCTTATCCACTGTATCTGAGAAGCACAAACAATCACTCCATCTCCCATTGTATTGACTTTTATCACCTTTTTGGACAGAGTTCAGACTTGCACCTGGATGACAGTGGAGGTTATTTTACTCAGAAACAGAAGATTTCCTTTCTCGAGAACAACCTGGAGCAGCTCACAAAAGTTCACAAACAGGTAACAAACTTAGTGAGTTTACTTTTAAAATGCTGACAGTTCTGAATCTTCCACTTTCAGCACCAGCACATGGTTGTGTTAGAGGTGCAGTCATACATTCAGAATGAAAATAGGAGAGAAATCTGTTCTAATCCAAAAAGATTGTTGTGTGCTATCTGTCTGTGCTCTCCCAGGGCAAAGCAATACTAGGCCCATCAATAATATTTCTCCAGGAAGTTATGAAAGTCTCCTTGAAACAGTGCAGTGAGGTGTGCGTTCAGGGAAATCTGTGCAGCACAAAATATTTTTTTATATTTGATAAACAATGAGTTCATCCTCAGAGGGTTCTAACTACAGCAGCAATGACAGGTGATGCTCAGCTGATTGGCACATGTACTTAGGCTGTCAGATCTTGTGAAGTGAGCTGCAGCAGTTTGTAGAAAGAGGCTGCTGGGAGAGGCCTTCCTATCCACCTCCCACTGATACTGTGAGAATGAAAGCCTAAAGTCATGCTCATGAATCTTAAAGTCTCAGTGGAGAGTGATAAGGCAAAGGAGATGTGTCCACAGATGTGTAATGTGTGTGTGTCCACACACCTGCTGTGCCTCCACATGCACAAATCATACAGATGGGATTATTCCCGTGACGCAGCTGCAGTCCTACACTGCTCTGCCTATTTCAGTTTGTTCATGTATTACTTTCTAAAAGCAGATTATGTTTCTGGAGGGTTTGTGCAAACGACTGCACATTTTTAGGACGGTAAAAACTATGCATCATTCTAGTCTAGTATGTCTCACTCCAGGGTCTGGGCTCATTTGCATAATCATGGTGTTCGGACTCTGCCCATCCGAGGTGCTCCATCAGGGATTTTTTATCCTCACTCTACATCTGCTCCAAATGGATGATACTTAATTATGGCCTCACAATCAGAAATTAAGAGGACCATAGAAATGCAAAAGCCATCACATAAGCAGTGATGCTGGGGTTATGAATACACTTACAATGCATTATCTACACAGTACTGTGAACTATTGTGAAGATTAATTGTGATATTACAATTCACTGACTGAAATGAAAAATACAGACCTAATAAGGCAGCAGTATCCTATAAAAATAAAACGGGAGGACTGTATTGATTTTAAGAGTGTAATTATCTGTATATTGTCTGTTTAGTGACCCCTCAGTCTTCTTACTGTAAGGCAGTATTGGTTTCTTGACTCATAACTGACCTTAACAAATACAAGTGAGAGAGATTGGCCCCAACCTCCTGCGGCCTCTTTTTCTCTAATGAATGATACATCATCAATATTATTGCTTTAACTGGTCCGGATATGGAAACTAAAATGAAAAATTTGAACGGTCTCAGGCATCAGAGATGCAGTTCTTTCTTTTGTTTAAATCTGCAAACATTTAAATATGGGTGTGGGTTACAAAAAAACCTTACAGAAGAAATGGGTCGCTGCATCTTTATGTTTTCCAATATGGCTCACTATTATGTATTCTGAGTAGTACCTCATCTCTTTTACACTTACTCGCACATGTTTGAAACTCCAGCTTATCCTGAAATACCCTTTTAAGAATGTAAGAAACAATTCAAAATAGAAAAAAAAGTAGTTTTTATTTTTATTTTTTATGATTTCCCTTGTCAATGCAGTGTGTACTGGTGTTTTCCTGTCACAGCTGGTCCGTGACAATGCAGACCTGCGCTGTGAACTTCCAAAGTTGGAGAAGCGTCTCCGATCTACAGCTGAGAGAGTCAAGGCTCTGGAGGGGGCACTGAAGGAGGCCAAGGAGGGCGCCATGAAGGACCGTCACCGCTACCAGCAGGAAGTGGAGCGCATCAAAGATGTGATGATCAGGACTCGCAACCCTTTCCGCCGCCCACACGCAGCTCAGATTGGTCAGCCTTATTCCTCACCTACTGCACTAAACATCATCCCCAATGTCTCATCTTGATAAAAGCTGTGTAAGCGGATCAAATGGAGCAATATAATAACAAGGCTCTATCCAATAATTTGTACCGCTGCACTGATCCTTTAAATCCTATCTGCCAGCGTCAACATCAGGTCAGCCATAGATTTAACGCATTATATTTAATATATAAATATTTTAAAAATATTTGATATATTAGCTACTGAAAATATGTTTTCACATATGCCCTATGAAAATACTATGGACTCAGATCAGAATTATTCAACATGGCTACAGGATATACTTAAGCATTTGTGATTATTTAAAGGTGAATTGCGTAACATTTCTAGTGGAGGGTTCATTACCTGCTTTCCTCCATTGAAATGTTATTGCTTTGACTAGAATGTTCTAGTATAGATTAAACTTATCTATCACAAGGGAGACAAGCAGGTTACAGTACTACTCTACATTACAGCTCAGATCTGTGGAGAGTCACCCCTATTCACAGAAGGAATTATTGTATTTTTGAGCAAAGGAAACACATAAATGTGTTAATAGAATAAATGCTAGATGTGTATGTTTAAAATCATACCATGGAGGATTCCAGACAAAGCAATAACATCTCCATAGAGAGGGTCTCAAGGATTTCTGTTGCTAGTTTCTACTCTGGAGACATATTTCACACCTGAAACCACAACTACTAAGGTGCTGGTGGAAATTGTGCTACTGTTGATCTGTTGGGGGTGAAGTCATACAAGTGTCATACAGAAGGTATGATCTGACGGTACCAATAAAGAAGCCCTTAAATCCCATTTAAGCATTTGTTTGTTTATATAAGATGTTTCATGGTACAGGTTTTCCTTATTTGTTCTTTTCTTATTAATTCCAGTGAGGCTCATTCACACATCCTCTTAACAAGTTCTTATATGCTTCTAATTTCCCCTGCAGTTTATTCCTATAGTCCAGCATGAAAGTATATAGTTACGCTCCACTGGCTCATGTCTGGCACCAAACTAAAAATAACACTCTCTAATGATGATGCTTACGCCAGTGATACAGTTGGGGAACTCTTTTCTCCCAAAACTTGCCAAGACTTGCTTTAATGAGATGCACATTCTTTGAGAAAATGAGTTATTGATTTTGTGTCCTTGCTGTTTTCTGTAAATGTTTTTCTAATGTCCATGAATTACAAGTGATTTTAGGATTGTCCTTGGGCATCCACAGCTTAATTTCTGGAATATTGAATTCTAATATTGTACAGTTTTAAAACAGAAACCACAGTAGAGCCCTGAGGCACATGAGACTAAAGATGTTCTCATTGGAGCATGGATGAATAGCTAAGTCAATACATCATCTTTTCTCACTCCCTACAGCGAAGCCAGTGCGTCCGGGCCATTACCCGCTGTGTCCTCCCTCCAATCCCTTCTTGAGCCGAGGCTTCAGCGAGCACCCCATCACCTTCTGCAACGCCGTCTTCTACAACCAAAACAAACAGAAAGCATCCGTCCCCGCTGAGCCCCTTTCTCCAGACAGCGAGCCTGAGTCCACACCGAGCAGCCCCACCAAGATGCCTCACGCACAAGACAGCCAGGAGTGTGATAATGGACTACAAAACAGCATGTAAGTATTAAAAGTGTGCACACAATATAACGAGTCTGGGAATCTTATGAGAGATACAAATATGCATACAAAATGAATAATAGTGAATTCACAAAGGAACAAGAAAGCATGGGTCAAGGCAAGGCATGTGTATAAATTACACATGAAAGCTATTAACCAAAGAAGCTCAAAAACTGATTTGTTGTGATGCACATGCTGGATTAGAGTTATTTCCCTATAGATTTACTGAATAGTCATACATGATTTGCTCCTCGGGATGGCTTCTTGGCTTATGTTTATCTTTGCATCTTAATCTTTGACCTTGCATTAACTCTGGATCATAAGCTGACTTGGGAATTGCCCTTGGGGGAGTTCGATGCAACACAGAAATAAATATTTAATTTGTATGAGATAGTACTCAGTTCTGTTTTGATCTTTCAGTGTGTGTTCTTTCAAATGTACATCAAGCATTGTAATATAGTCTTCTTAGTTAAGCAACGGTTTAGTATATCAAAATATCGATTTATGGAAATATTGATACTCAGTTTGGTGATACAGTATCGTTATTTTGGGCTGCTGTATTGATATATCATCATGTTTCTTAGTTTTTTTTTGTATCTTTTAGCAAATTTTTTGTGACTGCACTACAATTTCTGGCTTATTTAGTGGAAGGAAACTTGTTTATGCAATACATTATTCACTGTTTTGATTATTAAAATGTATGTATATTAACCTCAGTATTGAAAAATCACTAGTTTAGCAACTTATAGTAAGAGAATATGATAAAAAAAAAAAACATTAGACTTAGTCCTGTCCTTTTATGGGATGAAATTTGGCCAGTGCAGCCCTCATTAAACACTGCTGTTGACTCTTTCTAGTTTTTTCTCCATGCTTTTAACTTCCCTGTGCTTGGAAATGAGCTCTGATTGCATATTGTTCAAAGGTAGCCACTTCCTCAGTCTTGCCTCTGCATTATCACACTAGGTAGACGGTGAGAGTGAGAATTTTCAAACGCCATTTTGAGTTTGTAGATATGCACCTCATTCACATTAGAAAGTGTGATAATTGTAATAGAACTGAACTGACTGAATTTTATGGTTTTGTATCTGCACAGTCTTCCAGTGGATCCTGTGAATACAGCTGCCAGCAGCACGGCGGAGATGCTCGACTCAGAAAATGGTGAGCCCTCTTCTGCTCGTTAAAACAACTTTTAGGGAGAGTGACCTTTCTTTTATATCATGCACAGTTTTGATCATTGCATGTGGAAGGCAGGGAAGGGGGGTGGTAAGTGGGACTTGCAGATTGTTATCACTGTGTAAAGGGTGGAAAAGTACAGGGAAAACTCAAAAGCACTTTATACTGTGTAATATTTTTTGTGTTGTAATCAAGTTTGTTTAATCACCAAGGTTATGGAGTGATTTATGTCTTCTTAGTAAATCATGGTGCTATTTGTTGATTTTGAACATAATTCTATTTTTGAATTAAATTGCCCTATAGTTTAATTTATATTAGAATATGTTGGGTTTATTTATTCCAGAAGTATTTTTCTGTGTACTTTTATATATTTTATATATATATATATATATATATATATATATATATATATATATATATATATATATATATATATATATATATATATATATATAGTACTTTTTTTTTTTTTGTGATTTTTGCTTGATTTTACATTAGCTTCACACAATAATATTTGTTTTAGAACAGAGAATAACTTAATAACTTACATACCAGATCTAAAAGTTACCTTGAAAATGTTGTATTAACCATGTCTATCATAAGGTGTCTGTGTCCTTGGAACATCTGTCTCTTCATGGAGGCAGCAGACATAGTGCTGTCATAAACATTGTCATAAACTGGCTATTTCACTGTGCTCCAGACAAGCTTGTATGACTTTTTATTTTTTACAATTTTGCTTCAGTTGTGTGTCCTGCAAGCCACAATCTAAATGTTACTACACAGCCAGCAAGGTCTTCCAGGTAATGCTGCGTTTGACAAAAAGGCTGTTTGTCCAAGAGATTATTTCTACCCACTGTTCCCTGGCCGGCCTTCAAGTGAACTCTCAGCTCTCAGTGCAAACATAAGATCAAGCTGGGGACTGGGCGGCAGACATTTTAACCATATATCCTCACCTTTCCCAGATATAACAAGATCAAAATTGTAGCAAAACTTGACTTTAGACAGCTCAGATCTGTAGCATGCAGTGGTGCGTAGAAGTACTGAAGAAGTGTTTTGTTATTTAAGTAAAAATACAGATCTCATAACAGAAAAAAATCAAGTAAAAGTAAAAGCAGCATGTTAAAATGTCTACGTAAATCTACGTATTTATGTACTTAAAGACTAAAAAGTAAAACTATTTTGTGTAGATTGTGGCTTATAAGGCTTCAAACACAGTGATTTTGATGAAGATTTGTGATGTTGATCAGAAACAACTGAATATTATTGTTTTCTAGTTGTTTTTATTTGTATATTTTTTGTTTGTTTAACATGTCAACAATAAACCCCCCCAGCCTTTTCAGCAGGTGTCAGACAGTAATAAAAATAAAAAATAAAATACTGTCAGTCCAGTTCAAAAATGTAGTGGAATAGACAGTAAAGTGCAGTAAAGTGAAAGTAAAAAGTATCCACTGTAAAATGTACTTCAGGAAAGTACAGATACCTAAAATGTATACTTAAATACAGTACTTAACTACTTTTATGTTTTTACGTTCCATCACTGGTGGTATGGTGCTGTAGTTTTACTGACTGCTGACTGTTAATTGAATATACTGCTGCTGTGAAAATGGTTGCCTTGTCTCCTGTGGTGCTCATCTTTGTGTAATGTCTTCGTAGTTTTATTTTTTGCCATAGTTCGTTTCATCGTAGAAGTAAGGGTATAGCATAGAGTTTAAGCACCCAATAAATACTTCCTGCACCGAAGCTAAAGGTGCATTATGAAATTTTAATATGTAACTGTATGGGGCCTTGCCTGGTTACAGCCCTGAAAGCTGCCCCTAGAGATGAGAAAGACATAGTGTGAATGTGTGCGTAAGCAGCCATCAGCAGAGGACTATTATAGACGATAGATTGTGCTTGCTGTGTCATTACTCAACCAGAGAGATGCCCACCTCATCCTGTGTCCCAGAGATGACAGCTGTATGGGCACGCACAACACCAACCCACCTCTTTCACGCTCAGTAAATATCAATAATGATCAAAATCACACCTTAGATCAGTTTATCAGTGCTCAAGGACAGCACACGTCATGTCCATCACAGCGGACTGGTCAGTGCTACAAGTTACCAGGGTTATTTACACAGGTTTTCAGTTCTCGACTCTAAAGGGCAGCTGTCTGGCTTTACAGAGCCCATGTTTTCTGATCTGTGTTATGATGTTGTTTCCTCATCACAAACATACTGTACCTGCTGGAGTTATGTTTTGCTTCATTCACACATGTTTAACACTCAAACCCTGCATATTCAGGCTGAGTTCTTCTCTCAAACGGAAAATACTGTTCTACCTTGTGATGTCACGTGGTAATACAGCATTGTTTCCCAAAGACCGGATCATGGCCATCAGGTGGGTCGCAAGAGATTTTTTTGGGTCTCCTTGTCACGATCTGCATGTAGATCTGCAATATACATATACATACTGTATACATATACATATACATATACATATACATATACATATACATATACATATACATATACATATGGGTCCAGTCAAGTGGTAACGGAGGGAAACAGATTTTTGACATTCAAATAGCTCTTATTCAGAAACTAGAGGGACTATTGAAATAAGTAAGGTATCAGAATGTAGGAAAGAGTTAACACTCCAACAGGGTCAAGTTAAACCTGTGATATTCTTTCAAGTTGTTGACAAAAAATTTAAAAACACATGTCGGTAACGGAGGGAATGAAATATGCAGCACTTTTTGGACAATAAATACAAACAGTGATAACTCTTGGTTCTCACTTACATATCCTTAACAAACTGGTTTGAATATTTGCTTCATGTAGTTTTCTACCATATGGTACAAGATTAGGTTGAAAAACCTCTTACTTTTTGACTAATGAGATTTTTTATTAAGAAAGATCATGGTAACGGAGGGAAAAGTAATGGAGGTAAAATTGTGCAAGCAAGTAGAAGGTGCATGATTTTGCATAATTTGTCGCTTATTTCTTCCGAAAACTTTAATATTACTTCAAAATGAAAGGAAACTATTTCTATAAAATATGTCAGTCCTTCCAAGCAAATTTTTATCATTTTAAATAAATAAAAAAAATAAATAAATAAAAAAATAAAAATAAATCCTCCCCCTTGAACTGCCACCTTACCGTGGTGGGGGAGTTTGCGTACCCGAATGATCCTAGGAGCTATGTTGTCCGGGGCTTTATGCCCCTGGTAGGGTCTCCCATGGCAAACAGGTTCTAGGTGACGGGGCAGACTAAGAGCAGTTCATAGAACCCATATGAACAGTGTAATATCGAGGACCGTGACGTCGCCCGGTATGGCGCAGCCGGGGCCCCACCCTGGAGCCAGGCCTGGGGTTGGGGCTCGAATGCGAGCGCCTGATGGCCGGGCCTTTGCCCATGGGGCCCGGCCGGGCTCAGCCCAAAAGGACGACGTGGGTCCACCCTCCTGTGGGCTCACCACCCGCAGAGGGGTTCATAGGGGTTGGGTGCATAGAGGACTGGGCGGCGGTCGGGGACGGGTGTCCCTACGGCCTGGTCCGCACACACAGCATCTGGCTGTGGCGACGTGGAATGTCACCTCGCTGGGGGGCAAGGAGCCCGAGCTTGTGCGGGAGGTTGAGAGATACCGGCTAGATATAGGCTCACTTCTACGCACAGCTTGGGCTCTGGTACCCAACTCCTTGAAGGGGGTTGGACCCTCCATTTCTCTGGCGTTGCCCACGGGGAGCAGCGGCGAGCTGGTGTGGGCTTGCTTATAGCCCCACAGCTCAGTGTTGGAGTTCACCTCGGTGAACGAGAGGGTCGTGTCCCTGCGCCTTCGGGTCGGGGACAGGTCTCTCACTGTGGTGTCAGCCTACGGGCCGAACAGCAGTGTAGAGTACCCGGCCTTCTTGGAGTCCCTGGGAGGGGTACTGGACAGTGCACCAACTGGGGACTCCGTTGTTCTACTGGGGGACTTCAACGCCCACGTGGGCAACGCCAGTGACACTTGGAGAGGGGTGATCGGGAGGAACGGCCTCCCTGATCTGAACCCGAGCGGTGTTTTGTTATTGGACTTCTGTGCTAGTCACAGTTTGTCCATAACGAACACCATGTTCGAGCACAAGGGTGTCCATAAGTGCACGTGGCACCAGGACACCCTAGGTCGGAGGTCGATGATCGACTTTGTCGTCGTGTCATTTTACCTCCGGCCGCGTGTCTTGGACACTCGGGTGAAGAGAGGGGCTGAGCTGTCAACCGATCACCACCTGGTTGTGAGTTGGATCCGCTGGCAGAGGAGGAAGCCAGAGGGACCTGGCAGGCCCAAGCGTATTGTGAGGGTCTGTTGGGAACGTCTGGCAGAGCCCTCTGTCAGGGGGATCTTCAACTCACACCTCCGGGAGGACTTCTCCCAGATTCCGGGGGAGGCTGGAGACATGGAGTCCGAGTGGGCTATGTTCTCAGCCTCCATTGCCAATGCGGCCGCTCGTAGCTGTGGGCGTAAGGTCTGTGGTGCCTGTCGCGGCGTCAGGCTGAAGAAGGAGTCCTATCGGGCCTTGTTGGCTCATGGGACTCCTGAGGCAGCTGACAGGTACCGGCGGGCCAAGCGTGCTGCAGCCCGTGCGGTCGCAGAGGCAAAAACTCGGAGCTGGGAGGAGTTCGGGGAGGCCATGGAGAAGGACTATCGGATGGCCTCAAAGAAATTCTGGCAAACCGTCCGGCGCCTCAGGAGGGGGAAGCAGTTCTTCACCAACACTGTTTACAGTGCGGGGGGAGAGCTGTTGACCTCAACTGGGGATGTTGTCGGGCGGTGGAAGGAATACTTTGAGGATCTCCTCAATCCCACCGTCACGTCTTCCGAGGAGGAAGCAGAGGCTGGAGACTCAGAGGTGGACTCATCCATCACCCTGGCTGAAGTCACTGAGGTGGTTGGCAAGCTCTTTGGTGGCAAGGCTCCTGGGGTGGATGAGATCCGTCCTGAGTACCTTAAGTCTCTGGATGTTGTGGGGCTGTCTTGGTTGACACGCCTCTGCAACATCGCGTGGCGGTCGGGGACAGTACCTCTGGACTGGCAAACCGGGGTGGTGGTCCCTCTGTATAAGAACGGGGACCGGAGGGTGTGTTCCAATTACAGAGGAATCACACTCCTCAGCCTTCCCGGTAAGGTCTATGCCAGGGTACTGGAGAGGAGAATCCGGCCGATAGTCGAACCTCGGATCCAGGAGGAGCAGTGTGGTTTTCGTCCTGGCCGTGGAACACTGGACCAGCTCTACACTCTCCATCGGGTGCTCGAGGGTTCATGGGAGTTTGCCCAACCAGTCCACATGTGCTTTGTGGACTTGGAGAAGGCATTCGACCGTGTCCCTCGTGGTGTCCTGTGGGGGGCGCTCTGGGAGTATGGGGTCCGGGGCCCTTTGCTAAGGGCTATCCAGTCCCTGTATGACCGGAGCAGGAGCTGTGTTCGCATTGCCGGCAGTAAGTCAGACCTGTTCCCAGTGCATGTTGGACTCCGCCAGGGCTGCCCTTTGTCACCGGTTCTGTTCATTGTGTTTATGGACAGAATTTCTAGGCGCAGTCAGGGGTTCGGAGGGGGTCCGGTTTGGGGACCACAGGATCTCATCTCTGCTGTTCGCAGATGATGTTGTCCTGATGGCTTCATCAAACCAGGACCTGCAATGTGCACTGGGGCAGTTTGCAGCCGAGGGTGAAGCGGCTGGGATGAACATCAGCTCCTCCAAATCCGAGGCCATGGTCCTTGACCGGAAAAAGGTGTCTTGCCTTCTCCGGGTGGGTGGAGAGTCTTTGCCTCAAGTGGAGGAGTTCAAGTATCTCGGGGTCTTGTTCACGAGTGAGGGGAGGATGGAGCGTGAGATTGACAGGCGGATCGGGAAATAATTTTTGTTCCATGTTTCATACATGGTCTGTTTAAAACTTATGTAACTTTAGAACCAAAAATGGTACAGAAAAAAGGTCGACAGTTTCATAAACTAGAGTACATATGCTATCTGTTCAATACATTTTTATATCAGATGCATTAACTTGAATTTTTGGCCTTGCTGTTTACTTCTGCTTGACCAGGCCCATATACATATACATATACATATATCTCTACAGACCCCCTGCTTCTCACTTTTTCGGCAGCACCGCCTTGCCTAACCAATTTTCTTATTTTTAAAACTCTTAATTTTAAAACTTGAGTAATTTTAATTGTTCAGAGAGACACAATCACTCAGTCAACAATATAAAATATCCTCATTAATGTTTAATAATTGTCACAAATTTATTTTGTGATTTACAAATAATGTCTGTTGAGTTGGGTCGCGAAGATTTGTGACTGTTTAAAATATGGGTCCCCAGAAAAAAAGTTTGGGAAACACTGTAGTACAGGAAGTGCTCCGCAGTGTTTTTCCATACACCTTCACATCTTCATTTGGATAATTTCAGATCTGGAATTGTTAAGCTCTACTGAACTAAAAGTAAAAGGTACCTGTTAACTTGAAAACTACCGCTTCATGACATCACAAGGTGGAACCATAGACTGTATAGATAAATGGACATAGCCGCACTAGCTGCTGCATTCCAGATAGAAAGTTCATGTGTGGGCACTTCTGGCTCCTTCTGACCCTGGCTCCCATTGACTTACATTAGAATATTGTCACCCCTCTCTCTGTAACTGCTGCAGTGAGCCTTGTCATTTTGGTCTTAAAATGTTAATATTAACCCTCTACATGGTCCTGTTGGGTTATTTTTTCACTATTTTGTCTTTTAAAACCCTGGCTCCAAATTCTGCCCTTTAACCACTAGCATAGCAAGCTTCATTTCAGTGGCGCTGAACACTATAGGTAAGGTCACACTTGCCTAGTCCACTGCTTTATACAGTCTATGGGTGGAACAGAGGACTTTGAGCTTTGGAGATGTAGATAGATTAATATTCAAACATGTGAATGAAACAAAACACAACTCCAGGTGTTTTGTTTTTGATGAGGTAACAACATTATAACATGTCTTAAAGCTCACATGAGTCAATCTTGTGTAATATAGGACCTTTAATGATATATTGCAGGGGAACTATTATTGCATTATTCCACACAGATTTTGGGATAATTGGAAATGAAATGTCAGCTTCAAATCATGTACTTTCTTCTCTTTGTAGCAGCAAAATTGGTGCATATCTTATTAAAAGTGTAGTTCACTGGTTTATATTTAGAATTTGCCTTCCTCTTGCTCTGGCAGAAATAATGAGAATGCAACTTCAAGGGTGAGGACATACCAAAGATTTATGGGGTGCACAAGTACATATTTGTCTTGTTCTTTTCTATACATCATACTATACTCTATACTGCATGTTAAATACTGGCCATTCATTTACTGCATGATGATAATTATGACTCAACTTTATTGATCCACAAGGAAAATTATTTGGACAGTAGCTCACACATCACAATGTACTATAATAACAAAGGACAACTATATAAATGGTAATAATATATTCAAGATAAGTAGCAAAAATAACAAGAGACTAGTGTCAAATAAGGCATAATGTACAATAAAAACTATAGAAATACAAATGTTTCTCAGCTATATACAAGAGGTTGTAAGGAGAAAACAGTGCAGAGATGAAATAGTGATTGACGTGAAAGGTTATCTATTACATAAGGGTCAATCGTTGTACAGTTGTATGGAGCATAGTATGAATGTAGTCCTGTAGCTCTCTCTGTTTGAGCAAAGCTGCAGTAGCCTGTTGGAGAATGAGCTCCTCTGTCCCTCTGCAACAGTCCACTAAATTTACATATGATATTTAACTAATTAGGTGGGATTAGTCATATTAAAAGTAGGATGTGGGAGAAAATTTGTTTTAGTGAAAGGTTTGCCTCTTTATTCCAGTTGGCAGTGTCTGAAAGTAATATGTAAATGTTCAAATATATATGCAAAGTTTGACATTTAGCCTCTCATCATTCAAGAAGGCTTTTACCAGAGCTGCTTTTGCACAACACTCACTGCATGTTTACTTAGGAGGCAAGGGCGGATGTGATCATGTTGAAAGTCAAAAAAGTTGCTACATTTTCCCAGTAATTGATTGCCTTTTACATGGCGCTTTTTATAGAAGGAGATTATCCGTTAAGCATGCAGTGCTATAACATATGCCATAACAACAGGATTATTTTCTGAAATAGGCTTTACCAAATTCATGGGGTGCAGTTCCTTTTTAAAGGGCCCATATTGCACTGTTTTCTGATCTATGTTATAATGTTTCCTCATCTAAAACATACCCTAAGTTGTGTTTTGTTTCATTCACACATCTTTAACACACAAAACTTGCATGTTTATTTTCGCAGCGTTCTCTATTCCACCTTGTGATGTCACATAGTAACACAGGAAGTGCTCTACCTTGTTTTTAAACTCCATACACCTTCACTAGAATCATTTGGATACTTTCAGCCCTGGAATTGGCAGCCTCTACTGAACTAAAGGTAAAAGGCAACTGTTTAATACCGTTTCATGACATCACAAGGTGGAACAGCATATTTTGAGCTTTTGAGATGTAGACAGACTAATAATAAAGGATTATTTTATGACTAAATGAAGCAAAACACAACTCTAGATTTGTTTATGAAGAGGTAATAACATTCTAGTGTGGCTTAAAGCTCACAAGGGCCAATTTTGCTTATATATATATATATAGAACTTATTCTTTCATGGTCCAGTTTTTTTTTCTTGATTCTGAAACCAATGGATACATTCTGAATCAATACTATGGCAAAAAGAAAGTGTGATTAAAACAGTGTCACATGGACTAAAACAACTCATATTTTGAAGAGCTCTGCACAGCTGCTTGTTTCACGTGCCTCTGAATAACACCAGTATTCTACTTATATGTGACCACCCCACTGTTGACTCCTACTGTACTGTGCCTCCTTCACCCCCTCCCTCACTGTGCACCTGCCTGCTCCTCATGCACCTCTCTGTGTCTACAGGCAACACCACTGACATCAATGACAACAGGTAAGAGCCTATTTCATCTATGAAGAGAAAGGCCGTGAACCGTTGCTCCCTGATTTGCTTTTGCTGACATCATTCCTGTATAACTTCATTATGAATTAGCTGAGATGCCTAAAGCAGTAACTGTATATGGACTTTTACATCTAATTAGTTTAGAACAGAGGCATATTGTTTCTTTGCTTGAATAGTATAGTGTTTTTAAAATTCAAGTTTCCAATCGATCATTTAAATTTGATTAAATAGAAATTTCATGGCAGTGATTTTCTGACTTTGGCTTCACATGGAGGATGCCAACCCAAGAATTTCCTCATCTGCCAATATTAAGCAAATCTGTTTATTACAACTTCAGCTTGTGAACCCTGTTGTACAGTGAATATCTTCATGTTTGGTAAATGCTGGCCTATCATATACACCCAGTCACAACCAATAATGTAATAATGTCCAATAATGTAATAATTTGCCCAACTCTAAATATAATGGCTCATTATTGGTTATGCTGGTTATTACATAATGTAATAACCAGCAAATAATGTAATAACTTGACCAATAAAAAAATAACTCCTTGCTAATAATGTAATGTGTATTTGGTCAACTTGACTATGGGCATGGCATGGGTTTGTAATGCATGTACACAAAACATATCAAAAGTGCTATTAAAATAAATAAGGTGAATGTACAATTATAATTAGTCTATCATGTATTTGAGTGTGACATTGAGTCAAACCAAATGGACAAACTTTTCACACTTAATTCTTTCCCACCCTCTAGGCTCCCAGAGTTTTAGCTTATTTTCAACATCTTTGTTTTGTCCATTCAAAATGTGTATTACAAAGCAAAGGAAATCTGATGAATATTTAATATTCATATCACATATTACATTTTTGCATATAGAAAATTAATGTATGCATGTCACCGACAATTAACTTGGTGCCCTTCATTAACCTTACTCCTCCTCCCTCACACAAAAATTAAGAAGCGAAGAGTAATGCAAGCATTATGTTAAGTATTATATTATCGGCTGCAGATATTACATTATGACTTGTTGACTCTTGTTGAGCCAGTATTGTAATATCTTGCCAATAAGGTAATACTTTATTACATTATTTATAAGACTTTATTGTGGTATTGGCTCACCCATGTTATTATGTTATTGGCTTGTTATTACACTACTTTTTATTACATTATTTCCTTATTATTGGTTGCTACACAGTTCACACCGCAGCAGGATGATGTTGATAGGATAATATTGCTTCTGTACAGAATCCACAATGGCACTATTGTATTTCCTCTGCATGGTTTGATCCCTCTGATTTTTTGGACCAATTAACTCCACTGATTTGTTTCTCCTGGCCATGTCCCTGTTGTGGCTGCCCCATTGATGCCTCCTTCACTGCTGCTGCTCTTCTGGCCTGCTGCTGTGTGCGCTGTAGCATGTGTCTCAATGTGAATTCTGTCTCCACAAGTGTGATCTGCGACAATCAGGACCAAATCCAGCTCTACGGCCGCCACTCAGAGGCTTCAGCCAGCTAATGGCTCCATTCTGGTAAGCTTTCTAATAGACCCGACTTATTAGACTTAAAAGTGCATTGTGTAACGTTTCAGGTGTAGGGCTCGTCAAGTGCTTTTCTCCATGGAAATGTTATTACTTGTCTGGAATGTTTCACAGTATAGTATTGAACTTTTCTATCTTCACGGAGATCAAACCAGACAAGTAACAAGCCAAGCCAAAGAGGTAACCCGACTATTAGTCAAAATGCCTGTTTTTCTAGGTATTTTTGAGCTATAAAAACACCTGTAATTGTATAAAGTGGAGCTGTTTAATGTGATACTGTGGAGGCAGAGCAGACATATCTACCAGAAAAGTTACACAATGCACCTTTTAAGGCTCATTTATTCTCCACTTTTGATGTAAAAAGTTCTATGCATAGTAGCCTTCAACTGCATTTATACTTCTAAGCTTTTCTACTGCCAAGACTGCATTTTCTAAAAATGCACTTTGAGAATTGACCTAAATGGATGAAGTAGAGCAACAAATAAACAAACATGGAGGCACCCGCGGCAGATTTAAGATCGCATCTGTAGGAAAGGGGCCAAGAAAATGAGGTGAGAGAAGCATTTATTTGTCCTGCAGCTGATTCTAGTCACAAAGTTTAGCTTCCACTGTCGCGCTGTGTTCACTACTGTCCACAGTGGTTAGCTGATGTACCACTCCACTGCTAAGATTCCACTTGTTCTGAAGAGACGTACTTGATGACTCACAAAACAATGTAGAAGACGGTCCGAAGTCTCTATGCGCATCCGTAGGCGTCTCAGATGTAGAGCATAAATGAGCCTTTAGACAAACTTTATTGATCCATAAGGGAAATTGTTTGGGCACAATAGCTCACACACCACAATAAATATAATATAATATAACAAAGAGCAACAATATAAATGGTAATAATGCATTCAAAATAAGTAGCCAAAAAAGCAAGAGAATGGTGCAAGTAAAAATAAGTAACAATAAAATATAGAAATATAGTATAATACAAAATATACAAGAAGAGGGTAAGGAGAAACAGTGCAAAGACTATGTTACATTACAAAACAATGCTGTAGTTCAAACTTCAATCTACAAATATATGAAAAGTGGATGTGATTATTGCATTAGTTTAGCAGCTCATATTTCAAAAGTTAAAAGTAATGCTCCAGGTTGTGTAAAATGAGCACTCTGAATCCTAATATTGCAACTGTAAAAAATTAAAGAAACAAAAAACTATAAGGTTTAGTACAATTTAATCTCTTCTTTTTAAATTTTTTTGTTTTAACAGTCCCAATTCCCCTCAAAATCGTTGTATGCATTACTCAATTTATCGCCAACTCTAAATGCAAATGTATAAGTAAAGTTATCTTGTTTGGATGGATAATCTTAAATGAAAATGGAAATGGAAAACCAATAAATGATCCAGAATACTGCAGAAAACTGTTTATTGCTTGATAAATCCCCACTAACAGTTTTGAAAACCTATAAGGAAGCATTGCCTGGGGAAATACAGTATGGGAAAAATAAAATGTCAACCATATAACATTTACTGGTATTTGATTCAAACATTAGAGACCACAAACTTTTGGGAAAATCTAGTAATAACACAAAATAACACTCACACACAACACTTTGTACTCACATTACCCCCACTCCTCATACTGCAGTGCTATAAAGGGACGTCAAGATTCACCAATCATCAAAACAGCATGTTATAATGTATGTTATAATGATGTTTCCTCAGCAAAAACATAGCTGGAGTTGTCTTATGTTTCATTCATTCATGTTTAATACACAAACTCTGCATATTAGGTTGAGCTCTTCTCCCAGTCTGTTTCACCTTGTGATGTCATGGCAATACAGGAAGTGCTCCACTGTGTTTTTATACTCCATACACCTTCATTAGTTTCACTTCATTTGGATGATTTCAGCCCTGGAATTGCCAATCTCTACTGAACTAATGGTAAAAAGGTTAACTTGAAAACAACAGAGGAACAGAGTATTTTGAGCTTTGGAGATTTAGAGAGACTAATAATGCAAAATAATAATAAGTGATAATGAAACAAAACACAACTCCAGCTGTTTTTAATGAGGTAACAGCATTCTAACATGGCTTAAACCTCACAAGAGTCAATTTTGATTAATATAGGACCTTTAAAAAGCAGTGATAAGCCATGACCCAATTTATGCTGAATGTCTATTTTTAGCAACATAAAACTATAGACTGTATATACTAATCTTTCCTTAATCATTTTTGTTTTGTTCTTGCACACATCATAACATATTGAGTATAGAAGTAGAGAGAAGATTTGGTGTTTCCCTTAATGTGAGGAGACATTTCGCTGACTATATATCTGAACAGGTTTAGCACAGAGCAGGTGAGCCACTTTGTTACAAGTCTAAATTTGGCCGTGGGCTTTGTGCACTAACTCTGAGTCTGAGGCTCTGGAAATAAAATGGCCTTGATTTGTCGCCTCCAGCTTTAACTCCTATCTCCCTGTTTCTTCTCTAACCGTCATTCACTCTCGTTTTCAAGCGTAAATGACTCTCTGTATGCCTGTGCTTTGTCTTCTCTTTTTCAGATCTGAAGACACCTCTGTAAATCTGCATGAACTGATCACTATCCTCCTGACTCTTTCCCACCTGCTAAAGCATCTGTATGCCTCCTGCCCCCTCTGCTACCCCCTCTTCCACCCCCTCTTCCCCCTGTATCATGATGTTGTTGGACGTGTGTGGATTTCAGTGGCATCTGTGGCAGGCACTGCATCTTCAGTGCATGAGCTGCTCCCCCTTTATCAGACTGGCTTATGCAGTTCTTTAAATGACCAGATGGGTGTGCTGTTTCCCTGTTGAGAATGGGAATTGAAAGTCAACATAGATTTCATTCAATAGAAAAATGTACATTTGTTGACTCTACCTTTTTTAATACTGCTGATGTGTTTAACATATTGGAGGCCAAATACAGAGAGGAAGTCTGTAATGCATTGCCACTTTTCTGTGTTTAAATTGCATTGTGTGACTTCTAGTGGAGGGTCCGCCACCTGTTTATCTCCCTGGACTTGTTATGGCTTTGTCTAGAATGTTCCACAGTATAGATTAAACCTATCACAAGGGAGACAGGCAGGTTACAGCATTACGATACATTACAATTCAGTTCTGTGGAGAAGGAAGGAAATTAATGTATTTTTGAGCAATATAAACACCCATAATGAGTAAACATTGATAGATATGTTTAATGTCATACCATGGAATTTATCGGGGAAAGCAATATCATCTCCATGGAGACAAGTAGTAGCGGACCTTCCACTAGAAAAGTTGCGCAGTGCACCTTTAAGTACATAGCAAAATACATAGACGTAATAGGTTTGATGCTGGTGCCTGTTGTCGTTGGCACAAAATCAACAATTTGAAGTCCATATCTATTTAAGTTGATGCTAAATTGGCCACTGTTTTATTCTGGATTGAAAAGATTGTTGTACCCCATTTCACAATAAGCCCAACATAATGAATGTATAAAAAGTATTAAAGAGTAGTACATAGAATAGTGGGGTACTTATTGGGGTACTTGTTTTGCAGAATGATACACAATGCAAACCAACGCAAGCCGGTTTTTGGCTTTAATGTTAGAAGAACTGTCATTTTAATGTATTACGTGTTTATAGAGCAAACAAACAGGAATTGGTTTACAAAGAGAGGGTTCAGACACTAATATATCACCTTACAAAGTCCCCAAATAACTTCTAGATGGTCACATTTGTACACAAACTAAACTTTCAAAAGGAGGGTGAACCACATTTGAAAATAGCTAAAAAATGTTAGAGTATTTTGTGGTTTCGTCAGTCATGGCATGTTTGGCATTTTGTATGAAACTCTGGTTGTAACTGTGCGAATAGCAGTATAACCACAAATCACTGCAAAAGACCTTATGGACCAATATTATGTGGTGAACTTTTTAAACTACCCCAAAAAATGCTTGTGGGGGTGCTGCGTGTGGTATGTTGTCCTTGTCATCAAAGCATGGCACAGTAAAGAAAAAAAAAAAAAGTGTAGCAACTATTTTTATACTTATATTAATATAAAAAGAGACAGATGTTATTTATTAGCTTAAAGTAAATGTTATTTATTTGCTATATATTTATTTATTTATTAAAAAAAATGTTGAATGTGAAATTATTGCTCTGACTTGTTCATGGTGATCTCAAAAGGTCAAAAGATCACTGACTGAAAATGTATTCTTGTAAAATGACTAGAGGGGATATGAAATGGTGACAGCATGGGATATGATGTAACTTTGATCGCATTAAGTCATTCTGTCCATAAAATAAATTATATTATATGTGATGTGGACCGGAAATCTTGGGTTACTCTAGGTTATCTTAAGATGATAGATCATATCCTTTACACATACACTTGGACACTACCTCATCAGTCAGTGCGGTTGTGAACTTTGACACAGTTTTAGAGTATGCTACAGAGTGCTACCTGCGTTCAGTGTTATCAGGTCAGATAAGAGAGAGCAGTGACTGTCCTGTGTAGTTGACCTCCTGATCAAACAGTCAGGAGTAAGGACGAAAAGAACTTTTGTTTTTTTCCCTTCCCTCCCTTTGTTTCACACTAATTTTCATTGATTAGTTTATACCAGATACCCTTCCTTGATGCAAATAGCACCTTAGGTTGTGAATTCCTGCTCCTGGATTCAGTAATATCTGAAAAGATTTATTTTATTGTATTTAACTAACTCAAACTCGATATAATAAAAAAATTAAAAAACCGCAGAGGTTGGCGAAGGGCCTATTAGTATCGCAAAGCGATGCTCTAAGTGGCCAAAAAATGGAATGGCGCGCCGTGACTCGCCCGTAGTGACCAGGGACCCTCCCCATCACGTAGCAATGCACCAGAGGTTTCCGAAAATGTATAGTTTGTCGGCCAAAAAAAAGCTGAACATTGTTCTCGTATGGGTTGGTTATTCTCCTAACCATATCACCCATTTTTCACCCACTGAACAATGACGAAAAGTCCTGAAATTTTGCCATCTGGTAAAACTCGCGCTTCTCTAACTTTTGGCTATTTTCATTTTCACAAAATAAATAAAATGGCTCGTCAGCGCCCCAAACGACTCAAAAATGCATTAGGGAATACGAATGACACAAAAAAAAATTTGCATGTACAATCATAAAATTTGACACAGAAGTCGATCATGTCAAGACAAGGAAAAAATATTATTATGCCAACACCGTGTGCTCCACTAGGGGGCAGCAATATTGGCTTAAAGTTTGCTAAGCTTTTACGAACTCCTCCGAGGGCGTTCACCCGAACGAGCTCAAATTTGGTCCACATTATCTCAAGATGTGCAACATCAAAAGTTATCCAAATTTTTTACACACGTCTTACGGTCTCTGAGCAGTGAAGCAACAAAAAATGCAAACAATTTTGGAGATTTACAAATTGCTCCCATTTGCACAAACAAACTCCAATTTCAATGAAATTTGAAACATTTGTTCAACTCTCTGCCCTGAAGCTACTTCATGTGAAAATTATTAATTTGGCGCATTAGTGCCCCCTATAGATTGAAACAAAATTGAATATGTGAGAAAATCATTTGGTCCCAAATAGTTGTTCAAAAATTTCTGAAATTTTGCACAAAATTCCATTTTGGCATCCTGATCCAAAAGTCAATGACACCCATGTCATATTTTTTATGGCGTTGCCATAGCGATGACATAAACTCTCCATTGGTAAAATCTACAAATTCTGGCACAAACTTGGGCAGATTTCATTCAAATTTTAATCGTTCATTGACACCCCGACCCTGAACACATTTATATAAGAAAATCTCAGATGGGTGCAATAGCGCCCCCTAGGGAAATTGCACGGTAGTGCCAAAATTTACTTTGTCGTAGACATATAAAACTTGGTACACAGATTCATGACATGGTCTCGATCAAAAAAGTGTAGGACGACCCATTGCCATTTCCACATCGTGTTGCCATGGTGACAGGCCAAACATCTGACCTCACCAATAGGCCCGACAAAAACTTTGGTGTAGCCAAACCACATTTGGTACACAGATGCATCATGGGAATAGGAACAAAAAAGTATATTATGTGGTTGCTAGGCAACCAACAGGAAGTCGGCCATATTGGATTGATCGGGCGACCTGGCGACGAAGGCACAAATTCCTGTCCTCATATTTGAACGAACTCGTCCTTGGGCGTTTGACCCAGACTCACCAGAATCATTCTGTATCATCTAGACAAGTGGGACATTAAAATTTGTTAAAAGCTTTTTAAAAGGTCAAACGGTGTGACCATCAAACTTCGACGCCTGATAATTTGCACAAACTTTGGCCAATTACACTCATATTTTAACCGTGGGTTCACACCCCGACCCTGAACAGATTGGTGTAAGAAAATACAAAAATGGGTGCAATAGCGCCCCCTAGAAAATTTGTATGTAAAAATAAGGTTTTATGTGTCACAGATATACAACATTTGGCACCCACATATGTGACATGGTCTCGATTAAAAAACTCAATGATGCTCACACCCCATTTACATTGTGTTGCCATGGCAACAAGCCAAAATTGTATCCTTGCCAATGGCACGTCCAGACACAAACGTTGGCGTCGCCAAACCAAATTTGGTATCCAAATGCATCATGGCAATAACAACAAAAATTTATATTGTGACCACGCCCCTTTACAAACCGGAAGTCCGCCATCTTGGATATTTTCTTTTGCCAAATTTAGAAAATTGCAGGGTTAAATTAAGATTTTTAGGGCTAGGGTTGTGGCTATGGTTAGGATTACGATTAGGGAAAGGTTTAAGTTTAGGCTTATTAGGGTCAGTGTGAGGTGCGGCGTTTGCGGCCTGCGGCGTTTGCGGGGCGCGGCGCAAGCACGAGCGAGGGCCGATCATTGCCGGTTGCGGCTATATTTATCTCTTACAATTAGTGTCTTACCTCAGGACATAACAGCAGCTAATCTTTTATTGAGTGATTTTTCCAACAATTCAAGTCTTTACTAAATTTTCACCAGATATTTAGATCACCCCTACACAGGGATACTGCAATACCTGATTGGAAGTGCCCGTCCTTTACTTGTGGCAAATATTTAGCAGTCTCCTTCAACCACTGAATTGAGTCTCTCTATGTTCTCGCTAACATCTGTGTATTTGCATAATCTGTAGAATCCACAAACTTTGAAAAACAGTGGACTACAAAAACATGTCCTTATACACACACGCTTGAATTGGGATGAGTGTCCAGTACGTCTGTCACCTCGCTGCCGTCAGTGACCATATTCTGTAACAATATTGAAGTAAATCTATGACAAGAATGGAGAAAACTGTCTTTATTGTGTATGTGCACATTGGTTGGGCTGTTTGCTTGCGTGAGGTTGTGGTGCATGCATTTTTTTTTTTTTCGGTAGACTCAAACGGTACTGTTCCCATTCATTTTAATAAAGATGATCCCATGTGTACACACCACTCCTGTCTTTATTTTAACAAGGCCTATAAATGTGAAGAGGGTTTTAAATATTCATGATTAGATTTCAATAGTGGTGGGTAAGTGTACTCTCGGTGATGGGGAATAAGATCTGTGAATGGGTCCTGAGGCGATTATTCTTATAGCCACTGGAGACAAAGAGAGCTGTCAATTCTGGTGTAAAATATTTAAGATATCCAATTTATAGGATTAATTAATGGGGCTGCAGCTAATAATTATTTTAGTAGTTGACTAGTCAGCGGTTAATTTTCCAATAAATTCATCCCTCAAATTATTATTTAGATTAATGTAGAAATATGGTGAATAGAGAGAATAGAGAATAATTACAGATAGTGTATCTGAAGCTGATGAAAACCAGCTGTTTGTTTGTTTTTATGTATTAGTGCAGCTATTTTTGTGGTAAAAATGTATTTTGCTATGTTTCAGAGTCCAGATAATGATTACTTCTATCAAATAATATATATTTTTTAATAGTTTTATGTGTAGTCTAGTCGATTAATCAATGCAGTCCTATCAGTCAAACAGCTCATATAAAACGTGACACCAAAAAGCTGTATAAGGTTGATTGGTTGGTTCATACGTAATAATTTTGACAAGGGATGTTCCATAAATTTGTGAAACAGCTTGAACCTTTACTACACTGGATAGACAGGTATTTTACTTTATAAATTACTTTTATTACGACTGATCCAGGACTAAACAAGTGTAACACCAATGTAAACCGACCCGAACAAACTCTGACTAAAGGTTTGACTCTAAGTTAGAATTCCAAACAGTTGCCATAAGTCTTTGTCAGGAACAAGTTGTGATTAGTTGTGACTGAAACTTGTGATTAGCCAGAACAATGAGAAAACTTAGGTCTGTAAAAGACTTGGGAATGCCACTAGAAGTCACCAGAAGCCACTAGTTAGAGGTGCACATTTTATTGATTAGGAGAGACCACTAAAATAGATCAATGAGAGGAGTCGGAGGTCACTGCTGTTGGGTCTGACTGACCACGGTTTGTGTATTGAGTAATTTGTCCCCATGTCTGTACAAGTCAAACCCAAAATTGAACAACATGTTACAATACCACTTAAATTATATAATCCATAGACTCAACCTTCTTAATTCAGAATAGGGAAATTGCATACAGTTTTTTTTACAGCAATACAGCATCATGGTCTGACTGTTCTCATATTATTTGCTATAAAGGTCACAAGCCAAACACAAGTTTAAATTGAGAAAAAGCTATTAAAAACGATTAATCCTACCATATACTTTACCCTTTTTATGCTGTTAACACTGAAATTAGCCCTACTTTCTAAGTCATTAAAATCTTAGAGCTGTTTTAAGACATTAATTGAGAGTTTATACCATACATTACTGCGCTTTGGCTTCTAGTTTAAAAAAGTTGAATGATGTATGTTGTCTGTTTACTTACCCCTAATAACATTTAATGTCAGTTCAATGCCTGTTCTTTAGTGTGAGCTTTGAACTCAAATAGCAATACAACAGTACAACAAGTTTGTAATGTTTCCAGAACAAAGCTTAATGACTTTGTTTCTTCACAGTATTTTTTTCAGTTTGTTGGCTATAACCTTTTATAGAGATTAATGGCCAGCTCACATAACCACATATAGGCCTATATAGTAAAGGGAACTATCACAGTGTCTTTTTCGATTAGTTTTCCTTCTGGTTTTAGACACAGAATCTTGTGTTCACTCCTATTTTATACTCTCCTCTTAAAGGTGTACTGTGTAACTTTTCTGCTGGAGGATCCATCAGATACTTTTCTCCATGGAAATTGTATTGCTTTTCCTGGAATGTTTCACAATATGGTATTAAACTTTTCTATCTTCATGGAGACCAAACTAGACCAAGTTACAGGTCAAATCTGTGGAGAGGCGACCCCACTTTAGTCAGAATGTCTGTTTTTCAAGGTATTTTTGAGCTATAAAGCACCTGTAATTGAATAAATGTAAGGTAGAGCTGTTTAATGTCTTACTGTGGAACATACCCAGCAAAGCAATGACATAGCCATAGAAACAAGCAGGTTTGAAAAGTTACACAATGAACCTTTAATGTTTAGTAATATGATTTTAGCTTGTCACTTGGAAAATCTAATCATTTCTGATATAGTATTAGGCTTGTTTAAACTCTTTTCTCCAGGGTACAATTAAAATGTTCCAGGTCAGACAGCATGCTCCTTTTCCAGTGACACGTTTAACCTCCGTCTGGAAAGGAGGGTGGACAGGGCGGAGCCTTGTTTGCCAAGTCCAGCGGTCAAAAGTCAAAGTTCACCAGGGAGCTGAGAAAAAGGTGAGGACACACATGTGAACACTGTCACTCCAGTCCACTCTACCGTCTGTGTCAAGGAAGAGGGCATCTACTCACCCAAAGGTGCAAGTACCCAGAGACTGTGAGTACCCAGATACTGATGAAGTCATTAAAGATAAATGATCCTGTCTTGTTAATTTAGTCAGATATTATGCTTAATTAAATACATTTTGAAATTCTGATCATATCAATTTTTTTTTCCAATTTTGGCCTATTTGAAATCAGTACTTATAATGTGGCTCCGAAAATAGTAAACATTTAAGGCCAGCATTAATATGAACCAAGGAGCTTTTCAAAATCTTTAAACTAGATTCAAATATATATATATAAAAATTACAAAGTAAAAGTATAATATAGTGGTCAATAAAATATTTTTTTTATTATATTTTGCTTGTTCATTTGATCTATGTCATACAGAATTAAGCGAACAGTGCACTGTGTCTTCATCCAATTAGCAAGAATTACATCTAATTTATTTAAGTAATTGTAATGTTGTTGAACCTTTTAAGGGCATTCCAGTATAACAGGATAACAAGATAATAAGCTTGATCCTATGTTAATCTTTCAATGGGAGAATAAATACCACTACTGCCTTCAGACCATGGGCACCACGCACACATATAATCCCACTAATTGTTTTCTTCTTTAGACTGTGCGGATTATAAAACAAGGTCACTTTATGTCTTTGACTCCGTTTGCTCTTATCTGTAGTGTGTGAACATCCTGTAGCGTTCTCATTTGTTTACATTGCATCGATTGAGCTGAAATAGCACTTGTGTTTTGGACAAGCCCATCAGGTAACCAGCATTCAAAGGCCTGACCTATACGTCCCAGGGTAAACTTTGTGGTTTTGACTCAGAAATCTATCAGGAATATTAACTGGTATGAGGCAACCTGATAGCAATAGGGCTTATGACCCAATTAATAAGTCGATTTATTGTTGAGGAGTCTCTGATTTACGTCATCAAACCCAACCCAAGCATAAATCCAAGCAAAAATCCATTGTGTATTCAATCAGAATCTCACGATACTGCTGCTTTCTATTTTAAAGTGAAATATAATACCTTTGAAGCACCCCACACTTCTATTCTTTTTGACATTATGTTAGTTTTCATGTTATAACATAATTCAAACCAGATAGGCACAGACTTACCTTACCTACTCCTTTAATATGCACAGGATCATCCAACCAGCCTCACAAGGTAGAGCTCAGAGTGGTGGACCAATCTGAGGGTAACCATGACGACCGCCGAGCCAACCAATCAAGTCTTTCGCCGAAATATCAGTGGTCGCGACTCTGATGACATCTCCAGCCCAGGTACGGCAGCATAGCGATGAAGAGAGGGTGAAAGTCTGCTATAGTGTTCATCCCGTGTAGGTCTAGCTAGTCTGTATTTAAATCATGACATTTACATTTTTATAGTATTCGATTTTACTTACTATAACTTCTTTGTGTGTACTTATGTGAAAGTAATGTCATTTATTCCAGGGTGACAAGATTTTCTGAGTTGGGTTGGTATAAAAAAAATAGTGAAAAGAGCTTGTAACATTGCCCATTCTTGAGTCATTTGTGGGTCAGTCCTAATCTGAGGGACTTCTGTCAATGCATTATTTTGCTTTATTTTGTATTCATTTTTAAGCACGCTTTTCTATATTTTAGCTAAAGAAATGACAATATGTTTCCCCTTTTCTGTTAATGGGTATCAGATTGGTCAAAAATAGGAATATTTCTTGTATAAAACTGAATAGTTTTGGATAAATCTGCTGGAACAGGGGCCACAGGGCTCTACCCTGGCACTGTCCTTTGTAAATAGGGACACGCTAGACCAAAAATATCAAGTTTTAGTGTTACAACTAGTGCTGTCATGCGATAAAAAAAATTGAGAGATTAATTAATTATGATCTGTAATTAATTAATCTAATTAATCTCTTTTTAATCTCACCTAAAAATTGCTGAGAAAAGCCTTCAATTTGAGGTATTTTCATTTAAATTCATTATTACATTATTGTGGCAGATCAAAAGACTGATATAGAACAGAAAAAGTGACTTTATAAAGTCATTTATTGTTTAACAAATCTCTTCAAATTGGCTGTTGAGCCCAAGTCTCCATGAATAAGAAACTGTTTGCTGTAAAGTAGCAAAGACGAGGAAATCTGAACATAATAACTTTTGTCTACTTAAAGACAATAAAAAGTCCAATCTTTCCTTAACCATATGAAAAATATTATTGATAGAGAAATGCTTTATATATGAGATCACTGGTTTTAGTCCTGGTTTAGACCTGGTTTAGACCTGGAATGGGTTAATCCTGGTTTTAGTCCTGGTGTTAGTTCTGGTTTAGACCTGGTTTAGACCTGGTTTTAGTTCTGGTTTTAGTTCTGGTTTAGTCCTGGTTTAGTCCTGGACTGGGTTAGTCCCGGTTTTAGTCTTGGTGTTAGTTCTGGTTTTGAGGCGCACAGGAGGAAGCGCGGTTTACACAGCATACGTGAGAAAACGTATGCGGCGCACGGGAGGACAGCCGTGTCCGCGCACGCGCGCAGTAACTACGGAAGGAAACGTGGTCCGCGCGTTCTCAGGTTAATGACGATGATGAGGGTGTGTGTTTGTGTTTGTGTGTGTTTGTGTGTGTTTGTGTGTGTGTCGCCTCATGTGGCAGGTCACTATAGGACAGTAGTGCAGACATCATGAGCCTATGCAGGTTGTTTTCACCAGTGACATTTAAGTTGTAGGCGATTTTATATTTGTTATTTTCTTTATATTTCACGTCGGGAGAATAATTTCCAAGACACAAATGTGTTTTTACCTGTGCACTGCTGCCTCTGTTCTACTGGCTCTTCCACCTCGTCCATTGCGCGACTGACGCCGCCAATGTGAACATGACGTTTACATCGCTCTTACTGCGCACGTTTTGTGTGGGTTTCCGACAATGTGTGGAATTACCGAAATAAAAAAATTTATAAATGTGTTTTTTGTGTGTGTGTGTGTGTGTTGTTGTCCCAACAACACATAAAAACAGATTTGATAATAAAGCAACTCGCATACAGAAACAGTAAAGTTAGAGATTAAAAATGAGATTAACGCGATTAAAAAACATAACGCGCTAAATATGATTGTAATTAATTAATCGCAATTAACGTGATAATTTGACATCCCTACTTACAACTAGTGCTGTCATGCGATTAAAAAAATTGAGCGAAGAAAATTGCTGAGAAAAGCCTTCAATTTGAGGTATTTTCATTTAAATTCATTATTACATTATTGTGGCAGACAAAAGACTCATATAGAACAAAAAAAGTGACTTTATAAAGTCATTTATTGTTTAACAAACTTTAACAGATGCAGTCACTTACATTCCACAGTATCATAATTAGGCCCGAGCGCCAGAGGCTGGTGAAGGGCCTATTAGTATCGCAAAACGATGCTCCAAGTGGCCCGAAAGTGAAATGGCGTGACGTGACTCGCCCGTAGTGACCAGGGACCCTCGCCATGACATAGCAATGCGCCCGAGGTTTCCAAAAATGTATAGTTTGTCAGCCAAAAAAAAGCGGAACATTGTTCTCGTATCAGAAAATTAAAGCCGCTTGCAGCTTTAATTATTATTTTTCTCCTAACCAACTCACCCATTTTTCACCCACTGAACAATGACGAAAAGTCCTGGAAATTTTGCCATCTGGTAAAACTCGCGCTTCCCTACATTTTGGCTATTTCCATTTTCCAAACATAAATAAAATGGCTCGTCAGCGCCCCCAAATGACTCAAAAATGCATTAGGGAATACAAATGACACAAAAAAAAATTTACAGGTACAATCATGAAATTTGACACAGAAGTCAATCATGTCAAGACAAGGAAAAAATATTATTACACCAACACCGTGCGCTCCACTAGGGGGCAGCAGTATTGGCTGAAAGTTTGCTAAGCTTTTACGAACTCCTCCGAGGGCATTCACCCGAGTGAGCTCAAATTTGGTCCACATTATCTCAAGACGTGGAACATCAAAAGTTATCAAAATTTTTTACACACGTCTTACGGTCTCTGAGCAGTGAAGCAACAAAAAATGCAAACAATTTTGGAGATTTACAAATTGCTCTCATTTGCTCAAACGAACTCCGATTTCAATGAAATTTGAAACAGTTGTTAAACTCTCTGCCCTGAAGCTACTTAATGTGAAAATTATTAATTTGGCGCATTAGCGCCCTCTATAGATTGAAACAAAAATTTATGTGGGAAAAAATCATTTGTTCCCAAATAGTTGTTCAAAAATTTCTGAAATTTTGCACAAAATTCCATTTTGGCATCTTGATCCAAAATTCAATGACACCCATGTCATACTTTTTATGGCGTTGCCATAGCGATGACATAAACTCTCCATTGGTAAAATCTACAAATTCTGGCACAAACTTTGGCCGATTTCACTCAAATTTTAATTGCGGGTTCACACCTCGACCCTGAACAGATTTATATAAGAAAATCTCAGATGGGCGCAATAGCGCCCCCTAGGGAAATTGCATGGTAGTGCAAAAATTTATTTTGTCGTAGACATATAAAATTTGGTACACAGATTCATGACATGGTCTCGATCCAAAAAGTCAATGACAACCCCATGCCATTTCCCATCATGTTGCCATGGCGACAGGCCAAACATCTGCCCTCATCAACAGGACACCCAACAAAAACTTTGGTACACCAAAGTTTTTGGCTACAGCCAAACCACATTTGGTACACAGATGCATCATGAGATTAGGGACAAAAAAGTATATTACATGGTTGCTAGGCAACCAACAGGAAATCGGCCATATTGGATTGATCGTGCCTCGTACTTGAATGAACTCGTCTTCGGGCGTTTGACCCAGACAGAATCATTCTGTATCATCTAGACAAGTGGGATATTAAAAGTTGTTAAAAGCTTTTTAAAAGGTCAAACGGTGTTGCCGTGGCAACTGTGCAAATTTCGGGTTCGTTTTTGGGGCTCACCATCAAACTTCGACGCCTGATAATTTGCACAAACTTTGGCTGATTTCATCCATCCATCCATCCATTTTCGTCCGCTTATCCGGGGCCGGGTCGCGGGGGCAGCAGCCTAAGCAGGGACTCCCAGACTTCCTTCACCCCAGACACGTCCTCCAGCTCCTCCGGGGGGACCCCGAGGCGTTCCCAGACCAGCCATAGACAGACATAGTCCCTCCAGCGTGTCCTGGGTCTTCCCCGTGGCCTCCTCCCGGTGGGACATGCCCAGAACACCTCCCGAGGGAGGCGCCCAGGAGGCATCCGGAACAGATGCCCGAGCCACCTCAACTGGCTCCTCTCGATGTGGAGGAGCAGCGGCTCTACTCCGAGCTCCTCCCATGTGACTGAGCTCCTCACCCTATCTCTAAGGGAGCGCCCAGCCACCCTACGGAGGCTGATTTCACTCAAATTTTAATCCTGAGTTCACACCTCAACCCTGAACAGATTGATGTAAGAAAATACAAAAATGGGCACGGCGTTTGCAGGGCGCGGCGTTTGCGGGGCGCGACGTTTGCGGGGCGCGGCGTTTGCGGGGCGCGGCGTTTGCGGGGCGCGGCGTTTGCGGGGCGCGAGGGCCGATCATTGCCGCTTGCGGCTATATTTATTATTACTATTACTAATCTGCAGTGTTGGGAAGGTTACTTTTAAAATGTATTCCCCTACAGATTACAGATTACATATCCAAAAATGTAGTTTGTAACTTAATCCATTTAATTACTTAAAGTGAGTAACGTAATTTGAATATTTTGGATTACTTGATATTGTCATGCTTTTTAAAACTACATGAATGTAGCAACCACATCCTGCAAATGCTGTTCTTGTTTGTTCTCTTCAAATTGGCTGTTGAGCCCAAGTCTCCATGAATAAGAAACTGTTTGCTGTAAAGTAGCAAAGACTAGGAAATCTGAACATAATAACTTTTGTCTACTTAAAGACAATAAAAAGTTCAGTCTTTACTTAACCATATTAAAAATATTATTGATAGAGAAATGCTATGTATATGAGATCACTGGTTTTAGTCCTGGTTTAGTCCTGGAATGGGTTAGTCCTGGTTTTAGTCCTGGTGTTAGTTCTGGTTTAGTCCTGGTTTAGTCCTGGTTTAGACCTGGTTTTAGTTCTGGTTTAGTTCTGGTTTAGTCCTGGTTTAGTCCTGGTTTAGACCTGGTTTAGTCCTGGTTTAGTCCTGGACTGGGTTAGTCCTGGTTTTAGTCTTGGTGTTAGTTCTGGTTTAGAGGCGCACAGGAGGAAGCGCGGTTTATGCAGCGTACGCGAGAAAACGTACGCGGCGCATGGGAGGACAGCCGTGTCCGCGCAGTAACTACGGAAGAAAATGTGGTCCGCACGTTCTCAGGTTAATGACGATGATGAAGGTGTGTGTTTGTGTTTGTGTGTTTGTGTGTGTGTGTTTGTGTGTGTGTCCCCTCATATGGCAGGTCACTATAGGACAGTAGTGCAGACATCATGAGCCTATGCAGGTTGTTTTCACCAGTGACATTTAAGTTGTAGGTGATTTTATATTTGTTATTTTATTTTATATTTCACGTCAGGAGAATAATTTCCAAGACATGAATTCGTTTTTACCTGTGCACTGCTGACTCTGTTCTACTGGCTCTTCCACCTTGTCCATTGTGCGACTGACGCCGGCAATGTGAACATGACGTTTACATCGCTCTTACTGCGCGCGTTTTGTGTGGGTTTCCGACAATGAGTGGAATTACCGAAACAAAAAAAATTATAAATATGTTTTTTTTTGTGTGTGTGTGTGTGTTGTTGTCCCAACAACACATAAAAACAGATTTGATAATAAAGCAACTCGCATACAGAAACAGTAAAATTAGAGATTAAAAATTAGATTAACGAGAATGAGAATTAAATATGACTGTGATTAATTAATTAATCGCAGTTAACGCGATAATTTTATAATAATTACAACTAGGGGTGTCAAATTATCGAGTTAATTGCGATTAATTAATTACAGTCATATTTAGCGTGTTATGTTTTTTAATTGCGTTAATCTCATTTTTAATCTCTAACTTTACTGTTTCTGTTGTTTTTTGAGTTGCTTTATTATCAAATCTGTTTTTATGTGTTGTTGGGACAACAACACACACACACACAAAAATAACACATTTATACATTTTTTTATTTCGGTAATTCCACTCATTGTCGGAAACCCACACAAAATGTGCGCAGTACGAGCTATGTAAATGTCATGTTCACGTTGGCGGCGTCAGTCGCACAATGGACGAGGTGGAAGAGCCAGTAGAACAGAGTCAGCAGTGCACAGGTAAAAACACATTCATGTCTTGGAAATTATTCTCCCGACGTGAAATATAAAAGAAAATAACAATATAAAATCGCCTACAACTTAAATGTCACTGGTGAAAACAACCTGCATAGGCTCATGATGTCTGCACTACTGTCCTATAGTGACCTGCCACATGAGGGGACACGCACACAAACACACACAAACACAAACACACACAAACACACCTTCATCATCGTCATCGACCTGAGAATGCGCAGACCACGTTTCCTTCCGTAGACACTGCGTGGACACCGACGTGCTCCCGTGAGCCGCGTGTGGATCGTGTTTTCTCGCGTACGCTGCGTAAACCGCACTTCCTCCTGTGCACCTTTAAACCAGAACTAACACCAAGACTAAAACCAGGACTAACCCAGTCCAGGACTAAACCAGGTCTAAACCAGGACTAAACCAGGACTAAACCAGAACTAAAACCAGAACTAAAACCAGAACTAAAACCAGGTCTAAACCAGGTCTAAACCAGGACTAAACCAGAACTAAAACCAGAACTAAAACCAGGTCTAAACAAGGACTAAACCAAAACTAACACCAGGACTAACACCAGGACTAACCCTTTCCAGGACTAAACTAGGACTAAAGCAGGTCTAAACCAGGACTAAAACAAGGACTAAAACCAGTGATCTCATATATAAAGCATTTCTCTATCAATAATATTTTTTAATATGGTTAAGGAAAGATTGGACTTTTTATTGTCTTTAAGTAGACAAAAGTTATTATGTTCAGATTTCCTCGTCTTTGCTACTTTACAGCAAACAGTTTCTTATTCATGGAGACTTGGGCTCAACAGCCAATTTGGAGAGATTTGTTAAACAATAAATGACTTTATAAAGTCACTTTTTTAATCTATATCAGTCTTTTGATCTGCCACAATGTAATAATGAATTTAAATGAAAATACCTCAAATTGAAGGCTTTTCTCAGCAATTTTTAGGTGAGATTAAAATGAGATTAATTAGATTAATTAATTATAGATCATAATTAATTAATCTCTCAATTTTTTTAATCACATGACAGCACTAATTACAACTATTGTTAAAATTAACATAATGATTTTAAGTTTCTTCATCATTATTGACAACATCTAACCTGATTCATTTCACTTCGTGGAAACCGTCTGACCTCTCAGCATTAGAATTTGTTCGCTTGACAGTAGGCAGGTACTTTTTTAATTTAATCAGTCGCTGCTATTTGGTCGTGACGCATGTAATGCGCCGCTAATGGGGCTAAAAGTATATTAGGCTTATAAAAGTATATTAAGGTTTTCCCAAAATCCAGTAGGAAGAAGAGCAATGACGTCTTTCCCCTTGATAAAATTCAACAAATATTTGTTTCGGCTTTAAATCTCGGGAATTGTTGCCAACACAGAATGTATTCCGATTCCTGACCTACTCACTAATTAATCCCCCAAACAACAGTAAACATTTATTTTATTTACATTGTCTAATTGATCACTGTTTCTCCAGTAATTTCACTTCGTAAATTGTACCATAAATTTTATAGAAATTATCAAATTAATCAATTAGCAGATTACTCTCTATTCAAAACTAGCTGTGCAGTCCTGGTTAGCCTTGGATTAAGTTTTGTAGTGCTAGTTACCTCCCTATTTTAGCTTTAATTTATTATGACTGAGTTTATTATGACTTATTATGAAGTGTTTGCCTGGACTCCCTGATTATGTCTTGATGGATTACTGAGGTGATATTTTGTAGTCTTAGCCTCAGGAGTCTGACAAAACCATTCTAACAGCCATAAATCCAATTTGAGCAGCAATTGTTTATTTGTGCTCATCACTCAAAGCCTAAAGACAAATAATGTATACAATTATATAACTCATTCATCATCTTATTTCCCCAGAGTTGAGACACAGTGAGGACGAGCCTCTTCATGTGAACAAACATATTCAGGTTTGTGTTTTTGCCTTTGGTCCTTTTACATTTTACTGTGGGACAGATCTTATCACCTCTTTCTTCTTGTTGTTTTTTTAGAACCTGAAAGGGAGACTCCTGGCCCAGCTTCAGGACCAGCTTAGTGAGGTTGTAGACCGAACGCTGTGTGAGTCCGTTCAGATCTTATCCCAAATTCAGCCTCACCAAAATGGGAAAACTGCACAGGCACCCATTTCCAGGTGAGAATGAAAGGGCCTGACATGTTTTGGATACAGATAACAAAAAGATTAATCCGCTTTTATGCTCCGTTTCAGAACAGAGAGGAAAGATGGTGGAAAAGTGTTCATGCACAGAATGTCCCTTTTGGAGTAAGTATTGTTATTTTAATCAGAAATTACACAGCAAATAGTTTAGGGCCTCTCACAATAACAAGTTTTGAAGTGTGATATGTTGGTCAAGTAAATATAGACAATTAATGATTGCAACTAAATATTTGCCTTAAGAGCAGATTTAAATCACAAAAAACTATTCTAAATGAACAGTATTGTTTAAAAATCATGAGCTGCAATACATAAACTGCAGAATGAAACACTAGTATTCAAAATCACCAAAAATGACCCCCAAAAATATTGTTCCAGCTTTTATATTGAAGTCAATATAGTCTTGATCATTTTGAGACAGGCCAAATCTATGTTCCATTTGAAGCACACTCTCATCTCTCCCCTCTCAGTGTTTGCGAGTGCAACAAAAGCAGCTTGTGTGATGAACAGTGGTAATAAAAATGATGTCAGGGGAGAAATTCCATATTTCTCATCCACAGTTATGATTAGAACTATAATAACCACAATTATAGTGAATTCCATGATATAGTAGCTCAGACTGTAGATGTAGATGTCTCATTCTAAATGGCTCATTTCTTATAGCACTGTTGAGTTTGCATATAGATAAGTTGGTGATTGGAATAATGCCATAAAGCAGGCTGGAACTTTTGGTCACTTTTTTTTTTTCACTTTAGTGTCTACTATTGCTTCATTGTGCAATATCTTGCAAATTAGAGCAATGATTTGTGGATGGTCCTTCTTTCTGTAATTGAGTCTTAAAATGTAACTGAAAGTCTGTCTTTTTGTATATTTTATGTAGTTTGAGGACTGTATTCAATCAGTAATGTGCATATGATATAACAGTGACAAACCAATATACAGTATACACAAAAATAATTCCACCTAGAGTGACTCAGACACAAAAAGAAAGTATTAGAAGGTTTATTAAATGAGTTGAACCCCAGCAGAAGACATTGTGATTAAGAGAGGACTTTCCCCCGGAGCCTGGACATTGGAGGTGGTAGAGATGAGGCCGAGGAGAGTAAAGGGGAAGATGAGAGGATGAGGAGTGTGAAGGCAACAGTAAGGTGATGAGGAGAGTGAAGGTGATGATGAGAAGCCGAGGGGGTGTTGGGGAGGAAGTGGGGAGGAAATGGGGCGTGGCATAAACCAAAGCGGCTGTGCACCTGCAATGGGGGTGTAAATTGGGCAGACTGGGTGCTGATTGGACAGGAGGAGGCGTGGCGAGCAGTGGGGAGGGGTAATGGGAGTGAGATGATGAAGGCTGAGGAGCAGGTAAACTCTGGAGAGGTGGTGCGAGTTTAGGTCTTCCATGCTGAATTTACACCAGCTCCATTTAACTGTGCCAGTTCATATCAATGACTGTATATATAATAATTATGTCTTCTTTCCTGTTTTTAGTGAATTGTTTGAGATTAACCACATCCGAACCATCTACCACATGTTTCTGGCTGTTTTTCTCCTCTTCAGTCTGAGCACTTTGATTGTGGACTACCTCGAGCATGGCAGGTCAGTCTTATTATAAATGCACCTATGTTAATATAGGCTAGCACAGTTCCACATACGTCCAAACTTCATGACCCCAAACGTCACCTCCAGCTAACTTGTGTGCCCTGGGGTGCAGGGAAACTTCTCCTCTTATCTTTTTATTGGTCCAACTAAACCTTGTTATTCTCTTCCTCTCCCTTTCCCGCCTCCCCTCTCTTCTGGAGCATGAAAGATAGAGCAATCGGCCCCTGTGAGGATTGCTGCTGTTGCTATGGGCAGCCGTGTAATGATGTGCAGGCTGTTTCGTACATGTGGGGTTGTGGGTTTAAGTCTCCTGCCTTTACCCTGTTTCAGAAGTGCCAGCGGGAAAATCCTCAGTGAGACAAACTGTTCAATGCATTTGCCCTAAGTTAGATTTGACTTTAATGTGGTGAACTGACTCAAGTTCTGGATGACTACAGGCTCTTTTTGAGAAAATATTGCGGTTATTTCCAGTTGGGGGTGTAAATGTAATGCTCCATTGTACAATTCAGTGTCACTTTATATTAACTACGCTTAATTCATAGTGAACAAATAGTTTATGAATGAGAATGATTGAGGCTTAATAACTACTTAAATGTTATTATGCAAAATTGATTCTTGTGGGCTTTAAGCCATGTTATAGTGTTGTTACCTACTCAAAAACACACCTGGAGTTGTGTTTTGTTTCATTCACACATGTTTGAGTGACACTTTATTATTAGTCTGTCTACAGCAAAGCTCAAAATGCTCTGTCATGAAATGGTAGTTTTCAAGTTAACAGCTACCGTTTACATTTGGTTCAGATTGGCAATTTCATATCTGAAATTATTCAGATCATGTATGGAGTTTAAAAACACAGTGGAGCTCTTCCTGTATTACCACATGGCAGCAGCTCAGTTGGTAGTGTTTGTCCACTCATCAGTTCGATTTCCACTCTTGACATAAACTTTATTAGTTGAGCGGTCAGATCCACTGGCCCACAGGTTGGCAGTGCAATTCCAGCTCCCACTGATGAATGCTGTTGTGGTGTCCTTGGGCAAGACACTGAGTGTGGAGTGGATGAATAATGATCTGTAAAGCGTATTTGTGACATACTTATGTCTGTGAAAATACCAGCTGCCTGTGTCCATAAGTACAAAATATTAAATACAATTATGTTAACTATGTATTACTGAAATGAGTAGTCTGCCTGTCATATTGCACTTTAAGATGTAGTAATTATAAAGTGTTGCAGACTGTTATGTTTTGTTCATGCTGTTGTTTTATCTTTATAGGTTGGTCCTGGAGTTTGACCTGCTCTTCTATGCCTTTGGGAAGCTGGGGACAGTCACATGGGCATGGACTCTTATGTTCCTCTACACTTTACTTGTTCCTTATCAGTTACTGGTCTCCTGGGGCTCATTGTACCACAAGTTTCCCTCAAAGATAGCTCTAAACCTGGGCTTTGGTCTGGTCCTGTGTGCCCTGCAGATCTGTGTCCTTGGACTGTTCCCTGTCTATGTGGTCGTACACAACCAGCTCCCCCCTGCCTCACGGTTCATTGTCATCTTGGAGCAGGTTAGTTAAATTCACATCAAGCAATTACACAATACTGACTTAATACTTAAAGATGCATTATGTAACTTCTCTAGTGGAGGGTCTGACAAATGCTTTTCTTCTTGGAGATGTTATTACTTTGTCTGGAATGTTTCATTGTTTCAATGTTTATTAAACCTTTCTATCTTCATGGAGACTAAACCAGACCAAGTTATAGGTCAGATCTGTGGAGAGGCGACCTCGTTCACTGTCAGAATGCTTGTTTTTCTAAGTATTTTTGAGCTATAAAATCATCTGTAATATAAAAAATATGAGGTAGAGATGTTTAATGTCATACTGTGAACATTTCAGGCAGAGCAATGACATATCCATAGAAACAAGCAGGTGAAGGACCCTCCACAGGAAAGTTACATATTGCAAGTTTTAAGTTTTTATGACCTGTCAAGATTTATTTTGATTTTGGTTTTTAACCATTTGTGCTGGATAGACTGTATAAAGGCAGAATTCACATTGCATCAAGCTTATCTATTCAGAATAAGGACATCAGAACAAAAGTAACCAGTTTATTTCAAATACAGTTGGGACATCTTTAGACTTTCACAGACTAGACATAACCTAAACATGGGTCTGAAGTACTTTGAAGAAAACAAATATTTAATACTATGGACATCCATAACTGAAATGAGTGGGGAACATGGTGTATTTTGTCCCTATGAGAAATAAAGCCTTAATAGTCAAATGTGAAATACATTTTTTATGCTTTATTTTAGACGTTCACATTTTACACTGAAGAGAATTGTGTAAAGAAATGTGTTTATGGTTATTACAAAATGTAGTTAATACTAGACATACTGAAACAATGTTAGACATACTGAAACAATTCAAACTTGCCATTGTGCTGTGGCATATAGTTCTATTTTTAAATACTCTTGGTCAAAGACAATCTTAAAACCAGTCACACCTCTGTCTACATAATAGGTTTGTTTTGGAACCGTCTAAGAGGAGCATGATGAAAAGAAAGCTTCTCCAACTTCCATCTGGACAGCGATCTAAGAGGTGCAAATCTGCATGTAGCCAACATTTCAACATCCATCTGCTAATATATGCCTCACATCCCTTTTGTCTCTGCAGCCAGTGTCCCCAGACTTAACCTTATCCCATCTGCTCAAGTGAGAGTCCCAAAGCAATGAGCACACATATGTCAACATCCGGCAATGGAGCTCAACAGTGACCTCCTACCTCGGTTCTTGAACCAAATTTACCATTGATTTTCTCATTCCCATTAATTTTTCCCTTGGACAAAAACATAAAAATATCAAAAGTTTGAAAGCTTGCTCAGGGATAATCCGCTACATGTTAAAGATGCACTATGTAACTTTTTGGTTGGGGGTCCATCGTCTTCTTGTTTCTATGGATATTGCATGTATTCAATTACAGGTAGTTTTATTGCTCAAAAATACATAGAAAAACAGAAGATAGAAAGGTTTATTGTCATACTGTGAAACTTTCCAAACAAAGCAATAAAATCTCCATAGAGAAAAGCATTTGATGGACCTTGTTGAGCTCCATAGGATCGTCTTTATAAAAAACATTTTCCTTGTAAACGTTTACAATTTGCCTTTTGAGGGATAAAATCTGCTGGTTTCTAGAAATCAATACATGAAGACTTTATTTTGTACAGCCCCAGGAGGAACACATGTCCAACAGCAAGAGGAATGTTTTTTACTTTTTTCCTCTGCTTCAGATAAAAGTGTCCTCGGGTACAACTCTCAATCTCGCTTTTAATGTTAAAGACCTGAATTACAATCACCAGTGACTATAACTGATGAAAAGGGGTGCAGTCAAAGATGAATGACTCTTATTTAAAATGTTGTGATGGTTTTGTCCATTTGCTCTGCTTTTATATAAACCAGTGTCCCAGTGAATGGACTGACCTATTATTTTGCTTTCAGAAAAGTCATGCAGTATGTCCAAGCAGATTAGCATCAAGTATAAAGATATTTTTCTCTTTCTACAGATTCGATTTCTGATGAAAACCTACTCGTTCATAAGAGAGTCTGTTCCTCTTATTATCGACAATCCTCCCAAAGAAGGTAAGGCCTCCTATTGTGTGGAAATCAGGTGTTTCTACCCTGAGAGGCACCATTACTCACAGCGCCACAAGAAAAATGACTGAGACAGAACTCAGCAGGCTGCCTTCTAATAATACAGACTCGTGGAGAAAGAACTCATACGAGATATACATTATGTCCAATCCTCATAATCCCAAGGACTTGTGTTGTGAATGTCTATTTGATGAGAAGAATCTCTTTCGCCTGCAAATGTAATAAAATTTTAATGGCTCTTTTGAGAAGTGTTCAAGCTGCAAATGACAGCTTTTATCATCTAAGTATGGTTTTAGGGTGGTTATAGCCATAAGACATCAGTGATTTTAATCAAGACAGACATTTTAAGTTAGTTTTATCTGTAAGAAACTAAAGCCAGTACAGCCAAGCTTATAGCAGGTACATTAGAGGTAATTTGTCCCAACAATTTAGTGATCAGCTTGCTCCAATTTCATTTAAGCACTGCTATTTGGGAGATGAATGCCGTGTGAAGCTGCTGTGAAGTACAGTGTTTACAAACAGAAAATTGGATAATTATACTAAGCTACAGGAGTATTAAAAACTTAAGCACAACTTTATTTACACTGCTATTTGTCTATACTCAATCCTTATCTGTTTTCTCATAAAAACATCAGCCCCATAGATTTCCCATTAGGGCATGTGTAATTAACTTTGTTCTCATGGCTTTGGTTTCAGGAGAAAATCCCAGGTTTCCAACTCTTTCTAGCTACCTGTACTTCCTCTTCTGTCCAACACTTATCTACAGAGAGTCGTACCCTAGGTAATTACCAACTGTATGCCTGCCTTAAAGGTGCACTACGTGACATTTCTAGTGGAGCGATCGCCACCTGCTTGTCTCCATGGAAATGTTACTGCCTTATTTAGAATGTTCCACATCATAAGGGAGACAGGCAGACTACAGAACTATGCTACATTACACTTCAGATCTGTGGAGAGTCGCCCCATTCACAGAAGGAATTAATATATTTTTGAGCAATAGAAACACTTGTACTGATTAAATCCTGTAGATGTTTAAAATCAATATGTATGCTGTGGTCTAAAGCAAGAGAAATATCTGATGAAGACTTTTTTTTTTTTTTTGCCAAAACATTACTTGAAAATAAAACATCGGCATCAGCCAACAGAGTGTGCTATGCATTTTTTCACTTTTATGTCTAAAATCATACCGTGGAACATTCTAGGCACAGCAATAACATCTCCATGGAGACAGGCAAGTGGCATCGTTCACCAGAAAAGTTCTGCAGTGCATCTTTAAATCAAACTGGTAAAATCTGCTTAAGTATAAATAATAAGATATTTTGTTTTTAGAAATAGCCACATTCGATGGAAGTACGTTGGCGTTACTATTGGCATGGTAAGATAAATACTACTAAGAAAATACAACGTTTTCTTGGCTTCAGTTAAATAACTGGACCACTGTGAAGGACGAAATTAGACATTATTATGCTAACTTGTGTCTTTTTATAGATTCTGGTGTGCCTGTTCTATAGCTACTACATCTTGGAGCGACTCTGTGTTCCAGTGTTCAGACCTGACACCAACAAGGTTTTCAGTAAACGCTCAATGGTGCTGGCTATCTTCCATTCAATTTTACCAGGTAAGTGACTCAAATACAGTGGTGCAAGAATTTAGTAAAGTACAGATACTGGAAGAAAAAATACTCAAGTAACAGTATCACATGAAAAAACTGACTTTTCGCAGATTTTGAGTTCTAATAAAGCTTCAAATGTAGTGATTTTGATAAAGATTTCTGCTGAATTTTGTTTAACAGAAACAATTGAATCAGTCTTTTTTTTTTCCTAGCTGTTTTTCTTTATAAATTTTTGTTCAATTAAAAAATGTAGTGGTGTAGAAAGTATAGATACCTGATCTCAAATGTAATGGTAAAAAGTATCCATGTTAAAATCTACTTAAGTAAAGTACAGATACAGATACCAGTACAGTACTTTTCCACTTTTACTTTGTAACCACCACTGCTGAAATATTAGACACATCTGTCCAATCCTTTCATGTAACACAACGCTAGTTCATTTAATAGTGCTGTAAATCAATAGTGTCTTAAGTGCACATTTCAGTTATATCTCCTCCAACAGTCACAGTGATTCTCTGTCTTTCTCAGGTACGATGCTGCTGCTGCTCTGCTTCTTCGCCTTCCTCCACTGTTGGCTCAACCTCTTTGCCGAGCTCATGCGTTTTGCTGACAGGATGTTTTATAAGGTAAGGTCTATGACTGATAGCCTCCTCCACAAGTGTTACCTCCATGCCTCTTGTTTTTGAGTGGGAAAAGCAGAGTTAAATACTTCAGGGCTGGTGGGTAGACCCAGTGCACACTCAGCATGTTTATAATGCAGTGTGGTGATTATGGACACAAAATGGGTTGGACAGGTTCGACATGGTTAGTTTATTATAGTGTATAATAAATAATATTGTTTCTGACACTAATAAACTATATGATGTGACATATAGTGCACATTTATCACAGCACTTCCATTGTAATTGTGTTTACATTTCTCTATGATATTGAGTAGAACGTTTTCTGATTAAACAATGGATGGTATGTTGGCTAGCACTCTCACCATTGCACAGAGGTAATGTCCCGAGTTAAATTCCCTGTGTTTTGTTTTTGTTTTGTTTTTTTGATGTATCTGCTTATTTTTATTTCATTCATAAAATATAAACATCAACAGTGTCATAAAGTTAAACATATAAGAAATTAATGAAAAGGAGCATAATGAAGAGTCATCTTGTGTTATCTGCCTGCTCTGTGTCATGTGGTGGGTTTCCAACATGAACCTCAGTCATACACAATAGGCTAATCCTTCATTCAGGTCATCCTAATCAAGTTTAGCTCAATATTTGGAGATTGGCCTGAGCACTGCACTGTGATTATTCACTGCTTCTGACAGGTTTTCCCAGTAGCAGCACTGAGGGATCAAATGCAGAGAATTTCAGAAGATAATAAGATAATTTTTCTCATGCTTTTACCAATTTAGTATACAAACATGCATACAAATATAACATACAAATATTCATACATGCATAGATAAATGCTGTATTGATCCCAAAGAAAATTAAATTACAATACAACAAATACATACTCATACACGCACACACATGCATGTCGCCACAGCCAGATGTTGTGTGTGCGGACCAGGCTGTCGAGACACCCGTCCCCGACTGCCGCCCAGTCCTCTATGCACCCGACCCCTATGAACCCCCTCTGCGGGTGATGAGCCCACAGGAGGGTGGACCCACATCGTCCTTTTGGGCTGAGGCCCGGCAACCAGGCGCTCGCATTCGAGCCCCAACCCCAGGCCTGGCTCCAGGGTGGGGCCCCGACTGCGCCATACCGGGCGACATCACGGTCCTCACTATTTGTAAGTTCATAAGGGTGCTACGAACTGCTCATAGTCTGCTCCGTCACCTAGGACCTGTTTGCCATGGGAGACCCTACCAGGGGCAAAACGCCCTGGACAACATAGCTCCTAGGATCATTCGGGTACTCAAACTCCCCCACCACGGTGAGGTGGTAGTTCGGGAGGAGACGAATTCCTGGATGCCTTCCTCGGGAGGTGTTCCAGGCACATCCCACCGGGAGAAGGCCCCGGGGAAGACCCAGGACACGCTGGAGGGACTATGTCTCTCGGCTGGCCTGGGAATGTCTCGGGATCCCCCTGGTAGTGCTGGAGGAAGTGTGTGTGGAGAGGGAAGTCTGGGAGGCCCTTCTCAGACTGCTGCCCCCACGACCCGACCCCGGATAAGCGGAAGAAAATGGAATGGAATGGAACGCACATCCACATAAATACATACATGCATTGAAATGAGTGTTATCTGATTTGACAGTGACTATTGAGTGGAGGAGTTGTTGCTTCATGAAACTCTTGGCTCTAATTACTGTAGATACTTTTGGTGGATTTAAAATAAGCTTTGTTTTATGTGTTGTTGCTCAGCAACCAGCAGCTATGCATCACTGATGTCTGAAACAGTATTTTGCCATACATTTAACAGATTATGAATATTACTATAAAAGCAATGAAGTTTGAGATCACAGTATTGTTGTGTAAGAACTAGATTGAGAAGTTGTGCAAGTGGGCTATTTTATTTTTACCTGATACGTCTGATTCTGAGCTCTTGAATCGAGATCGTGATAATATCTTGTTGAAAGTGCAAATCCTCAATGTGCCGTTGCTGCATCACTACATTGTTTACTATATTACTTCACTTCTCACCTTATTTTTTTTATCCTACAGCAAATCTAACCATAAATTCAAAGGCTTTTTTTCTTAACCTTGCAGGACTGGTGGAACTCCTACTCTTTTGCAAACTATTATCGAACTTGGAACGTGGTGGTCCATGACTTTCTGTATTACTATGGATACAGAGATTTCCTGTGGGTAAGCGCTCTGAAACACACACGGCTCACACAGCAGTGTATTGTACATGTATATTTGTGGACTGCACTGACCCCTGAACCTACGGCTGATCCTCTGTGTGCCTTTGATCCCTGCAGCTGTCCAGGAAGAAGTTCAGAACAGCTGCCATGCTCTCCGTCTTCATGGTGTCTGCCTTTGTTCATGAGTACGCTTTAGGAATGGGCTTCGGCTTCTTCTACCCCGTCATGTTCATCCTCTTTGCCATCTTTGGGGGTAAATCAATCACACACACTCAGTTCTCTTGTAGTATAGTGGTTATAGTATAATAAATATATTTGATAAAAATCTGAAATGTAACTGCTCCAAAATAGACAAGGTATAAATTAAGTGATTGGAGTGAGTATTGAAAGTAGAACATATTTACATAAGGTACTACTGATAATAAAAAACACTTATAGACTTAGACTTGGACAAACTTCAATGATCCACAAGGGAAATTATTTGGACAGAGTAGCTCACAAATCACAATATAATATAATAACAAAGAGGAAAGGAGACTGGTGTCAAAGGCACAATTATATAAATGTATATGTACAAGTAAAAATATAAATAAATATATATAAATAAATATATAGAAAAGAAGTAACTAAATATATATTCCAGCTATGTACAAGAGATCATGAGGAAAAACAGCAAGATACAAAGAAGATATGATGATTGACAGGACATAAGGTTATCTGCTGTATATAATAAGGTAGGATTGTCTGCCTCTACAACCCTTAAAGGTGCACTATGTAACTTTTCTGATCCAGGTTCCAGCACCTGCTTGTCTCCATAGAGATATCAGTGCTTTGCATTGATCTGTGGAGGGGAAACCCTTCAGTAAGAAAACGTGTTTTTTAGGGTAGTTTTGACCAATAAAAACACCTGTAATGAAATAAATGCAAGATAGTTGAGTTTAATGCCATACTGTGGTACACTGCATACAAAGCAATAACATCTCCATGGAGACAAGGGGGTGGCAGACCCCCTTCCAGAAAAGTTACATAGTGCACCCTTAAGCATATTCATTGTAGCTGTAGAGTTGAGGTGCCTCTGTCTAATATACAGTATATTTGATCATTGTTTATGGAACATACTTGATCCATAGAACTATAATAAAATCTGGAAGATGAATCTAAGATGGCACCGTATTGTTTTCAATGGCCTATGCTCAATGGGGGCACATGGGCCCCTGATGGGCCCCCCAAAAAATCACTTCCGCATTTACTTCCTCAATAGGGGTGAGCTCCTCCCACCTGTGTGCCGCTTGTAACATGCACAGCTTGGAGCGTTTGGACCAGTCAGAGTGAGAGCTACTAGAGCAGAGCTAACCATGTCTTACAAAGCTAACTTTTAGGCGTTTGAGGATTTAAAATTTTGTAAAAGTTTATGTTGTGACAATAGAAAAGAATCCCTACAAATTTTGACCTTTGTTAAAGTTGTCGATGCCCTGTCAGCCAAACACAGGCAGTTTGAATTCCTCAAAAATGCATTGAGCTTCTATGGAAAAATTATTTCTAGGGCCGAACTTCTGGGAGCTGCAGTACCCGGAGCAGTCACTAGTCGGTCTAGAGCTCGGACAGAGGGGGAATGCCATATCCAGTTTTTATTATAGATCCATGACTTGACTTTCAAAAATGCTAATGCCCCCTGTCACTTACAATATATTTATGCAATGTATGTTGTGTATGTTAATTCAAATTAATACAATATTATACTTTGGTAGTGACATAACTTAGTGACATAGTCCCTTTAAAGCTATAGATGTGCAAAAAAATATAAAAGTATGTTCTGTTCTTTCTTCTAGTTCTCTTTAACTTCACCATGAACGATAAGCGTCAGAGCCCGGTATGCAACGTTGTCATGTGGGCGAGTCTGTTTCTGGGGCAGGGTGTCCAGGTTTGTCTGTACTGTCAGGAGTGGTACGCCCAGATCCACTGTCCTCCTAAAAGGGTATGTACTCCAGTCATCTGTGCTACACTTTAGAGAATCAGCCTTTCACATCCACAGTCATGATAATATATAGACAGTGTTGGGAAGTAACTGAATACATGTACCGAGAATGCGTATTCAGAATATTAATTTAGACTAAATCTATTCTGTCTATTCCAGCTTTACCATTTGGTGGTATTCAGAATACAGTTATTTTGCTCAAATCAGAGGAATACATGGAATGTATCTATACTACAAATGTAGGCTCCTAACTGCATCGAATTATGAGAAAATTATAAAACACAGCTCTTGTAGTGCATGTGTGTGCCATTTTATTTTCTCCAATTAGTGACAGGAAATACATAACAAACTGTGAAATATTGCGTTTTTATACTATAATTTAAATGCAACTCAAAGTAAAAGTATTCTAAGTATTCAGAAAACAGTACTCTAATTGGTCCATGTAACGGACGGACATACATCATACAAAATACCCTTTAGTGCAGGTATTCAGAGTTCTGTAACTTAATACATTTTCAAGCATGTTTCAAATCACTGTATATTGTACAAAGCATATTTTTTTATTCATTTTCTACTTTGATAGTAAGATTTTTAAAGGGGGGGACTATTTTAATTTCATTCTTGTTGTTTTTAGATAGACTTACAGCCAAGTAGACTAGAACATAAGAGGGCAAAAGTCAGTTTAGCTTGACAGAAGTAGGTCACAACAGCAGTGTGCTGGGTGAGATAAACAACCATTACAGCCACAGGAAGCAAAATCGTTAAGAGTTGACAGAAAAGCGATTCTTCATATTATTTTTGACAGGATACTATAATGGAGACATACGTACTCAGGCAGCCTATGGGTCAGCACATTTGATTTACCCTCCAAAACAACATGGCTGTTCAAATGTTTTAAAAAGTGACAAACAATACGAGGAAAGTGCATGAGAAAACGTTATTATAATGCACTTTGAACTATGGAAAAAGAGGGGTTGATGATTTGGTAAAGTTCTGTTTTGTGTGGGTGTTGTATATGTAAACTTAGCACACAACCCATATAGTTAGAAAACATAGCCATGCTTGTCCTGCATATTTACAATGTTAGAAAAATTTCAGCTCCAAGTCCTCTAATAACAATGTCAGATTCGTGCAACTTTTTGGTCTATCTATGTCTGGTGTCTACAGCTGAAACAGGGGTACACTGTAACTATTTTAATAATTCAATAACTATTTGATTCAATCTTTGATTTAAATCCACTTTAACTAGATGTTACATTTTATAAAAGAAATGTAAGTACTGTGGAGGGACAGAGAAAGGAATACTAAAAACAAAAGGTGTAAATGCTCTTTTTGATATTACTGATATTACTAAAGCTAAATTAATTAAAACACAATCCCCATTTATTTAAATTAGCTTACCCCCATTAACTGCACTGATGTTGTACAACCTGTTCTGTTTTGTTTGAGTTTTTTTTATTGTGTGCTTTAACTGTTGTCTTTACTTGAGTGCCCAGAAAGGTGCCTTGAAATAAGTTGTATTTGACAAAACAATGATGAATTCTTGACCAACATTTAACTCTTGAAAAGCCCAAGATTCGGATCAAGTCCCAGATGTGGAGGATTTGTGGCAGATGGGAGTGCTGTACTACTTAGCACACTCCATGAACCACTGTCTCTGCTGCGAAAGCCAGGCCTCTAATACCACTGTTGTCACTCCCTCCTCCTCTGGCTTAGCTCAGCACCCATCACAGCTGTCTAAAAATAGAGCCCGTAAAATAAGATTACACAATGATAACAAATGCATGGTTTTACATTATGCAGTTAAATGCATGAACAGATGACTGATAATGTTATTACCATATAAATGTGTTTATAGGCTAAACTGAGCGGGTGTGTTTTTCCCCACAGGACAGCTTCTGGGAGCTGGTGACGCCTCGCTCTTGGTCCTGCACTTACTACAAGTGAACACTATGTGGCAGGAGTGGGGCTCCTCAGAATGAAAAAGAAGAGGCTGGATTTGAGTTTAGATGTTCTAGATATTAGTTTCTTTAAATGCAGTGTGTAAATATGTACACTAATAGCCCTTTGTAGCAATGTTTTCATCTGTTAACAGTGGTTTTATAGCATTTTTATAAATATGATGAAATTATTTGAACATATGTTAGAGGTTAATTCATAGATGGTTTTGTATTGTGTAGTTTTACACCTTGTTTAATGCTTATGAAAAAGGTGTGTTGAGTTCAAAAGAAAATAAATAAAAATGAACATAACATAAATACAAATAAACATATAATGAAGTGAAGCGTCCCAATTTGCCTATACAAAGGGTGACTGAAAATATTCTATTGATGTAGGGGGACCCTAGAGTTATGAGAATCTGTGAGAACCGGTCTTGAATCTAACCACATGAATTAAAAGAATAAGAATAACTTTTAATTGAATTATTAATTAGCTTGTAGTAGTACTTCTAACAAATCAAAAAATCTAATTATAATGTTACTCATATTTGAGATTCAGTGCAATACGATATCAGTCCAACATGTGGAGACACTGGTATGGCTGTCTTTTAAAACATAAATGTTTAATGTTGATTTTGTCACTGCCCTTGTCTGTCTCTTTTAAAAATGGACCATGAGTCAGAAATAAAGATGAATTGAAATATCTTATTATGCTGCTCCTTGATTGCTGTTGTATTACAAGTATCATTGGGAACCCCTTATCATTATTACAAAGCCTCTGTGTGTGCGTCATGCCCACTGAAGTCACACAGGAGGAAGAGGATTACTGTGTTTGTATTAGTGATGTAATACTGTAATGCTGATATAGGTTCATAGTAGGGCTGCTCAGACCTGCACACAGGCAAAGGCGGCAGATCAGATAAGAGATTGTAAAACGTGTATTTGACCTAACTATTGTAGCAGCAGATATGGAAATAGTAAAAGTGTGTAATATAAAAAAGTGTAAGCTTGTCAGTATTTGTTATGAAGATTGCATATTTTCTTCAGCCATGCTCAAAAAAGAAACAAAAAATAAAGTGTACTTTCAGATCTGATTGACCATACACATTTTTATGGATAAATTTGAACTTCAGTTGTAATAAACGGTTACTTGGAAAGCAGCACGATCAGCAACCACAAGTAATATAATGGTTTGAAAGCAAAAGATGGAAAATATGCTTGGACAATTGATCTGTTCCACAATTACCACAAAACTGCTGCTGGATTCTTCTATCATCTCCTCCAGCTTCTTAACTTCCACTTCCACTACACAGAAATAAAAACCCAGAGGCCTGATAGATCCACAGTTGTTTATTGGTTTTTCAGTTGGCAGGTTTACCAAAGCACCATGAAAAAGTGAGCAAGTTTATTAAACTCAACACAAACTCCATTCAGGAACAGTTTCAGCGTGTATACATGACTAAAGTGTGGATCACTCATTCATACATACAGCAACAACATGTATCTTGTATTATGCACAGCTTAACTTTTCCAGCTGACTGTAATTCCCCTGAACACAAACTGAAATGAATTGAGCCAGAGGAGCAGAGGGGGAGGGCCATGGGATTAGAGAGGGACACAGATATTCCCATCAGAAATATGAGCCAGCAGCACCGTGCACTGGCAGAGTGCACGTGTATCTGAGGCTCCCGCGTGTAAACATGTCGTGGGTGAGTATGTCGGAGCAGCAAATCAGCTTTGAGTGGTGGATCTGGAACAAAGTGGCTCCGGAAACAAGCACAAATGTGTTTACTTGTTCATTACAGAGAACCTTAAAAGTCAGTTTAGAAAGCACAGGTTCATGTAGAATCCACATTTAAAAGCATCCATGAGAGAGACAGGTGGTTAACAGTGGCTACAAATAAAATTAACACATAAAAAATGAGTGCAAACAAATTTGGAAAAGACATTTGCCTTCAGCATACTGTATCAGTGTTAATGGAGCACGAGAGGAAGAATGCAGGGAGCAGGATCCACTTAAGTGTTGACCACAGAGTGAATGTGTCCAGCAGATTTCCTGGGGCTAGCCACAGTGGCTCAAGTCATTAATTTTAATCATGTGACCACTGGAAACAGCAGACCTTCATCTAGTCATATGACTGCAGTGCACAGCAACGGGTTCATCTCAGGCGTAAGAGTTCCACATTATACTGTTTTTGCACGATGAGATACAAGTACCATAAGAGGCTGTTTTTCCACAGTTCAAGTTTTACTTCACTTTTAAACAGCAAAGTAACCATTACTCAAACAAAATAAAAAGTACAACAAAGCTCAAGTACAGCAAGTAACTGTTCAACTGAAAGAAACTCAAGTAAGAAGAGGACGGGGGGGCCCACATTAGTCCAAGTGCTTCACATGGGACAGCTGCAGAATGCTAAACTCACACACAGCACGAGAGTCAAACAAACTGTAAAAACAAACAGCTAAAAGTGACAAAAAACAAAAAAACAAAACATGTTTCTGCTCAGTGCATTTCTGTCTACATAACCAATGCATGTAGAAAAAAATAGTACATTGTGAAGATACACAGAGTGCCTGTGTATACAGAGATGGTAGTCAATGGGCCTGGTATGAGCCAGTCCTGGGCCGGTGCCTTCCTTATTAAGTCAAAGAGAGACTTTGCTTACACCACTGACCAGTGCTGCAGAGACACTTTCAAATGTTCTCTCCAAAAGTCAGCAACAGTGGACAACGCGTGCACATATATTTAGACTATGTTTGATGTGGGCAGTCGCAATTTTAAATATTTGTTTTAACTAAAAACAGTGAGGGGCTGTAAACAGTTCAAAATAGAGTAACAGTCTTCATCTGTTTAGGGGATTTTTCACAAAAAGGCAGTATTATCTTTGAAAAACACAAAGTATCTACAAAAACAATAGGGGGACATAAAAACTAAAAAAAATAAACTTTTTTTCACTGGAATTGACTACTACAAAATTTAGATGTGAATTAAAAAGAAGTATAAACCGATTTTTTGGCATTGATAATCAAACAAATAGATCAGTACACAGGAAGCTAGGTGTTAGTTTAGACTCCAGATCATTCCAGCCATACAAAGGAAAACTTTCCTTTGTGTAGGCAGCAGTATTTGTTTTATTTTCGGGCTCTCTGTTTGGCCAGGCGTCTCATGAAGCAGCAGGTCACTGTCGAGATGATGACGATCCCAACAAACAACGCAGAAGACACGCCCACAACCAGAGGGATGAGGAGCAGATCCTCCACTGCAGCAGAAACAAAACAATAATGTGATTTACACTCAGTATATACTTGCTCTATTTATCTTTATAATATATATAAAATATATGACGCATTGTTAGTTAGAAATGCAAAACTGTTTTGTCTAAAAGAAAAAGATTACGATCGAAGTATATTATGCAGTCTTTAAAGTAAAAGATTAGGTGTTTTACATAAAGCATTACACGTTACGTTATTAAAAACCCTAAAAAACTCAAATCAATCAAATGTGACCAATAAGTCATAATACATAACACTTTAACTTAAGAGCACTGTGCAATATCAAAGGCCTGTACTTGTATATGCTACACATTTGGCAGAGAGAAAACAAAGTATAAAATAAATAAGATTAAGTGTCTCCACAAGATTTACCTCACCCCCCCAAAAGGGTCAAATGATTTCATGACATTTACACAGCTGTGTTCAACTTGGTTAAGAGACAGCCTCAAACTAAGAGGGCATTTCCTGAACTATAACCCAGAAGAGCTGCTGCATAGCCAATAAATCAGACCATGGTTATAAGGGGCAGTCAGCACTACTACCACTGCACAAAATAATAAACTACAAATATAAAAAGATAGAGCCAAGAATTATGATTTTGGAATGAGGAGAGTACAATACAAATAGAACGCACAGAATATTTATGTCCATATTGCTAAAAGTGCCCTACTGGAGGAGGGTACACCACCTTATTATATCTTATATATCTCTACGTACAGTGGGATGCACGATGAAAAACATCCATCTTGTATTTATTCAATTACATTTACATATTTAGGGCTTAAAGGTGCGCTATCTGAAATAAATAGTTATGGTCTCATGGTAACAGAGTGGTTGAATGCCCTGGCTGACAGACTGAGAGGTTTTTCTAATCTTTTTGGTTTTTGAGCTCAGATTTTAATCAGGGAATATCATGGGACAACGAATAAGTGCAGCATGTGCAGTTAACAGGACACAAGTAAGGGACTACTGAATTGAGTGAAATGAGTGGTTTGCTACAGACCTCTGAGATAACACAGGATTTTACACTAAACATTAAATATGGCCTTTCAGAAGAAATACTTCAAAAGGAATTTCATTACCACCTACACAAAAGAGCAGAGTAAGAAGAGTGAGACTTAGAAGAGGCTTTCCTGTTGTGTTTACTTGGCTCCCTCACTTTTAATGCTGCAGGACAGAGGAGAAACACATTTGTCCTGAGGGCTGATACCCACCTCAAACTACCACCTCTCTCTCCCTCTCTAATGTTAAGAAGAAAAATGACTGTGTTGACAGACATGGACGTTAGGATCTGCTTATCCAGCCTTTTTCCCTTTTTATTTATATTGTCCAGATTTGTATAAATTATTATGACATGAAGCATACTCACCCCGAGCATAGAGATAAACAGTGACTGTGTTCGACTCCGCTTTGACCCCAGTGTTGTACCATGCTCCATGTGGATCCTGCCCCCAGGCGTGAACGTGGCAGGCGTACAGGCCCTGGTCCGCTGGGCGGGCCACATGCACCCTAAGCCTGTAGCTGCTCACAGTTAGCCGGTCCACGCTAACCTCACTGCTGTTGGAGAATACCTGGGTCACACCATCATGCCTCAAAGTAGCTACAGGCTCAGGTGTAACTTCGATCGGTTGGTCAGGAATTGATATGTCTGAGGATGGACTTTGGTCTTTCTTCATGACTAGTTTGGGAATGAGCGAGCGCACCCACTGCACCTGCGCCTGGACAGGGCCTGTAGTTACAATAGTCACGTTGCAAATTAAAGTGATGGTACTGCCTCTTTTCAACAGGGGACCACGAGGCAGCTGAACCACTGCAAAGACACGTACATCTGTGGGAATGGATATCACACAATTACAGACATGAAATTGGCGGCAAGATGTCAAAAATATCAAATAGTGACTGCATAAAAAGGAATGAGTGTCATCCTGGGACATGTGATTAGTTCCCTTTAGTGCCAAAGCATCAACATAAAAATGTCCATCAAATCTTCGATCAAACAACTATGTGCAGAGAGAATTCTGTCACTGTCAAATTACAGCTATATCATTCTCTTAGGAAAAGTTGGTTAGATGGCATAGGTTATAGCATGATTTAATACTGAATAAAAATAAAAAAGGGTAAAAGAATTCACCTTTAGTGCGCAGATTGACAGTGACTGCCTCAGAGTGCTGGGAGTAGATGGGTGCTGTAGATGGACTGAGGCTTATGTCTGGAGCGTAAAAGCTGACCGCACATCGGTAAGAGCCAGAGTCTGCGGGCTGCACCGAGAACAATTTGAGAGTGTATCGGCCTTCAGACACTTTCTCCAGTGAGCCTCTGCCCTGGCTCAGCTCGTCCCCCCAGCTCACCACACCAGCGGGGGTTATCCACACTAACCCCACCTAACACACAGAGTGCATGTGAATTCAATATATGCAACACAAAATATTCACTTTTTAGAAACTCTTCTGAACTTAAAAATAATTTGACCTTAAAATGAACTATACCTCTTTACTTCTGGTGCCATCATTGACCAACCACTGAACCAAAAGTCCATAGTTGATTTGAGACGGTAAACCCTGCACTTCACATGTCAGGAGCAGGGGGGCACCAATCTGCAAGGTCAGTACTCCCTGGGGCGTGGGCATCACTTTTATAATATCATCTATTAAAAACAAAAACAAAACAAAACAAAAAATATATATATATATATATATATATATATATATATAATTAACATTAATGATATGGAAAGTGTGAATATTGTTTTAATTAAAGCACTCAATTGTCTGTCTTATTTTAGAGGTCAAGGGTAATGGAGCCTATTCTAATTAAACGTGCTTTGTTCAGTGGAAAGACAGAGTACCAGGAGAGTCCTCTGGAACAGGTAATAAAATCTGCATTATCATGTTCGGTTCTAGTGGTGAGTCTGAAGAAGTTGATAACTAAATCAGGGACCGCAGATGGAAACTAGCCATTTAGCTTAAATCTGGAGTGGAACATCTGCTTTTTATTATCTTAATGTCTCTGTACATCCTCCCTTTAAGACCAAACTAAACTAAATAACAAACATGCATTGTTTTTTTCTTTAGAGCTTGTTTACTTCTGAGCTCACAATAACTGGACAGAAATCTGTAATAGACACATTATGTGCGCAGACAAAGGGGGACGTGGGAGGTCATTGTTTTATTGAGTGCAGTGTTGCGAAAACACAGGGCGGCCTACAACTGTGATGTTTAATGCTTTAACTGAACAGTACTTTTTATGCAAGAGGAATTCAAATGACCTGAATACCATCACCAGTTTAACCACGAAATTCAGTACAGTGCGCATGATAGGTCAGACTCTCCATTTCACCAAATATTATTTTTAAGATTTTACTCCAGTTTGATAGTTAGTTTTGTATTATTTTACTGACATACATAGAGATATTTTCATTACTGTTACCTAGCAACTATACTGAAAACACAGACCAAACATATTCATAGTAATTGTGGAATGATAACAGTCTTTCCTATGGGCCCAAAGCTCGTTCACATTCCACAATTTAACGACGTCAGTACTTCAGATGGAGGGCAGGAGCCTAATATAACTTTATGGGAGATTCACAGACATTATCCACAATTGTTTAACATTATTTATAAGGGATTAACTAGAGCTTTCAACTGACATATATCACATTTTGAGATTGAAAAACATCATTGCACATTGTCACAAAATAACTGAACATTTTAATTTATGGTGACAGAGAAAATATTGAAGTTTGTGCAGTTTTTGTTTGGTGTATATAAACCCAGTAATTTCCGAATCCTGACTGATGTGAAACTATGATTTTTATTTGCTGCAGTTACTATCCTTCCAAACAAAGTAATAATAATAAAAACATAAATGTTAGGTTTTTTGTTTCTTGTTACAGCTCAGTTTATGTGACAGAGTGTTCAAATGGGCTACTTTGTGTTGCCATTTTGATGGGACCATCTCAAAAGTGCCACAAAAATCTCACAGTAAATAAACCATTTTCCAAATCTATGCATCCATCTGTAGGTTCTTATAATAACAACAACTGGAACACTGGATAACAACTGGCAGTAATCCAGCTGCTTAGCCAGACAGCTGTCATATCCAACCCCGTAATCAAAAGGAGAGGTGGGCTTCAGACGTGTCAATCATCTTGCCCTTTTTACTTATATCCTTATGTATACAGAGGATATACATACTACAGCTTTTTTCCATTCAAATCTCACCACAGAAAGTCAGTGATGTAGTGCATGGCAACTGGCTTGGAAACAACACATACAAAATACTTATGATCCCTTGTTACTGCTATAAACTGTTTAGTTTACCAATAGCAAACATACTTCTTTTACTGGCTATGCGTAGACAAATGATTAAATGAGTGATGATACTTCACAGCCCTGTTAGAAATGCAGTACCTTTATATATTAATATTAGCTTATCATTATTAACTTTAAATAGGTCCTATATTACTCAAAATTGTTTTTCTGAGTTTTAAGTCATGTTACAATGTTGATATCACTTCAATAACACCCCTGGAGTTGTGTTTTGTTGCATTCACACACGGTTGAGTAACCCTTTACTATTAGTTTGTCTACATATCCAAAGCTCAGAATGCTCTGTCCCACCTTGTGATATCATGAAGTGATAGTTTCAAGGTAACAAGGTAACAGCTAGTTTTTACCTTTTGTTCAGTAGAGATTATCGAAATTATTCTAGTGAAGGTGTAGTGGAGCACTTCTTTTATTACTATATGACATGACAAGGTGGAAATGTTTTCAGTTTGAGAGAAGAACTCCTAAACCAAGGGTTTGTGTGTTAAATGTTTGAATGAAACAAAATACTACTCCAGGCATGTTTTCGATTAGGAAACATTATAACATAGACCAGAAAATAGCATAACACAGCTCCCCCTCAAATTTGTATTAATTTGAGTGAAATTCAGAGCACCAATACTCCAATGTCAACAGGAACACGGCACTGGTTGTACTGACCTAGTTCATTGACAGTCAAATTGCCAATATCCAGTGTTCTCTGTGCGATTTTCTGCCACGATCGATCAGGATCCCGGATCCACTGGGAGGCCTCACAGAAATATGAGCCCCTGTCCTCCGCCCGCACCCCTCTCATCTTCATCACGTACAGGTCCTGTCCGCCCTCCACGTTCCTCTTCTCCAATGAGATCTCTCCGTCGTCATAACGCTTCTGGTATGAACTTCCAGGCACAATCCCCAGCATCTTGTCAATGGAGATGATCTCTGCATCTCTGTCACTTGTTTCACCGCGCTTCCCAAACATGACGGACAGATGAGTGAGCTGTTCCGATTGGATACTGGCAGAGCAAGTCAGAGTTAATTCAGCCCCCTGTGGCAGTGGCTGTCCTGTGAGCGAGCGAGAGTAGCTGATCTGCAGTGTGTCAGGGATCACTGTGGACAGACACAACAGACAATTACATTATGTCAGGCCACTGCAGCAGACAGACACAAGAGAATAATATGCCCAATTTAATTTGCTGTTCCTGCGATATCAGTGAATTTTCTCATTGTTTTGAAAATAAGATTAAGGTTGAACTATTAAAAACGATGTAAACAAACCATAATAGGTTGAGAAAGAAAGCAAATCTATATAGTAGAGTGTCTTAAGTCTTGAAGGCCCAGTTTTATTTTCTGGCTTTTAACATGGCATGAGTATGAGTGTGGTTCTCTGTTGTCTTTTATTGTTTTGTTTTATTGATTTTTTTATGCATTTATTCTCATGGGTCTGTTTTATGGTTTTATTTATTTGTTTTTACACCATAGTTTTATTATGTTTTTATTGTATTAAATTGTCAATTTTTTATTTTTATTTTCTATGTGCAGCACTTTGGAAACAGTCTTTGTTTATAAAATGTGTTATAGAAATAAAGTGTGTTGGAAAAGATAGTATGAAACAGTATAAACCCTCATTCGTCCAGGAGTGTTTCATGAAGAGACTGTTTCAACGCTGGTCATTTGGACATTGTTTTTGCGATTGAGACGTTTCAGCTCTCATCCAGAAACCATTTTCAATTTGATGAAACTGGTTTGAAGCACTGGGCTTTTTCCTAACCTGAGTTTACAAACCACAAATTACTCATTTGAAGGCAATGAGGTGCACATTTTAAGCAGAGAGAAGGACTGGTTTGCAAGGGAAGTAAAAGAAATGTGTGTGAAGAAACAGAATCCTTCTCTGAACAGAAATGGGGACTTCAACTCCACCAGCTGTTTACAGAATGCAGAAGGTGAGACAGCAAATACACAATGGGGGAATAATGACCCATAATGATGTTAGGAAGAAAACAATAGCAGGTCGGTTTCACTCTAAAACTTTTCCCTTTAGGGCTGGACTTGGTAAACTCAGGTAAGGATAAAGCTCAGTGCTTCATGTCAGTTCCATCAAATTGAAAATGGTTTCTGGATGGGAACTAAAATGCCTTGATCACAAAAACAATGTCCAGATGACTCTACCTATATAGTATGAAATAGAAACTGAATATTATCTGAAACTAGTCTCAAGCTTTAATGAGTAGTTCGCTGAAAATGCCAATTGAATCATAGATACATGATAACATTGTTAACATTCCTCACATAGAGATATCTATAATGGGAAAATGTTTAAAGTCCTATGTGTATTTCTTTATTTTTGCGGCATAATTTATAAAAAGTGTTGTAGAGATGTAGAGGTTATTTGTGTATACACATTCATACATACATTCTTAACAACTCAATTCAAGGACGCAAACCGAAACAGAATTAGACACAGAAATGGGCACAAGTCTCGACCATTTTAAGTTTATCTACATTTTGTTACAAGTTTTATATATAAGGAATCTCTTTTCACCTGTGCAGTCTTCTCCCACTCTTATTACTCCATGGCAGTATCATTCACAGTATTAAACTATCACAACAGTTGAAATAAAATACTTGTACCTTTGACTGTGACCAAGCTGCTGTAGTTGCCCTGGAAGGTGGAGTCCGTGCTAGGCGTGTAGCACTCGTACCTGCCCTGGTCTTCAGTACGCAGCCTGTGGATCACCAGTCGGACCCGAGCGTCTGAATCCCTCTCCACCCTCACCTCACCGTTCCTCACCCGTGACTGAAATGGGGCGTAGGGAAAACCTGGGTCCCTGGTGGAAATGACACCCATCTGTCTCCCACCGGCATCATCTCTGTATAAGAACCACTCAAAGTCCTGCTTTCTTGAGCCTTCGTACTCAGACACCACACAAGGCAAGGAGACGGGGAAACCTGCCACGCGGTACAGTGGTCCGATGGGAAGAGTCACATCACGGCAGAGAGCAAACTGAAAAACTGGGAAAGAAAACAGAGTGAGATAAATACGTACTTTGTAAGAACAGCAATGGAACTAGTGTGTGTTACAGCTCTCACAGCATGTTTGGCACAACCAGCCACGAATCAATAACTTAAGCTGATAAATGGCTCATAGGAAGGCAATACTCTAAATGGCAAAGTAAAAAATCTTTATCTGGGACTGGGCCAGCTCACTATAAGCACAATGAAAATATATTGCTTATTCATTTTAACTAATTGAAACTCCCATGAGTGCCATGTAGTTTTAATGTTTTAACACAGTATACTTGAAATGAAAAGCAGTGGAAAACAGATCATCTCGTAAGTCACAGGTTGTATTTCATTAATGACTAAACTCTCTGTTCATCCAGGCTTGTTAGAACCAGTGCACATTATGTTGGCTGGAGTTTTTGACAGTATGACTCAAACTTGGCTCCACAGAAATTATAAAATGTCATTAACGGGAGCCTATTTCTAGATTTATGTGTCTACATTTCTTTACACCATTAGTTTACACTAAATAATTGCCATAGTAATTTAAAAGGACCATATTCCTCTTTTTTCTAAAGTTGTTTTCTCATCAAAAACAGACCTGTAGTTGTGTTTTGTTTTATTCACACATGTTTAACACACACTGCAAATTTAGGCTGAGTTCTTCTCACAAACAGGAAATGCTCCAGTTTTTTTTTTTTTTTTTTTAACTCTATACACTAGAATCATTTGTATAATTTCAGCCCTGGGATTCCTAATCTCTACTGAACTAAAGGAAAAGGAAGTTAACTTGAAAAGTGCCATTTCATGACATCACAAGGTGAAACAGAGCATTTTGAGCTTAGAGATGTAGACAGCCCAATAGACCAGGATTGTTCAAATGTGTGACTGAAACATAACACAACTCCAGGTATGCTTTTGATGAGTTAACATCATTGTAACATGGCTTAACGTTCACAAGAGTAAATTTTATGTAATACAGGACCTTTAAAATAATGACTGTATATAATGCATACAGAAGTGTACGCGCCAAGCTTTCTTCTGCAATCTGTAACGCTTCTGCTTAGCACTATCTAAATGTCAGCAGTGGAACAAAGCTAAATCTGATACTCTGTCTCTGATCCAAACCAAGGCAAAACAAACGCTGAAGAATTTGTCCAGGGAACACTCAAAATGTATCACTGTTTTTGTCTGGGGCTCAGAGGAGTGCAGGGAGGCGCTGTCGTGTCTTCTGAGGTGACATTATAATGCACTACTCCCTAAAAAAGCTTTGGACACTAATAAATAATCTTCAAAACACTTTAAAATCCACAGACGGCAAATGCACCTCTTTTTTCTAGTGTTGGGGGCGAATTATTCATCTGAGTGTGTTAGAAGCACAGACCACATGTAAGATTGATGCGGCGTTGCTAGTGATTTATTGAAGCTTTTCACAGCACTCCCTGCAAGAAATGTGGAAATTAATGGATAAAAAGTTCAATATCATCAGAAGCCTTTGGATGGATGTAATCTGAGATGCCTCAAGACTAGATGGACATTCATAGTTGACAGAAGATCTCAAGTGCTTCTGTTAACAATAGTTTATTTTTCTGCTGGACCAACCAAAAATGGGAAGCTACATTTTAACACAATTTATGGTCTGAGATATGACATTAAAACTGCTCACTGTCTAGTCAAGGGCCCACAGATGAGTTATTTACATATTATTGCCCTCTTCCTCTTTGTTGCTGCATATTATTAGGGCCTATTCCTGTTTTTTATAATTTGATGGGCCGCTCTGCTTTTAGTTTAAATTACACACATGTGCACAGTTGATCAGAAAATTGTTTTAACTGACCAAACAATATTCTGTTGTTATTACCTACTAAAAAGAAGAACTATATTATATTTTAGAGTAAAGGCAGGTGGACTGGTTTAAAGGGACCATATTACACTATTTCCTGATCTATGTTGTAAAAACTTTTCCCTATCAAACCCATACCTGGAGTTATGTTTAATTCCCTTCACACATGTTTAACACTCACATTTTGCATATTTAAGGTGATTTTCTGCATATTTAATTTTCTCAGACAGAAAACACTCTACTTTGTGATGTCATGTGGTGATACAGAAAGTGCTCCACTGTGTTTTTAAACCCCTTATACCTTCACTAGAATCATTTGGATAATTTCAGCCCTTGAGTTGCCAATCTCTACTGAGTTTTGGAGATGTAGACAGACTAATAATAAAAGTTTACTCAACAAAACACAACTGTAATTTTGATGAGGTAACAACATTATAGCTGAAATGCAGTTTAGATGGCAAAAATCACTTAGACCAATGATTTGTGATTACCCCCAAATTAATGATATACACATATGATATGCACAAAGAAAACAAAGACACACACCCTAAACCTCACCTAAAACTGATAATTGTGATAGATAGTTCAACAACTGGAAATTCTAGCTTGGTGTGTTTCGTCTCTGTGTGCTTACAATACTAAAAGTGTCAGACATAGAAAAAACTCTAGCTCTGTCATGACCTGGGCCCCGTATCAACACGCCCATAATGACAAGAGACTAGAGGGAGGTTTAAGCGGATCAAGTCCTAATTAACACTGGGCAGATATGGGATGGGGCAGGAGGGGGGGGCAGATCTTAGGACAATGCTCACTCTGGATTAGACACTGGGCACAAAATGCAGTGCAACTGTTCACCCTTAACAGACCACAAAGACAGAAGGTTTAGGAGTGCACCATTAATCTAGTCATTCACAAATGAAGAGGAAGTTGAGAGAAGATGGTTCATTGGGATATATATTTTACCTTATTTAGTAGTTAAAAAGTAGTTACATTTCAGTTTCAGTAAGAAGTCTCATAATACATTTTAAATTGGTGCATGATATGTAAGCAGCTAGGAAATTAATTCTGTGGTTTTAAAAATAAAATGGAAAACAACATGTTTAACTTAAGTATTCAAAAGGTAAAATGAATATTGAAAATTAATATAACATGCTATTGAGTATTTAAGTGGGGAAATGTAGAGAACAGTCATAGGCACCTAAGTGTGTAACAACAGCAGTAACAATAGTACTTGTGTTCAAACAAAAATGAATAAATTAATCAAACTGTATCGATAAGTGACACTATGACTAACTGAGTGTCTGAAGCAACAGTTTCCCTGGGTGATTTCAGCAAAAACAAATTCCAGTAATCTATTACAAGAGGGCTGAGAGGTCAGGGCTGCGTTACCTACAGAAACTATGAGGTAGTGACTGAATGGATACTACTGATAAGATCGTGTCTGTTTGGGATGTAATTTTACTCTGTTGACAAAAAAACAAACAAACAAAAAAACACCTGTCCACTGAAGGGGCTTGTTCCAATCTATGAAAAATGATAATCAATAATAATAACATTAGAAAAGAAAATAACTGTTAGAAGTATGGGTTATTTGAACCTTTGTAGCTGTGAAATCCAAAGTAGTTTCGCCACTTTTTGCTACATAATAATGACTAGGTGTAGGCAGATGGGATACGGTTCAAAGCTACGTGTAAAGTAAACAGCTTCCACACAACAGCATGAACTTACCGCCATGAAGTAACACGATTAATACCGCCTTTATCGGAGCCATAGTGGTCTATCCTGCTGTCCCGATGGAACTACGTTGACTGGGATATCTCGTTGTGCGTACCTCTGTCCCCGTTCATTGTACAGTAGACTCGCAGTGTCTGGACAACAAAAAATGCATGATAACTGTGCAGTTTGCAGTGATATTCCTGAGACAGAAGGGACAGCCACAGCCACGAGCCATCCATCATGGATCTACTGGTGCAGTTATAGGTGCACAGGGCGAGAAAATAAATTACCTTTATCGTGCACAGTCGCATTTGCTCAACAGGACGACGCCTCCATTGTAGCCTGGTTTGGGTTCAGATTATGCCGCTTGATCAGACATGCCGTGCACGGGGAGGCTGTGCTGGTTGGAGACATCACAGGGGGTTGGGCATGGATCTGGGGCTGGGGTTGTGGGGAGAAACAGGAGGAGGAGTCCTTACTTACAAATAGGAGGGACGTGAATGACAAAAAGGCCGTGCGGAAAAAGAAGTCACAGCTGCGCTATTGGTTAAAACCATCACAGCGAAGATGTAGTTGGTTGTTTTATGAGCCAATGGAAAAATAAAGCGGTGTCGTCACAGGTTTTTAAAAGGAGGGTTTTGAACCACTAGAGGGAGCCAAAAGTCAAATAGATTTTTACTGTGGACGCGAGACAGGCCTGAATATGACGCACAGATAGATAGATAGAGATAGAGAGAGAGAGAGAGAGAGAGAGAGAGAGAGAGAGAGAGAGAGAGAGAAAGAGAGAGAGAGAGAGAGATCAATGGGGGAGATACCTTGGGATAGTTGTCATGGTGATTCCCGCCAGGTGGGCGTGGTCACGTGGCCACAGATGTATGCTGGCTTCTTTTAAAAATGGCGCTCACCTGTCACCAGATGAACTGGCACCGGAGAGCCGAGCCACCTCGTTTTGTTTGTTGACAGCTTCACTAAAGTCACTCTTGATGTCACTTTAATTGCTGCTTTATGTCAGAGGAAGCACCAAGCCCCGAGGTTCCAAAATGGCCGCCCATTCAAGTCAATGGGCTGAGCTCAATGGCGCATGATCTCAGATTAGCCTAGCCCGGCTAGGTACTTCCGGTAACTGTGGGCCGACCGAGCATGTGCAGTAGTGCTCTTTTCTCCCACGGGCACACGCGAATGCACGCGACCACACGCAAGGAGCGCGGGCTCGTGTATCACGTGATCGCTTTGACCAATCAGAGCGAGAGGAACGAGAGCGGAGCCGTAGCTAACGAATATAAAGCGTTTTTTTAAGACAACTGAAGGATTTTGAGCGAGAAAAAGTTTATGATCTAAAAATAGGTAAAAATCGCCACAAAATCCGACATTTTTGAAAGTTGTAGGTGCCCTGTCAGCCGAACACGAGCAGGTTGTGATTACATTGCGCTCTATGAGAAAAATCTTCTCTCGGCCCATGGGATTTTTTCGACTGTAGTACCACTGAGTGGCCACTACGTCAACTCGAGGCAGCTACAAGCTAGCAATACTGTATCCAGTTATTTTAATAGATCCATGGGAAGCGCCTCTCACGGCAGCGCGCCGTTTTTAGTCAACAAAGAAAGAAAAGGCGGTGTGGAGCCCCTTGAGCAGGACCCGCCGGATTCAGGAAAACGCGCCAAAACTGCAACCAAAATCACCATCAGCACGACAAGCAGCACGTAGGAGTCCAGGTGAGCCTTACTAGTCCAGGTGAGTCTTGTTTGTGGATACAGAATCATTATTGCAATAATAAATTAAATGTGTTCGTTTGTAAATGTTGGATGAATGAATGCTGCTGCTGGGGGCATAGTTATTCTGTGCTCTGATTCACGTTTATGCAATGTGCAAAGTGGGTTGAAATAAATAAAACGATGGTGTGATGAGTTTCAAATTATAATGATGCTTTTGTTAAAAGGAAATCTATTTCACTCTGTGGATGTGTTTTTAAATGATGGCTCACTGAAAAAGGTGCATGAAGGTGCGGCGGCGGCCTTGTGTCCTGAAAACTGTCTGGTGAAAGGAAACTTACAGAAATGCCTTTTTTGAAAACAAATGCAAAAGGTTTTGTCAGTAAAAAGAAGGAAATTATGCCACAAACGAAACCCAAGAAACAAAAGCAAAACGTGTCTCAAATAAAATCTCTTGGTATTTGTGCGAAAATGTAATTAATCACAAACGGTGAAACCATGGGGAAAAATGTGTTTTTCAAACATAACAAATTGTAATGAAAAGGTTTAGAAATGTACACCAAGCTTGGTTCAATGAACTGGAACACAATGACTCAGAATTATATGAAATGAATGGTATATTTGTGGGAATTAAATAATCACTTTCCAAACATGAATGATATAAGGATGGTAGAGGACCTGCCATAAAATACTCGCACACCCACTCAAACATGCAATTTTAAACAAAGTGGGGTCGTTGGTAATAATAAATCTGAAACAAATGTAATTAAGGAAAATTGTTATGCACTCAGACCGTCTTGCTGGAAGAGTTTACCTGAACTGTGTGTTTTGGGTTGAATGTCCGTCAGCTTTCCCTCAAAGACCCAAAAGTGAATATAAAACTGTTTTGCTGAAATACACTAGTATTTTGTAATTTTGTTTCTAACTTTTCCTTTGTGTTTGCAGGTTTGGGTGGTGTCCTCTAACCATTCTACAGATATCATTTTATTACTATCATTGTTAATTAGTTCATAGTTAATCTAAGATAAATCTACTTCATGTCTTGCAACTGTGAGACATGAAAATCATCTGTGGCAACTGTAGCAGATGTTAGTTTATTTTATTTGAAAACAGCTAAAGCTAAAACATATCTGCCATATCTTACTGAAGTTTTCAGGTTTTAGGTTGGTGTCTAACCCTTTTCCAGCAGCTCTGTGATATCTACTACTGCTATAGAAGCTTCTGACCAGTGACAAATGAACCTTTGCCTCCATCTGAAGTTAAAAAGGACCCAAGAACTAAGAAGAATGGAAAATCTAATATCAGAGGCTATGCTCCAAAATATGGAATGAATGAAAGAATTGATCTAGACCACCTTGCTGGAAGAGTTTACCTAAACTCTGTGTTTTGGGTTGTACTTCAGCCAGCTTTCCCCCAAAGACCCAAAGGTGAATTTAAAACAGCTAAGTGAAACCATGCTTTGTTGAATTGCGCTAAGATAGTTTTAGTTGTGTACTCCCAAGATAAAACAGTTCTTGCAGTTTGTTACTGACTGTTTCCTTTGTGTTTGCAGGTTTGGATGGTGTCCTCTAACCCTTCTACAGGAATCAGTTTTATTATTATCATCATTGTTAATTAGTTCATAGTTAATCTAAGATAAATCTACTTCATATCTTGCATCTATGAGATATGAAAATCATCTGCAGCAACTGTAGCAGATGTTAGTTTATTTTATTTGAAAACAGCTAAAGCTTAAATGTGATGACTGTCATGTTACTAACTCTTCAGTTTTTAGGTTTTAGGATGACGTCCAACCTAAACACTCTAATCCAACCTTTTTCGCAGGTTGTTCCAGTTTTATTTTGTAACGTTTAATACTGTGCTAAGCTAAACCATGCTAACTTTAGTTGCGTACTGCTAAGATAAACACGACTGTAATATGTAACTGTCTAACCCTTGAGTTTTCAGGTTTTTGTCCCGACTCTATCTTAAGACAAAGCCACAAATGGACCCAAATATGTAAAAACCTTAGGAGACAAATTGCTGAACTAATCAGGAAAAGGAACATTTTCAAAGGCAATAATCAAAAATATGGAATGAATGAGAATTGTTGTAACATTGGAGGAATTCAGATTTGGACCCATTACAGAGAAAGGATACACATAGAAGTGCAACAATTTCAGCACCAAATACACTATTAAGTCAAAGCACTAAAATATTAAAACAGGATCGAACAGAAGTGAAGAATCCCAAAGACAAACTGCCCCAACAGCCCGGACTGAAGACTAAAGAACAGAGAGATGTGTGTTTAAAAAAAAAGAGAGAGGAAACCAAATAATGAAAAATAGGATTCTAAAGTCATTCATGCAGAGAAACTTTTTTTTTTCCATGGGATTTGTGCACAAAAGTGAAATCTTACACCTCACTGATGTAATGTTGATGGGAGCCCAAAGGAAGGAAAGACCAAAGAAAATGGAACCAAATGGAGAAATCCACATCTTTTTAAAACCTGACCATTTGGAATAATCTTGAGGTACAGTATATTTTAGTAATCCCTTTTTGAGGGAAATTCACCCTCTGCATTTCACCCATTCATCATCAACAAAGAGCTGCTGGGGCAGCCTGTCAGGAGCAGTGAGCTGCTGCCATACACCTGTGCAGATTCTGCACAAAAAGGAACCTTCTTGCTGTGACTCTGTGCTCAGCCACTCATCTTTACTTGAGTTTTGGTCCAAGGGTTTAGGCCCTTTGTTCTCTCACTTTTTTGTGGTCTGAATGTAATAGTTCTGAAGATGGATTTGTGACCGACATAATCTTACAGGGATCTTTCCCTGCTACAGGTTTCACTGGGTTCATTGGTCTGTTTATGCAGACTTTAACTCAGGTAGGTGACATTTCTGTGTGAATCATTATCTCAAAACAAGGCCTGAATATGCTGAGGATTTTATTTTACAGTTTAAGGCTTTAGTTTTAGGCCTAAACTGGTCCAAAAGTGGGCCATATTCTAAACACTCGCTCACTTTTATGGAGACTGCTGGTCTCTTTTGGTCCGATCTGGTCTAAATGTGGACCAGATTAAATGTTTACACCATAATTTCCACAGGTTGCATTTGGGCTTGGACCCTTGTGTGTTTTTGGTGTGTGCCTGGACTGGTCTAAATATGGGCCAAATTTAAACAGGCTGGTAAAACATGTTATGGTTGGGTGAAACTGAAATTGCTTATTGTAAACTAACCCTTTAACAGTTTCATTTGGAGGTAAAAAGGTCTGAAAACTGACTTGAGCTTTGGGTTGTGTGTATGTTTTATGTTTATTTCGGTCTGAACTGGTCTAAACATGGGCTAGATTTGGAATGGTTTATAGAGTCTGATGGCTTTGGTCCTAACCATTACACTAAACTGAAAGTCTAGTAGTATCCTAATCCATCTCTCCCACAGGTTTGCACAGGGTCTGTTCATTTTAACCAGTTTGAAATATGCTGACATTTCTGTTTAAACATTGTATTAACTTTACAGGGTTAAAGGTTCAATCTCATATTAATATTGCCATTGTCTGTGTTGTAAAATTGTTTCGGGCTTGTCTTGTGAAATGACAGTTCTAACCCTAACTCTTCTGAGTCTTCTCATTGCAGCTCTAAACTGTTTTACTTAACTTTTAAACTAGTCTTAAACTAGTCTTCACAGGTCCAAAGGCTGCTGTTTATGGTGAGTATGACTGCATGCACTTACTAACACACTAACTCTGTACAAGCACGGGTGGTGGGTCTAATCCAGCCACAGAGGGCGCTGTGTGTGTCCCTCTGTGCCAGTTCCCAGCCTGTATAAATGGAGAGGGTTGCTTTGGCATAAAACCTGCCTCTTTTAGCCTGATTTTAAAGTGTGTAAGGCAGGTATTTCTAATAATTTTTATTTGGTTTGGTGATATTTACTTGTGGTGAATATTTATCATAGTTTTACATAATTTTTGTGTTAGTTTCCGGACAAAAGTTGAAAAGAAAAGCACAAAAATAAAGGACGTAGTGGTTCTAAAAAGGAATATGTCTGTTATCAAAACTTTCAAATGCAGGCATAATTGAACTGTTGTGTAATTTTAGACACGCCCCTTTTTCATAATATGGTTGCTAGGTAAAAGTTATGAAATTGGCTCTGTATCTGCTGTCCATGTTCAACCAGGAAATAAAATTAGAAATCTTCATAAATATAATTGCTAACATGCGATATGCACTTTAATATATTGACTGTACCAACTTAAATCTGTCTTATATATATATAAGTTATATTTATGGGTTTGATTTAGTCAGTCATTACCAAAATTCCTCCTGCTGCTAGAATAAAAAGTACATCTGTAAACTATTCTGTAAATCTGTAAATATTGTAATGTTGAATAAAATGTGTAATGTGTGTAGAATTTAGAAAGAAAAAAAGTTTCTCAAACGAAATTATGAAATGTGGGTAAATCTGATGGATGTGCTATACTTTTGAATTTTTGACTTTGGACTTTGACTTAGGTTTTCCTCTGTAAAACTCAAAGAACCAAGTACCCCGCGTCACCAAGAGCAGTGGCGCCATCTCCTGGAGAAGGAATACAAGGCCTAAACCTTCCGATTCACAATATTCAAACACAACAAACAGAAATCCCTGGTTACAAAGTACATTGCTTTTTGTTTTTGTGGGGGTTTTTTTTGTGTTTTTTGTTTTTGTCCTTAAACCAGGTGTCCGTTCCTGGTGACTGTGACCGTATTTGTGATTTTGTGAAATTTCAGATAAATTTCAATTGCCTTTGAATTCCCTTGAGTCTCGGTCTCTTATTTTTAAATAAGTTGAAAACGACAGAATTAAGTTTTTTTTTGTTTGTTTTTTTCTT